CAGATGAAGCAGACATTTGTTGGCAGCCACAAAACGCACAAACGAGTTGTGTGCGGTGCGTTGAGTCATCGTGAGAATTGTGTGGCAGGCTGGGGCGCTTTTCTATTCAAAAGAATGAAAAGGACATTTACACGTACAAGGCGATTAAATGTTAGTTTTGGCATCGATTACAATTTAGATTTGGGGTGTGATTCTTTTCTAACTACTGACACGTGCACACGCACACACACACTCACACATCTACCTCTAGGGGTGTTTTACAGGCAGGAAGTGGCAGCTAGACGGAATACTTGATCACATGGACAAACATTGGAACACAATTCAGCGATCCGCCGGACACACCCCCCTAATGCCGGCCAGATTACACCACACGAGGTCAACGTGATCTCCCGCATCACGCTTTATTTTACCCGGGCTTCAACGGCGCACGGGTAGTGCGCGCGCTCACGCGCCTCATGTTCGACGCGTGCGTGCGCGTGCGCGAGCGCGCTCAATGTCGGAGGCGCATTTGTAATGCGGATGTTGGGGTTTTTGAAGTGGGTTTCACGAGTAAGACAAGAGTACGAGCGGCGGCAGTGGGGGAAGTATTTAAGCCTGATTTTTTTTTTAAAACCGAGTTTTAGTCGCTTTTAGAAAGACAAGTCTTCCATCGCAGAGCGCAGACACAGGGCCAGTTGTGCAGAAACAGATTTAATGTAGCTTCCTCTCCCCGCCTGACTTAATTTTTCAGCTCCGGCCGCTCGGAAAAGCCGGAGCAGATCTTTTTAGGGGATCCGGGAGTAGGATTTGCGAGCCCAGGTGCCATCTGCTGGAGAAGAGAGGGGCCTTACGTACATGCACTGGCTCCGGCTGAAGTCATTAGCTTCTCATGTGTTGGCCATGTTGTTTTTATTTACCTCCTGTCTTTGGACAGGATTTATTTAGGTTTATTGGATCTTACCGAGCATGTAGAGACATACCCACTTGTACAGAACAGAAAGAACAGTTAATACCATACATATTTTAGTATATGTTACTTACAATTACTGTAATGTGCTACTACATTACAATTGGTTTTACAAACCTAAAACGTGTTGTCTTTTTTTTCTCTACATGTTATTTATCTATTCATCTCAGAGACACTGCTGATTGTCAAGTTGTATTATTTTTGACTACATATGAAGAAGTGACTGTTCTCTCTGTCTCACTAATATGTGCACACGTGGGAAGATAAAATCCTGTGTAACCTTTGCCATACTTAATTCTTAAATGGCCACACAACACTCTTGAATTACTTAATCATTATTTTCATAAAACATTTTATTTTCAGTCAATGCGTTTCAAAAGAAAAGGACGAAAACACTGCTTGTAAATGAATTGCAGTCACTTCCTTCTTTCAGAATGAATATGACCTTCCCGTGACACACACGCAAGTGGGGATATTTTTGCATTCTATAAAATATGAAGACCGTAATCATTTAACAAAACCAGACCAAAATGAGGGCTTTTACATTTGATACAGGTCGATAAAATGTAAAAGGCATTTATTGAAAATATCCTTGTGAGAAATACAATAAATCTGTGATCATTCTGAGGTGACTGCAGGAAAGCAATGCATTTACTCCGCTCAGCGCTCCTTGTTGTGATTTGCATGAGTCGAGGTGCAACCTTGAAGTATCTACAACACCCAAATTTAGTTCCCATCCCTGCACTCACACTTTTGTAGTGAGGCTCAGAATCCAGGCCAAGTGAGATGGATGTTGCCAAGACTCCCTTGGTATCCTGATGCTAAAAAGGCAACTAGTTTTGTCCCTTTATTTGGGCTCTTCACTTCACAGATCCATCACTTCCTCCTCCACAGTCTTTCTCCCGGTTTCAAAATATCGCTCCTGCACGCCAAGAGTACTGAAGCACTGATAAGGAAATCGCAACAAAATATCACATTCGAAAAATGCATAATGGAAGATTTGGTTTACTTTTAAGCACAATTCATGAAGTCATTATGAAACGCCACAACTTCCAGCCACCCTGCTGTGAACCTTAAACCAGACGAGTCACCGTGAGTCACCACAGCGTTTAGGAAAGGATACGAGTCAAACTGGAAGTCGGCCCCCACAGCAGCTGACATCATGGCCTGCAGATTCCTCTCCTCCCCGTCTCCAAAGCAGTAGCCGTTGGCCTTGTCCACTGTTCGTAAGACCTGAATCATGCTCTCCTTTTCCTGGACACAGAAAAAAGCTTTTTTTTTTTTGAAGATTTGTAGAAAAAGACCTAAAGGAAACCTTTAAATAGTGCCGTTTAAAAGTAAAGGGTTCCTGAAATATATATAAAGTATATGATCCTATCAACAGTCAGTGTTGACTTGTTTCATATGTCCTCTACCCTCTTGTGTGTACTATTGGTAACCACGGTAACCAGTGGCTGCTTAATTTAAAGCAGAGCAGCCTCAAGGCTCATTCTTCCCCATGATGGGAAAAGGAGTGGCAAGTTGCCATTCGCGTGAATTAAGAGTCCTCTATGCAATGACGGCCCAGCAGTCTAGACTCCTCTCTCTGGGCACACTGGCAGCGTCCCCGTCTCCCTGAGCAACTAATGCCAAGGAACAAATGAAGTGCAGACAGCCCTCTCACCTCTAAACAGTCAAATACATCTTCACCAAATGAATGCAGTGCTAGATTTAAAATGATAAAGAAGATTTAGGATTTACTTGTTGAGGAGATGAGTTCTTTTTAATGGTCAATTGGCGTAAGTGACTTAATAAATGAGTTTGACGAGTTCAGCGTAGTGTTGATGTTCTGTGCGTAATGAACCCCTTCATGACCATTCAAACATAATATGATGAAGGAATTTGTGTTACACTGTCCACTCATTAACCCACAAAGTTCTTCCATCAGTCCACGGAATGGAAATATAGCACGAGAATATTTTTTTCATATTTTGTGTCAGACGTTAATATGCTTATAGGCAAGGAAGTATTATTTTGCAAAAAAAGCTTGGTGAATATATTGACGTCTATATTGTACAGCTGTCAAATGTAAAAAAAAAGACTATGTACAGTGAAAATGATAAACCAGGGTCAAATTCCATGTGTGCATAAGCATACATCAACCAGTGGCCATGTCTGTATTATTAGGAGCCACCTCATCGATGACACCTTGTTCTACTGAAGCATTTCTTCATTGGAATCATAGTAATATCAGGTCCTAATCGTCCGTGGTACAGCACTGTACGATGTATTGAACCAGAGAGTCATTCTTTGAAAGATATAACAACAAATGATTCGAGAGCAGCACAGCATAATACCTGTACATTAAGGGGCACGAAGGAGACAAGGCTGTAATCTTGTATGACCTCGGCCAACTTCTCATTCAGACGGTGGAACTTTTTAAAGAAGGGGTCTGCAGCGAGGTGATCGAGGAGATAGGTCAGATCCATGACCTCCGTGTAGAAGTCAAGATTGAAGGCTGTACAAGAATACGGGTGAGGAAAGACGTCACCATTAGTGTATATACATAGTAAAACACACGCATTTCCTGGTTAAATCAAAAAAAAATGCTGGTGTATTTCTTACATTTATTAGGAATTTGTGTTAGTAAAGTTCTCCTGAGAATGGTAACATTTATTTAGTTCGAGGTGAAGCTGTACCCAGTTTGCCGTACTGCTCTATCAGGTCCATCTTGGAGAGGATGTTGACATGGGGAAGCTCCACGTGCAGCATGGTGGACAGAGAGGTGCAGAGCACGGAGATGAACTTGGCCGGGTCAGCGCAGTAGTGAGAGTCCACCAGGTGCACGGCCGTCAGCTTAAAGAAGCGAGGAAAAACACATACATTGGGTCAATATTGTACGTTCACATTGCTTATACGGTTAAATGCTCTGGGGACGTCATCATCATCATCATCCACTTCCAGGATTGTTTTAAGAAGCTCACCCTGAAATTCCACTTGACCAGCTGTGCAAATATATTCTTCACTGAACTCTGGTGGGTGTAGAGCTCCACTTGTCCGGGACAGTCGAACAGGAAGTAACAGTCACTGTGCTCTTTCAACTTATTCTCTAACCAGTCCAGATTGGCTTCCACGTACTCCATACAGTAGAGGAGGCCACCGTTGGGCCCCAGCTTCAAGCCCTCCATGACGTCATCCAGGGTGACCAGCGCCGAGATATCTACCTCGCAGGAATACGGAAGTCCTTCGTTGGCAGGGTCCATGTTCACTACGACCACCTTGCGTCCGAGTTGAGTGAGAAATTCCTGCATTCCCCGGCAGTAAGTGGTCTTTCCCGAGCCCGGGGGTCCGATGACCACCTGGCCGAAGCGCAGGGGGGACGCTGCTCCGGTCTGACCCGACATGTTTCAGCAAGTCTCAGGGGTCAGATGGGACCAGGACGCCGGAGGTGCCCGCGTGTGACGCCCTGTGCAGGGAGTCAGCGTCCAGGTTGTTACGTTAAGTCAGTGTCGTATGTGAGCGTGTAAAGAGGCCCGAGTAAAGTAAGACGCACTCAAATAATACTCAACAAGTAACGTTAAAGTTAACGTTAATTACAAATCAACCCCCCTTAACTTACTTAAGCAGGAGTGGATAAGTATTTATAAGTTCCTTTGTGGCCTCAGAGAAGTCTCATTAACGTTAATGACATTTTCTGTTACGGTGTTTAGGACGTGTATTTGCAAATGTAACGTATGCTGGATGATTACCGTCTCCCGCCGTTGTTTGCATGCGTACATCGGCTGCTAGCTAACAGGCTACGCTACAAAGTACATCCGGGTCGCGTGGCCAATGTGTCAAATTAAAAGCCTTGGTTTTCTATTTAGAAACGGGCGCTACACTTCAGCCCGAGATATAACCTAATATTTGTTCCCTTACGCCACATCCCTATTACACACACCACAAAGATCCATAAGAAAATAAGACATTGACACATACAAAAACAAGTGTTTGTGTACTCCCACAGTGTGGGAGTAAGTCTGCCGTTTAAGAGAACACATAATCTTATAAAAATACAAAATCTGCACAAGTGGAATGAAAGTTTTCAAAAAAATCTTTAATAACAGTTTTAAAAAATACAAAAAGCCATGTAATAAAAATAAATGAAACGTTATCGTTGTGGTCCAATGGTGCCACCCGGCTGCCAGCCTCTGTACTTCATACTAGTGTTGGGTTGACGCCTCAGCAAGGTGTCCCCTCCATCGATGTTTTTGGGTTTGTCATAAACTGTACTTATATGAAAATCTGTCCTGGCCTTCTTTACAGAATGTAAGAAAAGTTTCTCTCCATGATACCTGCAGAGAAGAAATACACTTGCATTGGGAGGACACTCAACCAGTCATATTTGGGTGATGTTTTTCACTTGTTCATACATACCCAAAGCCTCTTTTACAATTGGGATGTTGACCGTCACCCTCCAGGGCATCAGGAATCCCAATCTGACTGTTTCCCAATCCGTCACCATCCTTCCAGCCCTGCTTTTCCATGAAACGCCGACCAAAGCCCTAAAAAGGAAAAAAGCAACAACATTGTTCTTATTTTTATATATGCTCTAATGCTCTATGTTCAGTAGTCGAGCACAAAAGTATTCTTACCTTAGTAAACTTTTCAAAGCTTCCAATAGACTGATTATGTCCAGATCCATCTTCAAGACCCTCCCTCAGCCTTTTTTCATACCGCATTCGGACATAGTCACGGGCATCCATATCCCCTCCATCTGTGAGAGAAAGAGCTGGGTTAAAGAAAAACTGATCCCGCAGAAATAATTTAGTTTGATTCCCTTTGTCGATCAAGGTAATCGCAGATGTAAAACAAACTTTACCTTTGTCATAGTAAACACTCATGTCAACATCCCAGTCGTCTGCAGTTTGCTCATCGAAATCTAAGAAGAAAAGTACAGGAGACACGAATGTCATCAATATATTATCAAGCAAATTCACTTTATTTAAAGTTGTAGAAGCACAAAAGAAAGAAGCAAATGTGTTTTGAATAGATTTAGACAGATACTGAGCACAAATCAATAAAAATCTATTATTCTCATCAAAGAGTAGAATCGAGTTATTTCAAATATGTTGTCAACCAGGCTGCTACAAATTCCTTGTATGTTTGACATATTTTGGCAATAAATGTTTCCTGATTCCTGAGTTATTCCAAATATGTTGTCAACCAGGCTGGCTAATGTTAACATGAATCAGATACCTTGACATGTGCTTCTTGAGGTATAAACATCTTATCATATACTTAAAGAGGTAGATGTAGAGAGATTCCCTTGCAAAGTGTGTAAAACGGCATGACTGTTTTTGTTGCGTACCTCCTTCTTCCTCCTGCCAGTATTGGGCGTCAGTGTAGAACACCAGCCCCGAGCCGCCCTTCTCCCACTTTAACTCGATCCTTTCTTCGTACAGCCTCTCTTTGCTCCGCTCCTGGCTCGTCACATCCTCGTGCAAAGCCTCATGGCGCTCCCACTCCTCGCAGAAATCATCATCCTACAACCGACAAAATCAATAATTGTCAAACCGAAGTGACGGGATGCTGGGGACAATTCAGTCAGCCCCATATAACACCTGATAGATGCTATTATGAGCAGCGCATTTGATGTTCTACTAATGAATATGAATAGATTTAAACTCACGTCATCCGCATTTGAGTGTGCATCCTCCTCTTCCTGTTCTTCCTCTTTCTGTGGTTCATCCTTCTCTGTCGTTGCTGCATGACCAACAAGCTTCCTCCGTCTTAAGGGTGGAGCTGCGTAAGTGCCTGGTCCTGATATTTCATGTCCAGCAGCGGTGAATACTGTCTCTTCTGTGGCTGGAAGAGTCCAAGAGTCGCGATAATGGAAAGGGACGTTGCCGTAACGGCGGCTGGAGCTGGTCTTGGGGAAAGTGAGGCCCAACTTGCGGATGAGACGCGGCGGCAGACGGCACGACTGGATGAGCTGCAGGAACACTTTCACCGGTGTGCCAACGTTCCCATTCTGCATTAGAGATGGGGGATTCAGCTCGGGTAAACTCTGGAGGTCTGCCTCTGTGAAACGCTCTGTTAAGGACACCCTGTGGCGCTGCTCCTGCTTTGATTTATAGGGGAATGACCCATCATCTGAAAGATAATGTAAAAAAAAAAATTTAGAGGATGTTGTGACCTAAGCAACTATCTAACCTATAACTCCGTTGACAAAGTTGCAGCTATGACATATTATATAAATATAGTTATATTTAGTCTTCAACCCACGTTTTAAGGAAAAACACAACATTTGATGGGTATTCGATCGGCGGAGTGCATAACAAACACAAGTCAAATCCAGACAAAACCACACGTCCGTTAGGTCTTCTTGCAGCTTTACAAAGCCGGGCACGTTTGGAGAAGAATGACGTCACCAGTATCTCACGTTTCACTCACCACCGTCACGTGAAGCCGTTACTCGTTTAATGACACAACGACTAGACAGCCAGTTCCCCTTCGGGTCGATCCAGTGGTTCCCCGCGTACATCTTGACGAATCTGTCGGCATCTTTGGCGTGAAGCGAGGCGACACAACAGCACGTCTTGACCGCCCGCTTCGCCTCGGGGCCGCGCGCCGTGGACGCGGCTCGGTCGGTCTCCCGGGATTCGGGGCTGCCCTCCTCGCCGTCGCTGCGCGCGGGCTCCGCGGCCGCTTCGGTCTCCCTGAGGACCTCCGGTCGGTGCCGGTAGTGGAAACACTGAAACCCGCCGCTCTCTATGAACTGGCTGAAGTAATTTCTCAAATCCGCGGAGCGTAGAGCAACAGGAATGTTGCTTATCGCCAAATACACGGTAGATCCCTCCTCGGAGTCCGCCATGATGGGTTCTTGTTTTCTTTCTTTCTAGATAGCCAACGTCATCAGCACGATTCCCAGAAATGACGTCAGTTCCGCTTCCTGAGACGTTTGAAAAACGATATACGAACGTTTAATACCAGAAAGTTTTAGTTTAGTAGTTAGTGTAATTTAATGAATGGAGAGTTGTCTTATATATATATATATATATATATATATATATATATATATATATATATATATATATATATACGTTTTGTAGAAAATGGTTGTATGTACATTACTATTATTACTACTGTATAGTATGCTATATTTTTATTATCATGTATTTCACAGCAAAACGAACAAAGACAAGCAGAGTCCCATGTTGAAAGATAAGGCGACCGATACAAGATATATTATCTACATGCTCGATTTTGCCGGGGGAGCAATTAGGGGTTATGGTGTCTTGCTCAGGGACACTTCGACATGGGGCAGCCAGGGCTCGAACCACCCTTACCATGCGGTTCCCAGTGCACCCTCTCTACCCCCTGCGACCCCACAAATAATGAAAAATGATTGTAAGCTTTAACGGTCTTGTCTCGCTCTATCTGTTTGCATTGTTAGTTTACCATGATGTTTGCTATCTAGTTGAAAAATCCCGGATGTACAAGAAATTGTATTGAGCAGAGATGTAAATAGTGTGCTTGTAATCCACAGATAAACAAAGGGAACACTAGCCCATATAATATATTTAAGCCCTCTGAAGAGGAAAACTAAAACCAACAATAAATATTTGCCCAGTAGGGGAACATATTAAAATCCTTAGAACAGGCATTTTTACGAAATACCTCATAATCACTGAACAGAACATTGATAATGATCTCTGTATTCTTGATACGATTCAAAATGAAAGGGTTAAAAGAATAAATAAAACCAGTAAACTCAAATGAAAATGTTCTGGCTGTGTGTTTATATTACATATCAATTTGATTTAGGTAAAAGGGCGAATTACAAAATGTCGTGTATAAAATAGTACTAAAATCTTCCACACTAGTACATTTGAACCTTTCAGAGACAGAATCAATAAATGTATTCAGCCAGAGTTCATTAACCCAAGCTAACTCTTACGTTGGCCTTCAACTCAGCTTTTATCATTGTGTTCGATAGTAATAGGCAGTAAAAGTAGAACAAAGTGTCTGTCCCCTGACATCACTTTACACATCACATTACACATTTACTGTGCATTAGTCATAGCCAACCTGCCTTGGGGAAGTCCGTACATAGCATGACATGTTGCATATGTTTGAAGGTTACAAGGTAAAAATGAAACTTGACACAAACCCTAGGTTTATAAAAGATTTGTGCAGGTGATATATATATTGAATGAGAGCTCTATTGTATATAAGTATGTGTATGTACCAAATATAAATACAAATAGAAATAACACTGTAATTCCAGTATTAAAGGAAATAAGCAAGCAAAGGATTGGCAGAATTTCTTTATTATTAATTATTATGACAGCCAGTAACAAAAGACACCAGTCATGGGTCACTTCACTGGAGTTTTAGCCCCATTCTTAAAATGAGGACACAGATTTAAAATTAAACTCTGGCACTCAGTATTGTTTAATTTGTTTCATATACCAGTGCTTGAAACATAGGTCACATTGGACGATACAGTAGTCCTTAAAACAAAAATCTAAATAGATTCTAAAATGCATAAATATTCCATAGAAGACTTCAAAGAGCCTGTGTAATTCCAAGACACAGCATGGACCATTTCATTACTATTTAAGGCAAGCCAAGTTGATTTGTGTAGCACATTTCTTCACAAGTGCTTCACAAAAACATTAAAACCATCAAACCATAAGGAAAAATAAAAGGAAATGAAAAAACAGAAGCAATAACAGGTTAAAAATAGAATATAAGATGCAGTGCACTTTATGAAATAAACGGTAGTAGATTGCATAGCTTTAGAAAAAGTCTTACTTAGGACTCTTACTCAGATTTCTCCTGTATTAAACAAAACAGTAGATGTAACTGTTACAATGTAGATCATTCGAACTGTATTGTTGGATCGGATCTGGCTAATACTGTTGAACTGGGTTGTGTCTTCTAAGTTAATAATATAAATATGTTTTCTGGTAAACCTGAAAGAACAAAAAGTTGAACTGATTTGAACATTTAAAATGATAGAATAATCAAATTGCTTTACCATTTATTAAAATAACCTGAAGCCACAGTGTAAGAATAAGTGTCACCTCTGGGTTGTTGACCTCTTGAAATCAGGCACATGAACCTGCCCATGTATTAGCAGTAGGTCAAGGTCAACTGTCGTGTACCAGACATGGTGTCAAGCTCAAACAGAGAGTTCAGTGACCTGAGAAAAGTAAAACCAGAGGAAGAGCAAAAGTTAATATTGGCAAAAAATACATACCAGAAAAGCAAACTATACTCAACTTTATGCAATAATTATTATTTTTTACTATAGTCTTAATAATTATGCTGTTACAGTCAAATGTATTCGTACATTTCAGAGTTTGCATGTAAAACCCTCCTTTTTAAAGGCTTCCCTTGCCTGATCTGAGAATACACTTGTTCCACTTATAGAACGAAGGCCATTTTATTTTTACTGTCTTGGAAGAGATAAGCGCGTGTCCTCCGTGTCCATCTCCGCCTGCTCCTAACGCCCATAAACACCAGTCTTATCGCAGGCATTTATAACTATGCGCCTGCTTCATGAAGCTTGAGGGAAGTCTCTCTGTGGTGAAATGGTCACGTTCTACCAGACATCTCAACATGTTTTTTTTGCATTCGAGGCATTGGGTCCATTATGATTCATCCACATCTTAAATGAATGATCCCTCTGTGGATCATGAGATCACCCCAGAAAATAGGTTGTGTAACCTGTTGTGGATATGTCTTTGACGTTACAACTAAAGAGATGAGGTGAAGTAAAACAAACATTTGGTGACTGGTGCTGCCAGCCGTGTCTGGCTTGTAATTTTCTTTATTGCAGTCATCTACTCTATGAACTGTCCTTCACCCCGCGGCTGTGTGATTCAGTTGTTCCCATGAAACTCCAATAATTATACAAACAGACTTCTTGGCTCGAGGAGCAGGAGTCCACACAAAAGTATGATTTGTTAATACCAATATTGTGATAATAAACTATGGAAAACACATATTTGCATTGTGGTACTAAATGTCTAGACCGAAATAACTTTTCATTGAAAATTAGAAGTTTGTTTATTTCTGACAACAATAAAGTATAATTTATCATCGGCTTATCAGCCTCCAGCCTCCGTGCCAGGCACCAGGAAGACAGCGGAAGATAACCATCTCTTATTGATCAGAATAAAAAAATCTCTATCACTCTAAGAAATATAGCATTGACACAACCGAGGGACCTCCAACCAATACATTCTTTCAAATAAATTGACGACCTTCAGTGGTATCGATCCGTCTGTTTATGAGTTTTATTTTTATCGTGATACTTACAAAATGTTGTCCATACTGAACACATCTCAACTTACAGTATAAAGAACTAATGTTCCCCAGAAGATAAATGCTGCTGCTCCGCTGAAGTTTCCTTTAGTACAACAACGAGCTTGTGTTTTTTTATGTGAAATGTCTGATAATTATATATCATTTGGGACACACACTCATGTCAGCAAGCTAACATGTTAAATTAACATGAAAATGTTGACATTAAGATTTAGTTCCAAGTCTAAGTAGCGCTTCACAGAGCTGCCAGCACGATGATGAACCTGTAAGACTCCATGTTTTGACCTGCAATGAGTTAATACATTTTACATAAAGCAAACTAACAATTAGCAGAATTATTTAAATATATTTCAAGAAAAATTGAAGATTTTTTGTGTTTGAAAGGACCAATGACCTAAATAGTCGTTCTAAAATCCAGAATTTTAACTGTTTTTAACGTCAAAGGCAAACAAATAAAGAAAAAGTGGATGGTCTGTTTTACAGAACCTGTTTATTTTGTTATAATTCCAGTCACGTTCCAAGATGACATCCAGATAGATAAATTAACATAAACAAAGGAAAACCTGCTACACCACACGGAGACATGACTTGCAGGTGAATGCCCTCGTGCTCCGCTCTGGCTGGTCTCCAGCTCTCCAGGTGTGAGCTGGCAGTGCGATGAGGCTGATTATCGCCGCAGTCCTTGGTGGCTTGGTACTGCCTGGGTTAATGACACCGGCTACAAGATAAGGCCCAACCCTCCTGGTTTCCAAGCGTTACTCCAACAGCTCCTTTTCATTGAGAAAAGCTTATCAGTTTCCCAGGGTTGTTCTGTCAGTCACCTGGCAGAGTGCACGGTTGTTTTTCACGGAGTGTATTGACATGTCAAGGTCCACTTAGTAGGGTGGGATGGTCTTATAAATACGGGGCGCACCGGAGGAAGCAGCAGTACTCAGAAGTTCTTGCAGAGGCCATCCCTCGAGAGGTCTTACATTTACCTGCGTAGATCCCCACAGACGATAAAGAATGGATAACCGGTGTCAGTGTGCGACCAACGGCGACGCGCTTTTGAATCCTATCCTCTACACTATCCTGAGTCAAATGGACAGCGGCAGACCGACCCCACGCGGCTTCAACTACCATGCGACGGCCCACAGATGCAACTGCGAGCTGCGACGCACCGTGTGCTTGAAAAGGCCATCTGAGGCCTGCCAGGAGGCGTCAGCGGTTCTGGTCAAAACTGTCCATTTCATGAAGAATTTACCTGCCTTCAATCAGATGCCACAAAAAGACCAGTTCTCACTTCTCAGAAGCTGCTGGGCGCCGCTCTTCATTTTGGGTCTGGCCCAGGAGCGTGTGGAGTTTGAGGTGACGGACACACCGGCCGACAGCATGCTGAAAAAGATCCTCTTAAATCGTCAGGAGAGATATGAGACGGAGAGGGAGCAACCCACCATGGCCGGCGTCAGCAAACTCCAGTCCTGCCTCAAGAAGTTCTGGAGCTTGGATTTGAGTCCAAAGGAGTACGCATACCTCAAAGGGATCACGATATTTAATCCAGGTACGTAGATATCTGGTGTTAGATGCACAGATAAGAAAACTCGTTTCTTTGAATCAATTTCACCAACTACACAGCAAAAATGACACGCACGTTTCACTGATTAATGTCTTTTAAACTTTTTTTTTTTTGCAGATGTGCCAGAATTAAAGGCAGCGCTGTTTGTCGAATGCTTGCAACAGGAGGCTCAGCACGCCCTCAGCGAGGTGGTGCAGCTGCTTCACCCAGGGGAGCGGGAGCGCTTTCCACGAATCCTCCTCACGGCCTCCATGCTGCAGGGCATCACGCCAAGCCTCATCGCCGAACTCTTCTTCCGGCCTGTGACGGGCCAGACGGACCTGCTGGAGCTGTTGGTCGACATGCTCTTCTGCAGGTAGACGAGGACGGCTGGACTGAAACTGCTGCTCCAACTAGAGCTGTCGGGGAGAAGGTTGAATCCAATGAGTTTTGCTGTTTGCTGAAACTATCGTTGACCAACCTAAGCGATGTTTTCCTCATGACTGACAGTGCTGATAGAAGAGCCCACACAAACTGTACATGAGTCGGTGAACGGCAGACCGAATTACTTGCTCACACTGAAGTCAGGGTCACTTTTTTGCCCGGTCTAAAAATCTTGTTTGAAGAATTTACCTTTAACACACAAGCAGAGACGGTACCCACTGTAAATATCATGTATCTTATGTTGAAGGAATGTTTGCTTCAATGCTGCAGAAACAGAACATTTCAAATAAATATATTTTTGTATATGAACGTTGCAGTGAAGATCTGTTTCAATCTTTTAAAAACACCCACAGTATGTCAGGATGTTTGTTTTAAGCATTGGTCACAGGCCGGCTCATAGCCTGTGGCAAGAATGAGGTGACACAAACACCAAGTATAGGCCAATCAAAAGAAGAGTTTATTATAAATCAAAAACTAGTAACTTTAAACAAAGAAAAGGAATGAGGTGTGCGAATGTCATAGTGTAAGGTGTATGTAAGGTGCATGGTTGAGTGAATCTGTATGTGTAAACATGACTGAGTGTGAACAACGTAAAACCTTCAAAGGAACAAACAAAACAGGATCATACCTGGAGGAGCAGAGAGCAAGAGAGAAGTGGTTAGAGGCCTTCTTATACCTAGAGCCCAGGTGGCTCCAATCGCTAAAGACCCTCCTCTGCCTGCAGGAGGAACCGCCCCTGCAAGGCCGAGGAGGAGCCGTGACACATTTATAAAAAAAAAACAGCTCATTTGGCTGCTCGCTCCTTACTTACATATTGTGCAAAGTATTGCTCAATATTTAAAATGATTTACATAATTCAAATGTGTCACCCTTAATTTCCTGTATATGTCTATAAAATGGTGCCAGAGTTGTCTCTAAAAACACTTACAATACAAGTTGTTGCAGTAGAGATGAAAAAGGAAATAACTTTGTAATACAGTACAACAGGTATATTTTTAGATAAAAGTCTTTAATTGCGAGTGTTGGATGAATGTGTTGGACTCTTTGTGTGTTGAAAAGTTGTTATGAGTATTTGTTTCTATCTCCAGACTTCATAATCACATGAAAGCTTTATTACCTCACACCAAGCGAGATAGACGAAGACATACAGGACAGTAACACCAATTCCATGTGTCTGTTATGACCACAGATTACAGTCATTGCAGTGTGTGCTTTGTCTCCCTCTCATGGAAAACAGTCACATGTTTACTATAAAACTAAAACCCTGCAGCAGCATTCACAAGGGAACTAAACCTGGGCCCTGATATATTTGTCACAAACTTTTAACAAAACAAAACCATCACCCCAGTTTTTTTTAACTGAAGTGGAATAAATACGTGAATCAAGCATCCGGAAAAAAAGAAGAAGAATCCCAGCAGTGTTGACAATCTGCAGGCTGGATAGTTGATATGGAACAAGCCCTCTGTATTCGCCCCATCCTGTGGTACGCTAGTTGTGAAACAGCAAGCATTTCCATGACACCTCAATACAGGTAAAACAGGAATGTGCCGGCGGGGGAAGAGAGCCACAGGAAACGGGGTTACAAAGGACAGCTGAAGCGCAGCGCCACAAACACCGAAGAACCGGCATCTGACACGGAACAATTCCGAGGAATCGCTCATTAGTAGTTTTCTGGGATTTGTTGAGTAGATGGATAAATTTTGAATTATTCAAGTAAAAAAGTCTTTTCACCAATTACAATCTCAGCTATCTGCCTTATTGTACTTTTCAAAAACATCCTTCATGTTGTTTTTCACCTTGGTGCTTGTCATATGCAATGAGAGTATATAGGGATAGCTGAAAAAAGCAAAAAGAACTACTTTTAAGACTAGAATACATTTGAAAATATGTTAATTATTGGTTCATCTAGTTTCGATGAATCCAATCTGAAATGAAGGATACATTTCATTCTGCACACCAATTAATCCTGTTGCATTAAATGACGAAGCCCAGGATTTTATTTCCTTTTTGTCAGAACCAGCCAAACGAGTTCTTTCTTTGGCAGAGGGCGGAAAAGGCTTTCTGGCACAACCTGATGTCCTCAGGGAAACAAGCCTGATAACAATAACCCAAAGAAACAGATGGAACGTAGCTAAAAGATTTAGCTTACATCTTTGAATAAGTAAAAAGAACTATACGACGTCGCGATTTTCTCATTGAATTCACATGGAAAGGCATAAAAAAAAGTTTTATTTTGTTAAAAACATGTTTAAAAAAAAACTGGTCAATGCTACAAATGCTTTACAAAAACCCCAGAGAGTAACATCCACATAAAATATGTACATAAAAATATGGCTTAATTACAGATTGAAAACATGCTAAATGGCAGGAGTCTATAGACACATTCTCTCTCTCACACACACACACACTCACACACACGGCTTGCATAAACAAGAATGAGTACTGTCAAAACCATCAGTCTCTAGCCTCTGGCCTCACTACTGAGATTGCATGGAGTGTAGTCATGTTTCTTTTTTTAAAAGCAACTTTAAACCTTTGAATGCGTAAGAATACATAAAAACCGGCAATGTCTTTCCCCCTGTAAAGAAAATACCTTTTGTTTTTTTGCTGGAGTGATCCGCAAAAAACATTAGTCGGACCACTAGAAGCAGAAGTACCACCGCCCAGGGTAAAAGGTGCTCCGCTTAGTAACAGCAACAAAATAATTGAGACTAGCAGAAGGATCTCATTGTCCGTCCAGTTGGCTGCATCACTTGTTAGTAAAAGGAACGTCTGTGTAGCCTTCAGAGCAGAAGAGGAGCGCCTGAGGAGTCCATTTCGGTGCCATGGTGGTAGGCCGAGTAGGCTGTGGTGTTGCTGGAGGAGTACGCTGTGAGAGAAGGGGCTTTATTTAATACGCGGAAAACAGACAAACTAAAACACAGCTCTCAGACGATCAAGAGGAGGTTCTATTTCATGCACAAATGGGGGACCAGAGACGCGGACGTTGTGCAAACACAATGCGTTTGTGGCGGTACACCACGTCCTTTTAACCCCCCCTCTCCGCAGAACAACAACAAAAACAGAGACTTCTGCAAGTTAATCCACCTGTAACCAAAGCCGTTCGCTAAAATGACACGATTATGTGTTTATTTAATGTGACTCAACCTGCTGCTGGAAGCTGGTTGGTGTAGAGTGACTGCTGAGCTGGAGGCTGGGAGTGAGGCAGATTGATAGGTGGGTATAAGGTGGCAGATGATGGGGAGGAGGAACCTAATGAGCGAGGGATTGTAATGTGCAGAGAAAGGGGCAGGAATGTGGGGCTTTCACTGGTTAAAGAAGGGCACGATGCTAAAAAGTAGAGAAAAGGCCTGCGGCTGCGACAATGGTTGGTGGAGACCTGAGCTGATTCACCTCGGGGAAAAACAGATCTCCATCTGAACAATGCACACAAACATCCATACCTTTTTCAATAATGTGCTAACATCACAATTCTCCAACCACACGTTTCCCCACTCTACTGCGCACTGATCGGGGCTCTGGTGCAACTCCTCCTCGGCAGCCAGCCTACTCACTTCTCTCGCTGTAGGGTCTCATTTTCCTCGCCAGCTCGTCGGATGGCGTCTGCTCCGACACTTTCACCTCTGGAACTGTAGCGCGGGACAAGAAGACAAAATGAGCCCAGACAAGGAGCGTTAACAGATTAACGCACTCTCATTTTAGTAGCAATACGGTCATCCCGGCCATTGCGCAATGCGTCTTACGAGGCAGAGTGTGCCTGTACCAACTCGTCACCGATTAACAAATTATTGTTGGGTCATTTCCTGGTGTATTTGTGCTACAAAAGCAGCGTCCCAACAGACACTATGAGTCATTTACGGAAGACAAATGAGATGGTATATTTGGTATGTGGCAGTACCTAAGAAACATTCATAGAGCAGAAAGTAGTAATGACAATTGCTTAATCTCACAGTCACTGCTGACAAAGGTGTTGGTCATGGTCTCGTTGCCACTGTCCGGGAGAGTCCCGTCGTTCCTCCCATTATTAGGACGCTGTCCCGCCGACGGATGGCTCTTGTTCCTCTTGCCCTTCCGCGTGCTGATGCGGATGACGCCGTGCACAAGCTTGCACTCGGCCTCCTGCTCCTCCAGGTTGTAGTCCTGCGCGATGCTGTAGATGAGCTCGCTGATCTCGAGGGTCTTGCGGGAGAAAGACGAGTCGGAGGTGCACTTGGCCAGCTGGTCGATCTGGTGCAGGGCGTAAAGCTCCAGCAGCTTCTTGGTGATGAGAGAGTCGATGTCGGTGCCGGTGTCACTCAGGTCATCTAAATCATAGTCCTCGCGTGACAACAAGCTGGTGTTGCTGACCGGCCGGTGGCTTTCCCCCCTGCCCGGCGTACCGGTCCGCTTTGCGTCAGTAACCGGATACCTCACCGTCTGACCTCTGATGCGCACGTCGGCGTAGCGGAAGCTGTCACTCGTGGGCAACTTGGTGGCTTTGGTAGACTTGGTGGACTCCAAGGGGATGCCACAGGTGGGGTTGGTCACAGCCATGCCATTGGGAGGGTGGGGCTCGCTGCCGGTTTTAGGGGGGCGGTCCGTGGAGCTCTCGTTAACGGGCAGACAGGGCTCCCGGCTGCCGTAAAAGCCACAGGTCAGCACGCAGCAGATGAGGGCCTTGCAGCCAGTCCAGCCCATGGAGGTGCAGGAGCCGCAGGCATGCCTGCCGGTAGGCGCGCCGTCCGCCGACCCAGGGATAAATCCTATAGTCTCCGAGCCCCTCGGCGTGCCGTTCCGCGGGCAGCCTCTGCCGCAAACGTATTTGCTCTCCGGATACCGGGTGCGGTCAGCGTGGTGCTCGTGCAGATGTGCGCCGCGAGGGTCCCTGTAGGCGTCTTGGCCCGCCGCGCTCTCCCTGGAGATGGTCCGGGTGGGTCGGTGCTTGTCTGCCCGCGGGCCGGAGGCGTGGGGTCTGTGGTGACGGGGCACCTGGGGAGCCGCGGTGCTGTGGCCAGGCATGGCTCAGAATACCTGGGACCTGGTGGGGGGGGGATGTATAACCAGGTGTGAAACTCCCCTTTTGTTGCCACACAGACTTGCAGCATTAAATGCACCATGACACAGTGAAATAGCCTAAAGAGATACGTGGTAAACCCTCGATCACACTGAAGAAACCTCACCGGAAATTCTGAGAATGTAAAAATAAAAAAAACCCGAGGGCATTAATTGCTGGCCCGGATTGTAATTTGGCCCATTCCGTCGCGCTCTCAGAGCTTGTTTTGGCCTTCAGTGAACGCGCAAGGAAAACATGTCTGAACAAAACGCAAAACATTCTAGTTGTTGTGTTACTTTCGAAGCGTCCACTTACCGCATAGGAGAAAACACTCGTGGCTGTCTAGTGGTTGATAGTTAGAAGCGAACAAACCGCGGAAGTCTCCCAGAGCGGAAAAAAAAAAAACTTCTGCTCGCGCTTCAAACAAACACAAGGAGACGGATTCTGCGCCGCCGACACATTTCCAGATGATTTTATTTCCCCCCCAACTTACTTCGCTAACCTGAAGTCGGTTGCCGTGACCGGACAAGGCGAAGCGGCTCATTCGGGTCGTCCACGCATCTCTGGTAAAAGTCTTGTGTCGGCGCGGCGCTGCCGTGAGCCTCCCAATGTTTGGCTAATACCTGCGGCTACTGCTAATCCCACATTCTGCTCCCACCCACAGGTGAGTCGTGACGTCACAAGGGGCGGCTGTAAAATCGCAGACGAGGGAAAGAAAAATTAAAAGGGACTTGGAATTAAAAATAAGGAAAAGAGTGAAGAAGGAGAACAAGAAGAAGGGAGAAATAAAAACAAAAAACGGAAACCTCTGACTTCCATATTCATATTGTAATTTGGGACCAGTTGATGCAATATACCAATTGATGGTGAAATTCTGCAAGACGATGAGACAAGTGGGTTTCTTTTCTTTTCTTTTGCGCACACATGCTGTGAACATACACATGTGGAGGACACGCACGCGGCAGTGCACGGCTGCAGGGCCAGCAGGTGTTTTCCAGGCAATAACCTTGGTTCTGCCCTATTTCTCCCTGTATGGAAACACTTAATCACCCTTTCTTTGAACAGAAAGTAGGACCATCTTACCTGGAGAAGAATACGAGTCTGTGTGTTGAGGTGTCTTGTGATTGCACTGCAGGCACAATAAAGCAGGGACCCAATAAAACTAAATGTATCAACAGTTTATTTTCACTATAATTCATGTAAATACACGTTGCATATCACACAGTTGATTGAATGTCTTCATTTGAATGGTGCTATGCTACTGTCACAATAAGGGTTAATTGTATTAAATAGAACGGACTGAAATAGTTTCTATAGGTTAAAGTTTCTTGGGTCTAAATACATTTGTCATGACATTAAGCTACTGTTTCTTTTATGTTTCTGGCAGTCTTTTGCAGGATGTTGGGATATTTTAAGTTACAATACGAAACAGCTAACAAACCAGATGACAAAAACTGAGGCCTTATAGAATGTTTGTATAGCCTATTTATTATATTTTCAGTTAATGTCTGATAAACATACACTAATAATGTCAATTCACAGATAAAAGTGCCTGGAAAACACAGGTATGGTAGGATGTATAAGTAATAACCACAGTATGAACAGGAAGCTCAAAAATATTGTAAATCTACCAGCTAAGTAACCGTTCACATCTACGTCTTCCTCAAATGTTTCTACCTTTGTGAAAAGATCATCGGTTCACAGGTGGAGAGTTTGCCAGCTCTTTAACCTGTGTGTCTGCAGGAGGCTTCACAATACAAGTGTCACTTGTCAGTCGTTGAGGCAGAGCTGATCCTAAATCCCGCCTGCTGCCACCGTTATCTGCGGGGATGTGCCCCAGCCGAGGGTCCGAGTCCATCTCGTAACGGTAGTGATAACCCTCCAGAACATCCCGACACGCGTCTCTCATTTCAATGATCCACTTCTTCATACCCTTGCGATTGAGGTAGAGCACAAAGAGAAACACCATACCAACAAGACCAAGCACCAGCCCGAGGAAGACATAAGATGTCTGCAGGGGGAGGTCAGCCACTTCCGTTTGGACTGGATCAACACATCCAATGGCGTGGACGCTGAGCCCTGGCAGGCGGGCGCCACTTAGTCCTCTTGGCGAGGCGCACCTCACCGCATCCAAATCCACCTGAGCTCTCGATTCGTTCAGCCAGGCCGCGAAACGGCCGATGTCGCAGGAGCAGTTGTAGGGGTTGCACCCAAGGAGGATTCTGATGTTCCCAAGCTTCTCCAGCTCTAGTAGAGCGTCAGCCCCGAATGTGACGAAGGCGTTGTGGGTAAGGTCCAGCAGCTCCAGACGGTTCATGCCAGAGAAGGTTCCACTGTGGACGGCTTCCAGAGAGTTGTTGGTGAGGAAGAGCTGCCGCAGGTCGGGAAGGTGGGAGAAAAACCCAAGGGGCAGCCGGGCGAGGTGGTTCCCAGAAAGGTCGAGTCGGAGGAGTCCTCTGAGACCCCCCCAGCGCAGAGCCGTGGTGAGGTCCGTCAGGGCGGGGAGGTCGTGCAGCGAGCGGCTTAAGTTTAGCTCCTGGAGGGGACTGCCGGGTATGCTGAGAGCTTCGGGGTGAATGAGGGCCAGTCGGTTCTCACTGAGGTCCAGGAAGCGCAGGTGGATGAGGGGAGAGAAGCTGTGGGACGCCATGTCTGTGATCCTGTGAAGATGACGAACACTGAGACATTTAACACAACTCAGTGTACTGTCACAGTAAACAAATAAAAAAACACATTCAGAGTAACAGACATTATTAAGGGCTATTTATTAGTTGTGCATGAGAAAAGTGTGTCATATCCAAATATGGCTCAATGGACACAAATCAAACAAAAACAATGACATTCTCACCTATTATTACTTAAAATGATGTTGGTGACATTCTCCATCTTCGTAAAGGAATCCGGTCCAATCTGGTGTATATTGTTTCCTGTGATGATGACCGCCTTCGCATATCCCGGAATACTTTGTGGCACTGTGAGAATCTCCTTGGAAACACATTTCACTGTGCGAGTGACAGCAAAACACTCACAGCCAAAAGGACACTCCAAGCACTGGGATGGTGTACAGAGAAGGATTCCCAAAAACACCCAAACAGCAAAAAAACACATCTCTAAACACACATTAAAATGATGGCAGAGAACCAAACATCATTCCACCTGAGCTAACAAGTCAAGTTGTAAACACAGCTTTTCTTTTACTACCAATTAAATGCTGCAGAGGCGACAAAGAGAGCTCCCGCCCCAACCCCTACTCATCTGAACCTCTCTGGAAATAAAGGTGCAAGTCAATTGATGGTACTCTGCACCACGTAGAATCGGCTGGATGAAGAAGTTACGTGGTTCCCTTAAAGGTACAGAGGACAGTTCGGGCATCCACAGCCTGTGACCTACACTGGTCTGCCAGGGGAGACTTCACGTCCACAAATGGGGTTACAGAAACATGATTGAGATATACCAATATAATATATATAGATATATATATATATATATATACAATGAATGATTATTTTTCATGTACATAGCATAGAAAACAAACTATGAAATAAATAAAATAGCATTCTTCATAGTCTGAGCTACAGAAACATCCCAACATTGGGATCCACAGATACAACACACAACAAAGAGGGCATTTTTTTACATTGAAATACCTTCGTGTCCTTCATTATTTCTATCTTTGGTAGTGGCTCATATCTCTTAACTTAGACTGACTAATAATTGATGAACACTTTCAGCACTAGGATTTCTGAATACGTTTGGTAGTGATCCATCACTGAAGTGTAAATTAGTTGGTGCAGAAACACATTCATCACGGCTCATCATCATACTTGTATAATTCTTAGTAAGCAAAACACCAACACAGAAGCCTCTGTGTGAAAAACAGTACATTTTGAAAATAAAGTAGCTTACTCACCTACTAAATTAAGCATGTAAATTGTTATAACATTAGTTTATTTCAAAACCAAACACAAACGAAAATTTTCCCTAAAAAGCCTCCATCACGAACACACAACAAAGTCCTTCATTTTGTGACGGTACATAAACGTCACCATCATTCACGTCAACAGCCAATAACAATACATCAAGTACAACCAAAGACTACGAGTCATCCCGCTGAGCCTAACCGCTCCGCTACTGGAGGTTGAGTGTTAGGATGAACGTGCCGAGGACTCCGCAGAGCATGAAGAAGGGCAGCCAGGTCTTGAGGAACGCCGCCCAGCTGAAGGACACAGAGAGAGCAACATGTTGAGAGGGAGATGAGGACATTTGAGGGGTATCACATGGTCCAATGTCTTTACTCCCCCTGAAGGGCCACGGCTCTTCTCTCTACCCCCTGAACGCACCCCAGCCTGCGTGCTACTGTCCTTTCCACCAAGCCGCTGCAGGGAGCCCCACCAGGGAGGCGACCTTCAGTGGTGACACGGGGGAGAGCGCCATTGTCGGTGATGGATTACACTCCTCCCCTTCTGTTTAAAAGGCCCGCGGCAGGTGGATGTGCCGAGGCAGCGAAAACGGCGGCGTCTCAATGTGGGTCGGAGGAGAATAACGAGGGGTTCTCTTCTTAGTGTCCAGCAGAGCGATGTAAAACAACTGTGTGTTTGCCCAAGAAGTGTTACAGACCATATTTTTCTCATGTGATTATATGACTGCTTCTGTTTTTTCTCTGTACACACGTCTGCTTTTGCATATCCGTCAGTCTGATGGAATTTTGTCCATCTGTCGTTGTAGAGGATAAACATTTGCCACAAGTGTTCACAGCTGTAACTAGATCCCAGAGCGGGTAACAATATGTATTAAACTATGAATAAGATGCACACCTGGTCTGGCTGGTTCGACATGTGAACTGCTCCTTCGCAGTATGACAAATACTTACTTTACGTGTTTTCCACGAATAAGAGACAGCGCGCACAGGTTGACCATGTTCCAAGAAGTGCTGTTGTCGTAGTGCATAAGGTTGAGGGCCATGGCGACGTGGGAATGGCAGTTATCTAAGCACAGATTGTGCTTCAACAAAACAAAAATAAGTTATGACAATATGACTGATCATGTGGAAATGTGTGTGCGTGTGTGTCAAAAGCCCCACATATCGTCTTACCGGCCTACGTTTGTACTCCTCGGAGGCGTCATGCACTGCTTTGTCCCACGTAGCAGCACCGTTGCCACAGACTTTGTCCACATCAAGTTTCCAATACCTGCAATATTAGTAATAATATTAACAACCACTGGGTTCACTCACATGTGTGGTTGGGTGTAAAACACCATTATTACACAACATTTTGATGGATACTTACTTTGTTGGTCTACCGAAGCCCATGTTGTCTTCCTGGAAAAGAAAGGACACATTCTGAATTATTTGAGCTTCAATTATTGTGGCATTCAGGCGCGCCTTCATCAACAATGTAGCAGCTTTATCCGCACGTCAGCTGGACACGACTACCGGTCGTAGCTGATAATTGGATATAATTCGAGTGTTTAAAGAAAAAGCATCGTCGACAAAAATCTCACCGAGACAAAGTACGACCCGGCAAAATCCCGTATGATTCCTGAAGAGGTGCATATGCCCATGTGACCGATGAAGGGGAGCAGCCACCTGCAGGATGCAACAAACAGATCGATACCTTTATTGGGAATAACAGCACGCACAATACATGACCTACGAGCGAATTTAATGCAAGCATTTACTAAAAGGAAACATATAACATGAGCCTTAACCAGCGGCTTAAACCTGCTGCACTCGGTTTGACGTTAGCTAACCTGCCGCAACACATCGTTTTAGGAACAACACCATCTGGTTCTTACGATAAAATAGGAATAGGTGTCCACACGATGCAGAACGGGTAGCGGCTGATTTGTTTGTCGTTTTTCAAGAAGTCTTCGTGGTAGTTCATTATGATCTCGGTCTCGTCCACCTCCGCCATCACTGCCCGGAGTGACACGAGAAGGCAGTGACGCGCAGCGGCGCCAGGCGGCGTGGAACGGCCGCGCCGAGTCGGAGCCTCCGTGGACCCACCGACCAGCGGTCCGTGAACGCACCACCGGTTGTTACTGCGCATGAGGGGCTTTTTCACCATTACATCCACGTGAATGAGCAGTTTAGTTTTACTAAAACAACAATGTGCCTTGATGAAATATACATTTGATTGTCACGCGTTTGTTATTATACAATCTGTTGGGACAGTTATTTCTCCAAGGAACACATTTTAAATATGCTTTATAATGTTGAATGTGGGCATGTGTTGTTAAAAATGACCGTTATCTTGAAGGCCCTTTCTAACATCTACAACTAGCTTTTTTTTTTGCCGTATTCCAGTTCAGTCAGACATGTGCTTCATCACTACCACAGTTCCCAAAGCTAGGTCACCTCATTACAGGTGTATGTGGAGCAGAAGATCTGAACTCTCCTATTTGTTGGCCATAGTCAACCAAAGCAGCACATTGATAAACGAGCTGCAACCACAGCGCATCTGTCCAGCATAGATAATAATGTCTTCTGCGCCATCTGTGGTTGACTGTAAATGTTACCCACGATTATTAATATGGTCACTTTAAGAAGAAAAAGAAAAAAGCAAGCGACTACAGACAAGGTGTTCAATAGTTTTATTCTTTACTTTGTTTGCAACAAAGGTTATCTTAAGAGAAAATAAGAGCATCTAAATAATAAAAAAAAGAAAAGAAAACCTATGGAAGCGAGTGTTGCAGGTGATTGAGGACCCTTTAATTCATATTCAACTGTTTTGGGGGGAATTAACTGTTGCAACAGATTGGATGGTTGTGTCCTCTTTTGCCAAAATCCCAAGCAATGCAGATATTTAGCCTTCAAATATTTAACTCCCCGTTGCCAAATACCCCAAATGAAAATTTGCCTAACAACATGCAGTCAATGAAAAATATAACCCCAAAATGTATTGAATTTTTTTTCCTCTTTAGATATATTGTTGAACAATCTCATGTAGCAAAATCTGTTGACCAAAAAGGAGTACAAGTGGTAGAATTGTTTCAATGAAACAAAGTACACATTAATCATTGAAGACTTTGGCAGAAGAAACCACTTTTTTTTTTGACAGATATCAACTAGATCGGGCTCATAAATACATTACATTGGAGCAACAATTAAATCTAGGCTTCCTGTGATCAAAACTCTGAAACATAAACACTGAAAACACGACCAAGTCAACCTCGGAATTAACGACTTGGGTGTGTGCGGCCTTTCTGAAATGAGTGGGCAGTAAGACTCGAAGCTCCAACTGTAGAGCTGACAGGAGATGCAACAAAAGCCCTGTCTTCTAGTCTGTGATCCGATCCTCCGCGGAGGATCCGGCCACTGTGTGGCCACGGTGACCTGAAAACAGGTCGTACAAGCGCAGGCGAGGTTAGTGTTTCTCCACATAAGCGCCAAACTCCTCCTCCCTCTTCGTGAGATGTCCACGTCCCCCCACCGCCCCCCTTTGGAGGGAGAGGCTGAGGTTTTTTGCTTTGATGAGGGCGGGATGGGCGTCCCCTCCTCAAAGCGGTCTCAACCAGTCCCCTCTTTGGACATGGGGGGGGGCAAACTATAGTGCAGACATGTGACATTCACTCAATGTTTCTGTCAGATTGGGGAGGAGTGAGGGAGGGGGGAGGTGGGGTGAAGCTTCAAACAGGAGCTGGGAGAGAGCTTCGGTTCCTACATCCATTCTCCAGAACGGTGGGAAGTTCGTTTAGCTCGGCCGACACTGCACTTGTCCCTCCGAGCTGTCTTCGTCATCGGAGCCGTCGGGGCCGACGCCACGCAGGCCCGTGATGCGGTAGCCCATGTTGAGCAGCATCACCTCCAGGGGGTCCGCGTTCATGCGCCGCTGGTTGGCCTGAGCCGCGCTATCCATGTCCTCCACCACTCGCCCGTTCTCAGTCTCTGTCTGCGTGGTCGAGGGAGGGGGCAAGCGTAGCGGTAGGAAATGGAGACAGAATCAGTTGTAATGGTAAAGGATGCTTTCAGAAGTAAGTAGTGAAATGATGACACACTCACACAGGTTGTTCCCCAGCTTTGACAAAATGTGTTTCTCAACACGCGTCGGCTGTTTACCTCTGGTCTGGGGCTCCATAATCGAACCACAGGGTCGATCCCACTAGTAGCTAGGAAGCAGGAGTTGGGGTGCGGCTGCAGGCAGTTGACTATGGACTCGTCCCCCTGCAGGATCCTCACCAGGTTGGTGGTCTCCTTTTCCCATATGAAGAAGGAGCCGTCGTCTGAGCCGCTGACAATGTACTGGCCTTTGCTGCAGACAAAGAGAAACCATTCAGACTCGCTTGACGAGCCGTATTCTTGGGAAGTGTCGTAATCGCGTTTGGAGCCATCAGGAAATTGTGCAACGGTGTTCCGTTGAACATCTCTCCGAGAACAAATGCTCACGTCCCCGTACGCGTGTAACACAGAGTTCTCCCATTTCTGGTGGGAAAGGGAACTCGGTTGGTATCTTTTTGTGTACAATTGCAGAGAAACTGAACTTTGTATTCACTATGTGTACTTTATTACATTCTTTGTAGAAATGTTTGACTTTTGTTTTATCACAAAACCTGATAGACAGTTTCCTAGCGGCTATATTTATGAAAGAACAGGTTTTTGCTCTACTGAACCTCGCCTGTATCTTTGGCGTTCTCCGCGACTGCCCCCTTCTGAGGCCTCAGCAGACTGCCAGTGAGATCTACTGACCTTCCAAAGAAGTTGGCCTCTTTGATATCCGTGGTGGTGTTGCAATGGCCACAGTATCTGTGCTTGTAGTCAAAGCTGCGCTCCCTCAGCACCAACTCGTCTTCAGGGATCGACTCCTTACGATTGAAGGAGTGGAACCGAATGGAGCTGTTGGCTTTCTTATCTTCTGCTGTTGAGAAAAAATATATATAAAATCAGTACCACATAGTTGAAGAGTTACATGCACACGCACAACACAGCAGCCACACGTTTAGTTTTAGCTCTGCTTCATTCCCCCAACTGCATTTACATCCTTTGTAAATAAAGGAATTAGCCAGTAAGAGTGATTTTCATGCTCATTGCCAGATCAAAGCACCAGTGCACTTTTTTTTCTACCTGTTTCTGCCTTGGTGAAGAGAGCAGCCTTGATATCTTTATCCAAGCAATCGCACGCACTACTTTGCGCCTGCTCTGGAAACTTTCCTTTGAAATCATCGAGGCACTCTAGAGCTTCTGACACATACTTCAGCTCAAACAGACAGCGTGCCAGCCTGAAATGAGCCTTCAGATGAGCAGGATTCAGAGTCAGAGCCTTAAGGCAGTCCCGCAGGGCGTCATAGTGGTCTCCGTCCCTGCCAATCACACATGTAAACGAGCAATTGGTAACTGCTTCAATATTAGCGTTGAGAAGATGATCATCCCTGTGTAGTGATACAAAAAGTCTTACCACTTGCGCTTCATGTATGCCGCGGCCCGGTTCCCATACAGCATGGCGTTGCAGCTGGCCCGATGAATGCCCAAACTGTACAGTTGAATAGCTTGGGTCCACTGCTGCCGTGCAAATGCATCGTTAGCTTGTTGCTTGATCTTCTCCAAATGAGCGGGGAGCTCAGTAGAACTTAAAAACAAAACACATAGGAAACATAACTCAAGTATGTGCAACCTCAGACCGTCAAAAGAGGCAATAGGTGTAGAAAAATACAATCACTAACCTTAAACGCATCTTGCTTTCAATTCGAATATGGCTGGATGGCAAGACAATTCCGTTTGAAGCGCCGTTTGTAGTCTTTCCATTCTGTACATCTCCTGGGAGGCCAAAGATTCAGAAACCACAAATGCATCTAGAGATACAGGACTTTGTGTTTCTCTATGAGGCACCAGTCAAGATGGTTTGTCAATATCCCAAGCACGGCCTACCTGTTGATGACTGGCACTTTTTGGGAAGTAAGAAGGTGTATGGCCTCTGTTTGAATGTCAAGTCAAATAGATAGACCTAAAAGGAATCATACAAATAAACAGAGCAAACATTTAACTCCTAAAACTGAAATAAATGACTCCTGTCACCATTCTTTTTTCTCTCCTCAGAAGCGTTACCTGTTCACCCCCCATGTTAACAAGCAGCTCAGTGCCGTCGGGGCTGAAGGTGACGTAGGTGGCCACCAAAACCCTCAGGCGGTTATTGTAGTCCGGGAGTTTGACTGGCAGGTGCCCTGGAGCATCAGAGCAATAACAGCACTTAACGTTAGTCAACCCCATCCTAGCACAGTGTTCATTACTGTATCATTGTTATTCTATTGAATGAATTTGATACCAGACAATCTAACCATATTCGCACCTGCAACATAATACTGCCCAGCTTCGTCTGGAATCGGCTTCTGCCGGTCACAGAATGTGTGCACAGCTGCTGATGTGCTCTGACCTACGGATTTTCTGAGTAACAGGGGAAAAAAAAAGAAGAACTTTTGTGTGCATGTTTGTCAAAACCTGGAACGGGGCGTTTGCCACATTTGAGTTTATCATTTCTAACCATAGAATGACATTCGAAAACCCGACCAACCTGTAGTTGTTAATCATCCTGATGTCGTAGAGGCGAACAAAAGGCCCGTTGGCTCCCACCGCCAGGTAGTTGTTGTCCCGTGGGTTGACAGCGAGACACTTGGCCTCAACCAGCTGACCGCAGAACTCCGTCAGATCAATCAGCACCTCGGAGCGCTTGCTGCTCTCTCTCAGGTCATATTGTCTGAGGTAAACAAGGAGACGGTAAACACTTCACCGGAAGCGAAAGGCGGTATGGGCCGTGACGCTGTGATTTCATTGTAAACCTGATGATGCCGTCCTCCGCAGCGCTCCAGAAGGTGTTGGGCCACATGGGTGCTGTAGCAATGCGTTTCACTCTGTTCGTGTGATCAGAAAACATATGGATGGTTTCCTTCACCGTCAGGTCGTGCACATGGACCTTTGTGTCGGCCGCCCCCGTTATCAAAATTCTGTCCCCCGAGTGAGGGAGGAACTGTATTGACAAACAAAAAAACACTAGAATTAATTGTTAAGCACAAACAATATTTCCCAGTGGCTCTGCTTGTATACACAACAATCTGCAGAGCAATCGGATTATTGCCAGTGAACACAGATTAAAGACTAAACATTGATATTCCCATTATTTAGCTATGGATCAGATTATCTGCTTTAAAACATCAACTCTGCATTATCTTAAACTGTAACAGTTCCCCTCCAGCATTTGACCTCTCTAGCTTTCTGTTTCAAAGCTACAGTGGTTTACCTGGAACGGCTTCAAGACAGTCAAACATGTACAAAGATGGCTTTCACGCAAACAACAAGCCACTCATTAAATGGCCAACAGTGCCACCTACGGGACAGGAAGTGAACGTGTATTAGAAAGAGATGGTTAATGACTGAAGAACGAGAAAGGTGAAGCTGAGCGATCGAGCTTACCAGCAGAGAACTTTTGCACATGACACATTTGCATATAAAGTTGCATTATGATTTCAGTATGTGTATGGAAATGTAGCCACGGTTAAAAGATTTCATCCAACGTTGCCTGTAGCAATTCAAAGCAGCCGTCTTTCAATGGGCCACCCTTACCTTTACAGAGAATATATTTGCTGCATGACCCGTGTGCATAGTTGTAAGCTTTGTGTGTCTGAAGGGATCCCAGATGATGGCATGTTGATCATCCGAGCCCGAGGCCAGTAGACTGAAAATAAAGAAAGATCCCCAGAATACATTTACATTTTATATCGTACACTGTGAAGCACGTTAAGAAGAGCAATAGAGACCCCAGCGTACACTAATACTACCTGTACACCTTAGAGGTGTCCAAACTAAAGATTCAAACGAAGGCCTCCTTGAGCAATGGCGATATCAAGTGAGGTCAAAATCAACTGCTTAAAGAGCAGCGGCGGTATACCAATCCGATAATACAGTAGTGAGAAAGACATGATGGTCCTGCAGAACAGCCTTATTTTATTTAGACAGACAACCCTGCCATTATAGGCATTTATGTTATGCATGATAGTCTTATCATTAGCAAAGTATTATGTACACTGCTAATGAGAAGAGTATAGTTTTAGATGGTTGAGGACTGTAATTGTGCTTTAAGAAAAAGGTGCAAATCATAGGACTTACTCTCCTCTTTCATTCCATTCCAGACAGTTGACACAGCCAGTATGGCCCTGTTGAGATACAGTATCCACTGTGAGTTATGATAACGCACAGATATATAAATAATATATATGAAACACACACACGCGCACACACACACACACACTTACCTGAAGCTCGGCCTCCAGTCCAAGTCTTTTGATGAACGGGTCGGTCACATGATAAGACCTTTGGAAGCCGGACGCTCTCTTGTCCTGAAGACAAGAGTTAAAAACTCTCCATCAGACTTTAGTACATAACAAAATCACCGGCATTCTTTTCAGGTCAGCCAATCAACGACCATTTCTTCATCCGAGGGACACGCTGGGAGACTGAGCTCCCAACACGTTCTGCCATTTGTTTACTCACTCTGATCTGCCGCTGCAGGAGATCTCTGGTGATGTTGACAGTAGTCATGACCTCACCACAAAACATAAATATGGGTCTGGATGTTCCAGGGGGTCAGAGCTCAGGGGACATTTACTCCATTTCCCCCCCGAGAATAAGCTGTAAACATGTTGAAAACTTTTGAGACATGATGAGGTGGAAAAACAGGAAGGACACATGATGCATTGATTTGAACGTTAATGGCAGTTATAGAGCGATGGAGAAGGCACGACAATTTAAATAATACGGTCATTATGGATTATCTAAATACAGCTTCACTATAAGCACTACAGACACGTCTCACTCGATCATCTACGAGTGCATTAACGTTAACTAGCAAATGTCAGCCATGCATCTCTGTCAGGATTATGTCACGGATTGCTTCGCAAAAAGAAAACCTGACAATTGATCCACGTTACGGCGCAGTGAGCAAGCGCGACTCGTTAGCTACCGTCGCCTCTGCAGCGGGCCCGGGAGACCCGTCGCTTACCGAGTAGCCGCCGCTAACGTTAGCTAAACAAAACGCCCGCTCCGCGCAACGTTAACATTCGCAGCGTCGCCATTGCAACTCGCGACGGCTGAAGCAACCTCACCGCTCTCATTGGACTCGACGGGCTGCTGTCAACACGTGTCCATTTAGCCAACTCGGTAAATTACACTCCGTGGCAGTTTGTTGACAGGATAGCTTCCCTCTGACGTGAACGCTGCCCCCCTCAAAGCGCTGCACTTCACGCAACTTCCTCACGTTCCTTACGTAGATCTCAAATAGATCAATAATATCCGGTCCGTGTTTGTTTCAGAATAAAATCCCCTCCCTGCCTGGAACTTCATTAAAACCTATGTTCGAAGGCTTCCGGTAATATACTGTTTTACGCTTTAATGTGTCCTGCGTTTGTGAAAATGTGGAACACAGATTCAACATGCAGCATTACAGAACGTCTGGTAACAAAAGGGTGTTCTCAAAACAAGCATGAGGCATTTCGACAAGTTATTTTATTCGTACATCAATCGGGGAACTTTTTGTAAGCAGGATATTGTTCTCAAAACCGAATTAAACAAATACTGTAAGTGTAATGTTTATCTTCTGCTATCAAAATAAATTATTCATTCCAAGCGAAAACCCGCTCGGTAAACGTCCAAAGACATTCAAGCAAAAATGTATAATTGTCTGTTTTTACCACGTTCACAATGATACAAATCAGTTGGCTATTGCTAACATATTGATATACTACAAATATAGCGCGTGCACGATATAAGATTTTATACAAACACCGTTTTCACAGCGATACCAATTTATAGATTTGAACTCTTATGAAACTTTTTCACCCTTTTTTCGAGGTTCTTACAGCCAACTCAACGCTTCTTTGTTAGGTCCGTTCGTTTTGTTCATCTTTAGTGGTTTTTTGTTCTATGCAGAAGAAAACTAGTTGCATCTCTGTAGTTGCATCAGCCGCAATATTTCACAAAACGGTTTGGCGAAAACTGCTACCTTAGCGCGGGCGGAAGTCTCAAAACTAACCAGTGCAGGTTTTGCACAACTTGCAGGCAGGAAATCCGCAAACGGTTTCTGGGACAACATAAAGCGTCACTCTTCAACGGGCGGTACCGTGGCGTTAAACAAGCGACCAGCGTGGGTTTGATGGGTCGTCTGCCATCACAGGGGATCTGTTCAGTTTGCTAGCGGAGGAACAACAGCGGCAGCGGCGGATGGTACAGATTCGGTCTCCAGCCCCTAACCGAGATTTGTTACCGCACTTCGTGCCTGTGTGAAACAAAGGGTAAAGTAACATTTAAACTCTGGCGTCTACAGCCACGCGACATTAGCCCGCCGCAATGTATGCCACGATACATTTATAACGTCAACATCCACTCGAGTAACGTTAGCTAAGCAGACGGAAACGTTGCGTTAGCTGCCAGCTAACGTTAGCTTGTTAAACGGAAACGGGGTTGTCGCGGATTAGCTCGAATGGGTAACGGTGCAGTTTAGCGCTGTAAATATCATTTAACGGTTTCCCGAGGAAATTGTGAAGAAGTTGTCGCTGCAAAGCGGCCTGTTCATGGGTAGCTACGGTCGGTGCATTTCGCTAGTATCATAGCATGTAATACGTGTAATTAACGTAAACCTGTGGTTACGTTTAGCTAGCTGATAGCTTGCCTCGGCGGTCATTTCCTGTTTAAATTAACGTTAGCCGGTTAAGAGGATTGGTTTGTATCAACCAGGCTGCCTCTGAAACGAGTTGTCGGTGCCAACACTTCGCCCATATTAACTTGTTTCACATAATGCAACCACAGCTTCCTGTACCCTCTGAGGGATGTAACATTAGTTAACGTGTTTGTGCAACACATCGTGTAACCGTACGACATGTGCTCATGTTGTTATTTTTGTTGCTACCCAGAACGATCTGTCGAGGTTGTTACGGGGCAGATGAGTTTGATAGGTGAGCGGATCAGTCGATGGGGAACAGCTGTTGTGTACAGAGCTGTGGACCTTCAGCTCATAATATAACAGGATGGAAGAAAGGAGCTTTTGCTTTAAGGACATCTCCAGAGTCCCTGGTTCTCCACAGAGGGCCAGTTGCCTCTTTCTCTGTTTTCTCAGCTTATTGACTGAGGAGAAAACTTTGATTGTCTACAAACAAGAGTTCAGCTAGTGATCCTTTTGTCAAGTGGATTATATTCTAAAACTGAAGAACCTTCTTGTCAGTGTGTCTGTGCTGCATTGTAATCTGTTTCCTCATCTCAATCAGGTGACATTGTCCTCTATGGAATGACAACCTCACACGGATATATTGAATCAAAACCAGCAGGTAAGTCGACACCGTGCCGCCAAAATGTGTTCGGAATGTCAGTTCAGTTTTGCTGATTTATTCCTCTATTGCCGTTGTTTTGTTTCACAACGGTGCAGCGGCTCTGTTTGCTGACATGGAGTGGCGGACACCAGCTGTGTCAGAGAAGTTTCAAAGCCGTTTTGGCCGCCGGCCTGGAACAGCAGACAGCGGGGACACTGGTCTTGGCACCTCCGCATCTGACAGCACAGAAGGTGATCACTTTAACTTGTTCTTCCCCTCCCCGTAGAATGTATTGTGTAACGTTGTTGTGGAGACTGGGTCAGTGGAGGCCCAGTTTGTACTCTGCACAGCCAGAGGTGGGTGGTTTTTGGTCAGCTGAAGTTATGCACTCTTTCCGGATAACTGTGCTGCGATATCATTAAGCCTCTATACTTTTTTTTTAAACAGGGGTTAGCTGGAAAGTTGAGAATGTAATGTGTGGTGAGACGCAACGTTGGGCCTCTTGACTCAACCACAAGCCCTTAGTTGTGCTGAGGCTCAAAAGACTCTTCAAGTTTGACTCGGTGTTTCTTAAAGTGATGCTGGTTATCCACTGTAGTTGCTCGGGAGATTTGCGGAGGTGGATTAAAGTCTCAGCCAAAAATTCCCTGAAGCACTGCTACAATACTCTTGCCTGTGCTGTGGAATGTGACGTAAACAAGGATTCCTTTTATTTTTGGTACTGCTTTTAAATGGGCAATGTCCCTCCAGAGAACATTCTAAATCTCACTGGAATTTGGGCATACCTGTATAAGGACTACAATATATATTTACAATGAATGGAAAAAATAACATGCAGTATCAGAGAGGTTCCATGTGATCGTTGGCCAGCTGGAGTGCGTGGTTCCCTTGCGCAACAGGAACCACGAGAAAATAATAGGCTGAAAAAACATCAGAGGTGTATCAACGCTGTAGGGTTTGAACTTCCCAAAGCTGCTATTTATGCTGCCAGCTGGAAACTATTCATAACAACTTTTAACAGGTCAACTGTTACTCTACGTAAAGTTATATGTATGTGTGGTGGCTTCCCTGAGGATGCAAATACACACAATATCCTGGGTGTCAGCAGAACCCATAATCTGTGTGTGAGAATACCACATGGCTGTGTATGTACACTGATGGTGTAAACAGGAAGGTAGATGGTTACAGAATATATGACATTATAGTACTCATGAATAATAAACAGGATACTTAAGAGCCCCTCTAATCTTACCCAGTAAAGCAAAGTTTAATCATTTCAAATCTAGTTACTATCTCCATTAAATTTCTGAAGTTAAAACTAATGCATACAAATATCAGGTTAACTAGATGGGGCTAAAAATAATATAAACACTTCTCCTTTTGGGTGTTGCCTGTCCTCACACTGGTAGCTCTGCTGGTGGCTGGAGTCTCTATCCCTCATACTTCTATTGGCTTGTATTTTCTTTGTGTTGTGCAGAACAAAATAAGCATTGATAAGAAATAGAAAATACGCCGCTTTGTGTACACGTTAGAGCGTATGAAACTATCACTCGGCTGACGCGCTGCTCTCATCGCCGCAACAACAGTTTGTCTTCCTCATGACGGCAGTTGTAGAATTGTAAAGTGCCGAATTTAACTGCTCAACAGATAACAGCTAGTATAGACAGTGAGTAATCCATTGGCCTTGTTGAATAAAGCACTGGGATTCCATGGGTACCCGGCAGATTCAAAGGGAAATTGTGAGCCTGATCCTTATTAAAGTCTTAATATCAATCTGTTGTTAGGTTTGCATGCTTTTTTTCCTAACCCTGCACCTGTTTGTCGTGTGTCCTTTTTTTATTTGAGCTTTTCTTTTCTTTTTTTTACAAACTTTTCAGACCTCCTTTGTTTATCTACAACGGTCAAGCATACTACTGGCACTTGTACAGCTTTGTCCTGACACTTGAACCGACAGCTGGGCCTGGCAATATGACAATTGCCCCCCAGTGTAACTACAATAATGACCCGCTGGAGATAATACCACATAATGCATACTGGGGGCATAACCAAAACAGCTTTAAAATACCTTTTTTTTGTTGTTGTTGTTTTATTAAGGGAATGCGGTTTTTCAGTTGCTTGATCTTAGCTGCAGGTAAATGTCATTATGGCAAGAATGTAGCCATGTAGCAAAGGGTTTAGACTTGTTCTAGTTCCAGTTGTGATGATTCACTGCAGCCTGTAGGCTGTTTTTTAAATGTCTTTACCTTTTAGTGAAAATGTTCTCTCCTCTGATTGCAAAGAACTTTCTGGGTTATTAAAGAAAAACCGTGTCCCATGAAGTTATTGACCATTGGTGTGTGTGTGTGTGTGTGTGTGTGTGTGTGTGTGTGTGTGTGTGTGTGTGTGTGTGTGTGTTGTTACAGAGGGAGGTGGCAAGGTGCTTAAATAAGTGGCACCCACAGATCACTCTGTAACATGAGAGGTGGGCTATAAATACCCCTAACCTTTCCTGTGTATGCCCCTTTGCTCGGTGCAGGCTGGTCGGGGTGTCCTAGGACAATACAGTTTTGGGCTCACTGCCGCTCCTCTGTCAGTCGTGGCTTTATCGGTGGATCTGGTTAGAAATGCACCGGACGGACTTTGGTTTTTATTTTAAGCATTCTTCAGCTGAGCCCACCTCAGTTCAGCTGTAGAAAACATGCCACCGCTAATGACTTGTTTGATGCGTCCCAGTGAAAGCAAGGTTTCCACACCGAAACAGCTCTCTCAGGTTTGTTTAAATCACTTGTGTAACTTTAAATTGTGTTGGGGGTTTGACCAGATGTCTGCAGGTGCGTTATGGAGACATTATCTTTTGACGTTGGTCTTTAAGGTTTCTGAATGATGATGGTTAACTTTGTTGTGCTTGATGGAAAGAATTGAGTTCATACTCTGAAGTCAAATGCAGCTTCTCTTTGTATGTTGTTGAGTAAGTCATTACTGGGGTTAATGTTTCTTAAAGAGAGCAGATGGTGGATTATTATTGTTTTACATGAACACTCCGGCATGGCAACTAAAACTAGCTTAGCTTTTCAACATATGTTTTAGTTAATCATGTAATTCAGAGCGGTTGTTCTGCGCATTAGTTTAAGTCTATTATAAGCCTATTCCCTCGGTTGACTCGGTCTGAGCCTGTTAATTCTTTCAGTGGTGACACCTAATCATCAAAGTAGGCCACCCATAAACCCTGCTGCCTCCACTTTGCATCACTGAATGAAAACAGAGAAAAATAGCCTGGCAGTAGCGTTGAAGATATTGTGCACCAATTTAACAAGGTCTATATGAAGATTGAAAAGTGAGGGATTAGCTCAGTGCAAATTCCAATAGCTCTTTCTTCTGTTTAAGATTTCTGCAGTTCCAGCAGCAGCCCCCCTTTCCAGCCCATCCGCAGTCAGATCCCCATACCCACTGCACATGTCATGCCATCCACGGCCGGAGCCCCGGCCTCCAAGCCTCAGTCGGTGGTTCAGGAGGACTCGCTGTCCTCGGAGGGTCACAGGTCTTCCTCTGGCTCCCGAACCCCGAGTGGCTCCACTTCAAAGTCTTCCCCTCTCTCCAAATCCGTGTCTTCACCCAACCTGGACGCTCCGCCCGCTGTGGGAGGGGATCACGTGGGGCCAAAGCCGGACTGCCTGAGCCGCTACCGCAGCCTCGTCAACGGGCTGGACCACTCTCTTTTCCCCTCGGATCACACGCGGATGGACGAGTGCCAGAAGTTTGACACTCCTGCCGTGGAGCCCACTCTAAATCAGTCCGCCCTGTTGGGGGGGTTATGCCCCGATGTCAGACTCCGATTACAGACGACCGGCATCAGAGAGACTCCGGACTGCATCTCTGAGGCCTACAGAGGAGGCCTGGAGCACAGCTACAAGGTGCTTCCTGAGGCCAGGTCGGGGCTCCCCGGCCAAGCGGAAACTTTGGTTCAGAGGGGAAGTCAGCCCGGTGCGGCCGGATCCGCTGGAGTTTACGCAAACCCTCTCAGCCTGCAGACACAGGCTCTGCTGAGGGAGCACGCTGGCTCCAAAGGATACGAGCCATTGCGGCAGGACAGATGTGCTGAACTTTCCAGCTGGCAGCAACAACAGCAACACAAGCATCAACTGGAGAGTTTACGCATGCAAGTGGAACAAATGCAGGTAAGCATTTATTCTGGAAATATTATTTTCTAGATCTACTCTGAGGAAAACACTGTGATAATGTAAAGGCCATCAGAGTAAACATGTGTTGGCAGTCGATTGTTTGTTTACTTTAAAAATCGGACCATAAATATAGTTTCTGACACATTTGTCAGCTTGGGAAAACTAACGCTCCAATAAAGAACGCCCGAAGCCAGACACGCCAAGTCTATTCTAAAAGTAAAGTCCTTATAACAGAGGATTGTCTGGTGTGTCGTCGGGTTTATTTTGTTACATGATGAAATAAGAAAAATCCCTTTCTTGATCAGCACTCAACGGCTTGTCACAGCTTCCTAATGCAGTTTGTGACAAGCTTTTGTAACGGTAGAACATTTTTCCATTGCAGTGTTGCTTAATTGCACATGCTGACCGAGTGCCACTCTGAAGGGACTTCCTAATAATAGTGTGATAATCTGATCAGGTGTCAGACGAGGCAAGACTGCTGCATATTCTGGAGCTGTAGCATAATGTTTTGTGACTATTTCTAGCGTAGAGTGTCAACTCTGGTGTTACACGCACCGTACAGCCTCTATACTGTGCAGAGATGAGGGGTCAACAGTTAACGCAGTGCTTTTGTAATAAATGGCTTCTCTCACAGTCTCATGCTGCGTGTCTTTTTGTTTCAGCTGATGAGTGCTGGAGTGTCCCAGTACCCGTCTCTGTACTCGTCGCCCGCTCACGCAGAGTCCGGCAAATGGGACGCTCTGGTCAAAGCCAGCGAGAGTCTGCTTAAGGAAAAGGAACTTATCATCGAGAGGCAAGTGTTGATGCTTTATTTGGGGACATTCTGGGACTATTTGATGATGGGAAAACTTGGAGCTTGGAATGCACTTTATTTTGACAGGAGGATTCTGTGAATGCACTCGTTTTTAAAGGAGTTGTTATAGTGGCGGATTGTTTAAATATTTTTCTTTGTTCCCTCCAGCCAGGGGATATACTGTGCTTTTACACGTCAATGTGGATGACTTTATTGTTTTTCTGATGTAGACAAAAGCAGCATATGACCCAGATGGAGCAGCGTCTGAGGGAGACCGAGCTGCAAGTCCATGGAGCCCTCCTGGGTCGAGGAGCTTCTTACGGGGATATGTGTATGCTGAGACTACAGGTCAGTGAGGATGTGTACCCGGCATACTCCTCCCTCCTTTGTATACCCTCAAGAACTGTGGAAAGCTAACAAGTTGCACTGCGGCGTTGCAGGAGGCCCAGAGGGAGAACGCCTTCCTGAGGGCGCAGTTTACGGAGCGCACCGACTGTGTGGTTCTGGAGAAAGTGGAGGCGGAGCGCAGACTGGGGGCAGTCGAGGCAGAGACTCGCCGACTAACGGACTGCCTGAAGGAGGCCTGTGAGCGACACGCCGAGGAGATGAAGAAACAGGAAGAGAGGGTTTGTGCTTGCCTAACACATCCTCTTAACATGCAGTGTTGAAATGCCAATAAGGGCCTTACTTGATTGAAAACAATTAGCACTGAAGTGGAGCTGTTGAAATTCTGTTGAACTACCAGCTGATGTTGTAGGTCCGCATAACACTTCCACTTTTGCGTCTGTGTGCAGATCCGCAGTCGAGACAAGCACATCAACAACCTGAAGAAGAAGTGTCAAAAAGAGACTGAGCTGAAAAGGGAGAACCAGCAGCGCATTGAGACTCTTGAGCGCTATCTAGCTGACCTGCCCACCTTGGAGGATTACCAGAGTCAGAACAAGCAGGTACGGGGATCCCTGCTTAAGTTTCATGCATCCTTACTGGGTCGAGGTATCGTAATCATTAAGCCTGGACATTTTTTCTTTTTTTTGGTAAGCTCGTGGAAGCCGAACAGCAAGCATCTCATCTACAAGAGAGGCTACGAGAGCTGGAGGTCTGTCTAGAGACGACGCGCTCCCAACTCCGAGAAAAAGACACACAGCTGGAAGATCAGAAGCGCAGGGAGAGGGACCTGCTCACGACCATCACTGAGTACGCACACACCAACCAACACGCTGTCCACAACAACGCGCCTTCCCATCCCCCTCGGTAATAACTCTGCATAATGTGTGTTTTTGTTTCTGTCGTCATCAGTATGCAGCAGCGGGTACAGCAGGGCCTCGAGGATGGAGCCAGACTGCCTTCCCTGGACATGGAGAAGTTCAGAGGAGAAAACAATGCGTTGAGAGAGGAGCAGCATAGACTGAAAAAGGTGTGTTATAAGGGGCTGATTATATTACTTGTCTCTCACTTGTCATCAAAAGCCCATAAAAAACTGACTAAAGCTTTACGGTGCCAGAAATCCATTTCTTTGTTTTTTGACGGTTTATTTTTAGGCTAAATTACTCCATCAAACAAGCACCTATTTATTTATTTTAAAGCTCATCAGAGTACCGTTTTTTTTAAAGTGTAGCTACTGTGTTAATGTCTTGTCTGTGATTTGCTGTAAAGTAGTCTGGTCATGAACACACACACACACACACAGTTCCACAGAGCTTCGGTCACAACCTCCCCGTCCTGCAGATACATTGGAAAGACAAATTGATGTAACTCGATGTAAGAACTGTTGGGAGTATGTGCTGCATTATGTTAAAATTCAGTTCTTCTCTACGTAGGTCATTGAGAAGCAGCACCGGATGATGGAACAGCTCGGCTCCCAGATCCAGGTGTTTATCTCTTTACATGAGTCTGAATGACTCATGTGTTTATGGTCTCCATAATCACTCCTTAACATTCACGGCGTCCTCCATTGTCCGTGTCCACAGGCTTTGGAGGAGCAGTTATCCCAGGAAGAGAGCAGCTCTCAGGCTCTCAGAGAAGATGTGTTGGCCAAGGAGAAGAATGTGATGGAGCTCCACGCAGCCATGAGGGAGGTGAGACGACAACCAAAGCTCCCGTACCTTCCCTGTGTTGTATGCAGAGATGATCCCGTTCATAAACTGTTTCCCGGCATATCGTTGATCCGTATCGCCGTGTTTTTCAGCTGTCTGCCCAGAACCAGGAACTGATGGAGCAGAATCTGACCCTGCGAGAGCAAATGAGTGAGCCAGAGCAGAAGAGCACCAACCAGGCATCGTCTGGCCTGCAGCCAGCCGGGACTCGTCTAACTCAGCGACTTCACGTTGAGATTGCGTCCTGCCTCGGTGACCTGCGCTCCCTGTGCAGCATTCTGACCCAGAGGGCTCAGGGACAAGATCCCAACCTCTCCCTGCTGCTTGGTCTCACGTGTAAGCACCGCTCCAGTCGGGCGTTTTCAATGTGATCATTTGTGTATGTCAGTTTTGTGGAATGTTGAAGTGGGGCGAAATGTAAAACATGACTCATGTTTGGTTTTGTTTTGCCTCCCAGCGCCTCCACCGGTTGCGGAGCAGACCGAGGACTGGATGAATCCAGAGGTGCTGCAGAAGAAGCTGCTTGAAGCTCAGCAGCTCCGTCGGGATGTCGAGGAACTCCGTAATGTAATACTGGACCGGTACGCGCAGGACATGGGGGAGAACTGCATTACCCAGTAACCTTGGCAACCGGGTGATATAGGAAACGGTGGCATGCGGCCACCACACCATTTTTTCCGAAATGAGGACTGAGGAAAGCCCAAATGGTTCAACTTCTCTTGACTGACTGTAGGTTGATTTTCAAGCCTGCCTGTAGCTCAGAACCCTCCCATCCCCCTCCCGCCCCACGAGTTCATCTATTTCAGTCCGAGGGCTAACCGAAAATAACTTACCCTCTAATACTTGATCCTTAAGCGTTGTGCGTGCTTTTTTTGTTTTTTTGTTTATCAATGATGACATAAATACTGTCTGTTACCAAGCAGTCTTATAGGTGTGTTCTGCTCTAGTGCATAACCATTTGTGTAGAAGCCCAACACGTATAACTTATTTAAACCTGAATTTCCCTCTGGAGGGAGATTATACAAGAGGTGGTTGACAATCAACTGAAACTTTTTTTTTTAACCTGTGCTTTAAACTGAATTGACAAGTAAATGTTACCAACATACCATTATTTAAAATGGTGACCACTGTAACATGAGACTCTGCTGTGCGGTTAAAGACTTAAGGGTTTAATACCAAATCGGCTTCTAACACCAACAGGCCTACAACAGTTTGACTACCAAAGAAACGCTGGTCTGTGAATGTTTATTTGTGAATGCTTCTGTCTTCCGTGGGCCCGGTTCTGGATGAATGGATACCTACATGTGCCTTTCCGTCACGGTTGCAACCACGATGCTAATTCATGTGAGACGAACCACAAAGGGGCCGCTGCTGACTCTTCCAATACGACCTCCCGCTCAGCGTAATAACCAGTGGGATAGTCGATACATTCCCTGACTCTGAATGTAATAAATGACCAGAGTTCGTGGAGGCCCCGACGCTGTTCATGTTCCTGGCAGATGAACAAAGTTCAAACCTCCTCAGTTTGAGGGATTTCCGTAGAAATAATGTTCTGGTTTACTGTACATTTCTGGTTGATGATGGCTGACTCGCATTTGACAGAGTGGTTCAGTGTTTGATAGATGTATGACTGCGAAACAGTATTAATCTTCAGTATTATTTATTTTGTACTCTTGAGAGCCTCCTAAAGTGTTGCTGTAATATTGTGCTAAAATGTTTGAGGAAACTTGTGTAAAGGTCCCATGAAGTGGCTTTTAGATTTGAATTTTGTCCTGTGTGTGTTTCATATTAGACCTGATGTTTGTCCTGATGAGTGTGAGGATTGGTGTCGCTCCTTCGAGGAAGAAGCAACATGTTTTAATCCAACGTGATGATGGGAGGGGTTGGCTGGATCAGCCCTAAATAGCCAATCACATTGTGCATTGGAGTTTTGTGCAGGAGAAGCCATTTAAAAAAAAGAATGGACACTTTACAAGCAGAGGAAGGGATTTTAATATAAATATATGCAACCTATTTTTATACAAATTGTACAGGACAACAAACCCAGGGACATACCAGCCATTTTCCATTTCATGGGACCTTTTTTTAAAAACGTGCGCAGCACAAGAATTTCTTTGAAAAGTCAGGCTCTGCATGCCTTAACATCTCAAATGTTATAAAAGGGAAAAAGATGTTTATATTTTCATACTTTTGTCCTTGTTTGCATATTTTAGAAATAAAGATTTTCCACATTTAGTTTTGTTTTCCATTTAATTGAGATATTTAAAGGCAGTTTTTTCCTTCCTGTGAAGAATGAGTTGTGTACAATGTCGAGGGATTTAAATGAAGTCCTTCATTTGATTGGACTGAAAAAGTGGGCGGTCTTAAAATGCGGCTTGCGGCTTCATGCCATCATTATTTTAGAATTAGAATTTGACATACTTTTTTTTTTTTAAGTGGGGTTTTTATTATTTTGTAAATCTAACGTCAATGAGGTGGACATTGTCTCTTTCTGTCTGTCGCGTCGGAGAACATATTACTCATGTAATGCGTTGTCACGCAGCATAAGAACAGTCCCGGTCTGCGGTCGGGTAGTTTGATGGTTCACTGTGACGACTTGCTGAGACTTGACCAATGTGACCAGTTACAGCTGTGATTTTCTACTGCGAAAAGAAGGAAACAGAAAACCATTTGCAGGTCCATTTAATTGATCTCCGACTGTGAAAGAGGGTGTTGCCTCTTTCGCAGCAGCAGCATAGCGTTCGTTGTGAGTCCACACGATTGGAGCGTCCGGTGGTCGTCATCGAAGCAGCACCGCGGGGATGCAGTAATGATGTCATAACCAGGGAGTCCACCCCCTCTGGCGTGCAAGAAAATACAAGCCACCAGTGTCACATGTTGGAAAGACAGAAGTCGACGCAAAGATGCTCTTGTCAGTTTTCTCACCTGTGTTCGTCCAGATGCCGTCGCAGGTGTCCCACTGTATCCGAGAAGCGCATTTTCAGAATGTAAGTCCGATTCCCGTCTTCTGATCTCACCTTCAGTGCGATGACATCGCTGTCAGACGAAGGCCGGTCAGGGCTGGATATCTGCCGTCTGTTGACGGTAAACAACCAACGTGATGTTCACTGCACGGAGCGTACCTCCGCTTGTATTGTAAGACATACAAATCTAAACATACTTGGTCTTCGATGGTTCAGAACCTCCATCACAAGCTACTGAGTGTTCGCTCTCCATACGAACGTGGCCTATATTTCAGACGTGCTTACGGTAATCCCCTCGGTCTTGACAATCAGCTGCTGTGGCCGAATGGGTATTTTAATCAGCCTTTACATCATGTTGTGTGTTCTTGGGTCTAGTAATTCCTTTAACCCCATAATCCCTGTTTTTATTTTCAACTTGCAAGGATGGAAAATGATTTGAACCATCATACAACAAGACTTGTGTCCCACTCTCGATCTCTTATTAAACCCAAGATGCTTCTTCTCGTATCACTTGCCGTGCCGGTGTGTCTACGAGGATCACAGAGTTGCTGCTCTGCGCGTCAGATGGACCCTAGTGAGAGTGAGAGGAGGAGGTTGAGCACCAGCACAGACCGGAAGCTTAAAGAGTACAAAATGCTTTTTGATAAGTAGGTCGAATGAGTCGGTCCCCCCCCCCCCCCCCTGGCTGCTGCTCACCTGCAGCACAGCCCTCAGTGAGTCCCTGATGTCAATCACCCGACCGGCCTTCACGACCACGTTTGGTAACTGCTTTAGGAACCGATCCGTGCTCGACTCCTTGCCTGTGGCCGGATGTAAACACGAGAATGAGACTGAGTTCCAGCTCAGGTTCAACTCTCGATTGTAACGGAGCGATGAGCGTCGGGCCGACCGGGTATCTTCAAGCTGACGCCATGGGATGATTCACGGATAGTCTTCCCTTCGCCGGGAAACTTATTCCATGGTGCCCTAGATATAAACTCCTGATCCCGCCGGTCATGAACCTACGGAAAAAAAACATCTTACCAAGATGCAAAGTCGCACATACGCCCATCTGCTAACTTGCTGCTGGAAACTTTGACCTCAAAGGGCACTCCGTCCGGAAACCGCTCCTGAAGCTCGGATGGGAAATACCCGTCCATCAGATCATTCATGCACCGCTGCAAAGGCGGCAGAAAGCGCATTCAAACCACAGTGGAATCCAGGTGAGACCATGAAGTGGTTTCCGGTGCTCACCTGGGTGCTGCGCTCCTGATACGAGCGGAAGGGGCCGTCGAACATGACGATGCCGTCGCGGTAGAGACCCAGTTGAATCGGCTCCCTTTTGGCCAACCGTGCCCCAGTGGCTGTCGGCCGTACAAAACACTCTCCCTCCCCTGCCAGGACGTTCAGCTCCACGATCCTCCGCTGCACGAGGTCAAAGTTCATGCGGAAGCCTGGGGCCACAGAGGCGCCTTGAAAAGGAAAGAGCGAGTCAGTGAGGTTACTGCTGCGAGCGCGGTGGATGTTTGGAGCGTGAAGAGGAGTGCAGAGGGAGACTACCCGGCTGCTCACTTTCACCCGCGTCACTGCTCCCGCCATCTCCCACCCAGGTCAAACCATAGTCATTGAGAAAGCTCTGTCGAGACGAGGATCAGCAGGATTCAGTATCACGTCGTCCCGATGTTGACTTGACAATGCACCGTTTTATTAGATCGACTTACATTCATTTCAGACACTCGATTCTGCAGCCGTTGGCACTTTCTCTCAAGGCTGTCTCGGCCACTCAGGTCACGAGCGCTCTCTAATCAAACACACAAGATCAAGATCGCGTCCTTTTGTTTACAAATGATGTGTTCATCTACCTGCGGTCCGTAGATGTTACCTGAGTCTTCTGGAAACCTCAGCTTTGCCTCCAACAATGAAATCCTTTTATCCTTTTGGGAGAAATTAAAATTGACACGTTTGAAAGAAGTTTCTGTTTTTACAGTTATACATGCTCGTCCGGCAGAGGTGTGTGTGTGTGTGTGTGTGTGTGTGTGTGTGTGTTCACCTTGCGCTCGATCTCCTTTGCCTGGCACATTACTTTCCGCTCCAGCAGGCCCACCCGCCGTATCATGGCAGACATTAGCTCGAAGTCGCTTGGTGGAACACCTACATGTTGGAGTCTAATACGTAAAAGCATCCTTTGCACTCTTCAAACGTACAACGTTTGATATGAGCTAAAATTCTGTTTGTATAACAATAAAAAGAAGAGGTTCTCTGCTTTGGGATAGAAAATGTTGAATATACCTTTCTTTGAAGCAGCTTTTGGCTTTGAAGCGGTGGCATCATTGGCTGCGGTTGGTGAAGGAGTTGAATCAGAGGATTCATCATCAGCACCAGCAGCCTGAAATCCTGAGAGAAAGAACACAAGACAAACATGTGAGTCAAAAGGGAGTTTGTCAGATAGATGTGATAGTAAATGGTGTAATATAACTGAGTACATTCACTCAAGTGTATCAAGTAAAAATATTGGGTCACTTGGAGAGTAGGCTACTTTTTGTCATGTACCCCAATACATGTAAGATGGAGATATTCTACTTTTAGTCCAACCAAAACTATTGAACTATACGTGTGGAAATGCTTTGGTATAAATTAAACTACATTGAGTATTAAAACCTGTCCTCCCCCACTGGTGACACAACACGGTTTAAGTGATGCAATGTAGTGTCTTCACGTTAGGAACGTACCTTTTAACATGTTCCTCCCGATGGGCACTTTCTGTCTGTCCCTGCGGGTCAAACACAGGTGAATGTTACCTGCTGCCCGGCCTGGTCTCCTCAAAGCCACGTGTTCCTCGTCAGTAACTTACCGCTGTTCACTCGCAGGGTCCGGCAGAGGAGCGCGCCTCCTCTTCTTCAGCATCGACAAAGGTGAGCTCATCTTACCGGAGACGGGAGAGGTCGATCCGGTGTCTGGGTGTTCAGGCTCGGGTCTCTTTTACCTGGATTACTTGATATTATTTAACGCCTCATCGCAGAGTTCCCGTGTCTTCACTTTGTTTGGCGTCCGTTGCCGTTAGCAACGACGCGGCGCGAGCGCCTGTTCTCGTCACTGTCTCTTTTGCATTCAATGACGCGCCAATTAAAATACCTTACATTTTAATGGAATTATTTAATGAATAATGACGCACTGCGATTGTTATTATGAAACATAATATATATGAATATCTGAGCTCTCTTTCAGACACACTGGCCGCGCTCTCATGGTGCGTTTCGTGTGGCCGCTAGTCGGCCCTGTGCCCGCCGCGCTGCCCCGCTCAGCGAAGCGAGCGGCCACTCGCAGAGGATGCTGAGGCCGGTCGGTCCCGGTGCACGTCCGAGCTAAACCCTGGGGCTAACGGGCCGGTGCGGGGCTATGGCTGCACCCGTCGCCTTGTTAGACGACGACAGGCCGATTTCGGGTGTTTCCAGCTCGGTGTCCGGACGGACTGCGCCGCAACCGCAGAAAAGCCGCGTGGCCGCCGCCGCGACTGAAGCGGCCCCGCGGCTCCCCTCCGGGGATGGCGATGGGATCGAGCTACCGGACAGCGGGTTCTCCTCGTGGGAAAGCCGCGCCTTCAGGTCCTCGGTGGACCGGGGGAAGGATTTTGAAGAGAAGTTAACCGTGTGCTTCCCGAGCGTTACCGCCGACACGGAGAGCCTCGCTCGCGGTGGAGCGATGAGCGCGGACTCGCTGCCGGAGGAAGACGAGTGAGGCTGTTTGTTTCCGGCCTGTCCGGCGGCTAGTTTTTATTTTATTTATTTTATTTATTGTGACGCTTTAACTCATCGCTGCAGGTTACATTTTCAAATGTGTATAACAGGCATTTGTTTTTAATGGGAAGTCGAATTTCCTAGATTGGGATTTGTTAGTAATGGTTACGTCTCTATATAGTGAAAGCTACCAGTGCCACCATCTTTTGTTGCCATCACAACAACATTAGTCCGATTAACAGATGTATCAACAGACTGGAGGAGTAAACACATCCTTTGTCATAACATCGGTGTCTGCCCCTGAATGTTGGCCGATATGTGTACTGAATGGTATACTTTTGTTATTAATTTTTAGTTACTTATTTGATATTGCCAATGGTGATTTGTGTGCAAAAATACCCATATGATGATTATTCAGAGAGGAAATAGTTACATTTAAATAGGTGAATAAGGGTTAGTTAGTCAATAGGGAATGAATATGCAACTGTTTTGATAATCTAAGAATTGTCTTGTGGATTTATCAGAATAAAATAGTTTTGCATTCAAAAACTACAACTAAGTACATTATAATTCCAACAATATCGACGGTGTTTAGTTAATAAACAGCGTGAACACAATTAAATATACACTTTACAAACGTGAAACATTGTTAATGACCCCACCTTCAGGCTTCTGTGATGCCTGCAAATGTCATCATTTATTAGGAGGATTATAGTTCCACATAAGAGAAGTTTAATCTGGTCACATATGTGCATGTAACACAAAAACATGTTTCACTACATATGTATGAAAGACTGAAATGTGGCCTGCTCCTCTGCAGACTCTGGAAGGTTCTGACCAGTAGCTATGGACACGTGATGCCGGTGGATTGGAAACTAACGTCCTCTCTCCACGTCCCCACATTCCACCTGGAGGAGAACCCTGTGAGCGACTTCATCCGTCCCGTACCATCGCTGTCCCACTTTCCGCTTTAACCGGAGCCCCCCCCCACCTTCCCCCTCCCTAAATCTCTTTTTCCACCCATCGGACAAATCTCAAATATGCATCGTGTCCGGGTTTGACGCTTTGATTAAATTCCCTCCTTCCGCTCTTTTCCTGCCCAAAGACCGATGTCGCGGCGGAGGTGTCGGACGAGGAGGAGCTGAGGGAGCATCTGGACACGCACTCCATCATCGTCTCCAGCCTCTCAGAGGAGCCCTTCTTCACGGTAGAGCAGGTAGGTTACTCCTAACCATCAATCTCCACTGTACTTCATCTCAGTTTGAGCTTTTGACTAAAATCATATTTTTGAGGGTTACCTCGCTGATGTGTGTGTGTGTGTGTGGTGCTGCGTGCAGGTGATCGAGGAGATAGAGGAGATGATGGAGGACTCTCCTGACACGGACGCCAGGCCCGATCTCTCCCAGTCGGACCGGTCAACGCTCTTGCTGGATGTCCAGCGGTCCACCGGGAGCCCCGGCTACGAATCCAGTGAGTGTCCTCTGATCAGGAACACACAAGCAGGAATTTATCATGAAACGTGCTCATGAGATATGCTATCAAGACGAAGGTACCACTCCATCCCCACCTCAGTCCCATACTGATACTGACACCATTGTGGAACCGCTGTGAGCTCACGACAACACATAGTAACTCAAGTTGCTGCTCTAAAAATTGTACTATGTAATTTACATTATCCTCAAATGTAAACGTTAGCCGCCGCTGGCTGGGAACTGGTAGTTTTTATCATTGTGTCACTCAACGATCAGTTTGTCATCATTTCTAACGGCGTAAGTGACGATGTCACAGTGAAGTTACAGCCATAGACGACACATCAGACTTCCTTTACCGGGAGAATGATCCCTAGAAAAGCACGTGAACCCTGGTAACGTCATCAACGTGTGTGTGTGTGTGTGTGTGTGTGTGTGCGTCTTAGGGGTGAGGACCCTCAGCGTCGCAGAGCTGAATGAACGTCTTGAGGACAGTGAGACGAACATCATGATGTTCTCGGAGGAGCTGGTGCAGCAGCTGGCTCTCAGGGACGAGCTGGGCTTCGAGAAAGAGGTGAAGAACAGCTTCATCTCCGCGCTCATCGATGTCCAAAACCGACAGAAGGAGCAGCGGGAGCTGCTGAAGAAGAAGAAGAAGCTTAAAGTCGGAGCTGGGACGTCGCAGAGCTTCGCCGAGAAAACGCCGGGATCCGTGAGTGCCGCACTCTACTTCTACTTCTGGTCTCTGATCACGTGACATCTTTTCTCCCTCTCCTGCGCTTCTCACTATATTAGTTTTTCATGTATTTTTCCAGGAATCATTTCCTATCCCGGGTGATTCCTCTCAGCTCATGTTCCTCTGCTTTACTTCCTTCCTCCTCAGCGCTTCAGCATGGAGGGAATCTCTTCGGTCATTCAGAACAGCTTCCGGCATACTTTCGGAAGCGCGTGCAGGGACAGACAGGTTTCTGTGTATTTCTCTCTCAGCTGCTGCACTTCATCCTCCTGTTATCTGCACTGAAGTGGGAATATCTTCCCACAGGGACGTCGGAGACAGAGCCTTTACCTCAGCTTTCTCTTTCTCTGTTTCATGACAGTATTTGACCACAGTCATCCCCTATGAGAAAAAGGGACACCCTCCGTCGCTTAAGGACCTCCAGACCCTGACCACCAGTGAGTTGCTTCATCGGCACCAGCAGTGCTTGTATTTTAGTGGCTGGGATTGATCCATTTATTCCTCCTCGTCTTTCTGCTTCATCATAGTCCTCCAAGCTATGAGAGACGACAGTGACAAGGTGCCCAGTCTCTTAACCGACTACATTCTCAAAGGTGAGCGCTCTGCTTCTTTTTGTTGCTGTACGTTAACGAGCCACGACGGCTGTTCTTTAATTTTTTTACGGTAGTTTGGATTTGTGTTGCAACATCTCAGTCAAGAGTTCAGTTTATCAGGAAATCTTGAAACACGCTTTGTGTCTCGGCCGAGCTCAGTTTGGTGACGTTTCATTCGTACTGCTTTCCTTTGAGTTAGAGAGCAGAAACTGCTTTGAAAGAAAGTCATGTTGGGGTGTTGAAGAACACTACGAATTATCAAATGTGATCATTCACATTCATATATTTTGTTGTTGCAAAATGACAAGCACACATTATTAGTTTTAATATCATAATAAGTATAAACCAAGAACAGCATTCAAATCAGTTCCCATCGTGTTACTGTATTATACAATGTAAATTACATTTTGCACAAAGAATGTCCAGCAAGTCTCCAATGCAAATGAATACAAACCCTCTTCTGAAATCAGAAATACTCCAAACACTTGCACTCTTCTCTTTTATCTATTTTTCACGTGTCTTTTTTTTCTCATGTGTTCTGTTTTCATGTTTTCCTTTCTCTACTTCTCACGATCGGCCTTACGCTCACTAGCTGTGGTGTGAGCGATGGACCCAGAGGTTTGTTTTTAACGTGTGATGTTGTTGCTGCTCACGTCGGGAGAGCGCCCCCTCTCTTCCACTGAACCGTAGTGCAGTCTGACCCCGATGTTCTCCCTGTCACTTTACACCCCCTCTCCCACATGGTCGACCCCTCGCTTAGTGTCACCATAAGGCTCTGCCGTTTACATGAAGACACGGAGTAATTATCCTGGCCCACCCTAACGCACATACAGGTTTGACATCATCAATAGCTGATGTGCTAAAGATCCGATTTGCGTGTGGTTCTTCCTTTCTTTATCTCCCACTTTGTGATTTTTTTTTTGATCCTCTCATAATGAAGCTTCATCCCCGGTCGCTCTGCTAAAACTCTAACTTCTAATGTTTTTCAGTGCTCTGCCCGACGTAGACCAGAGGGACGATGCTCAACGCTCTGCTGCCGCTCCAGATAGTTACCATGCCAACAAGATGATGAGGAAACATTGTATTTTTATAGACATTCTTAATTTATTCAGCTATTTTTACAGCAAAGTTAGTTTTTTGTGTTATTTTCCTAACTTAACTCTATTTATATTTGTGCATTGTGATTTTGCAAACCTTGTGTGTTCCTGTGAATTTTGAGACCCTTTTTCACTATTTTCAATTTTCTTGCACTGTGAAAAAGAACCTTAACCTGTTAAAGCGAAAAATACCAAGATTGTATATCCCGACATAGAAACTCAGCTCTGCTTCTTTGTAAAAAGATCCGAGCAACAATGCAAAGGGCTTTGTATTTATCTGTAGCTCTCCACTGAGCAAAGAACACACGGGGAATTGTATTGATCCCAAGGAAACTAATAAGTATAACAACAGCTCATGAGGCAAGTCAGAGGGAAGGAAGGAAGATGATGCATAGAATATAATGTAGTAATATCAAATAAATGAGCTACCTGAACAAGTTTGCATAATGTAAAACCGTCGTATTCTATGGAAGGAAACGTTTCGGTGGTTTAGGTGAAGTAGTTTGGACTAAAATGGTTTAGCTCGCTAACTATGCATTTGAGTGAATACTGAATTGTGTCACGTGCACTGTTTGTACTTTCGTGATGCTGTTGGGTCTCTGAATCAGAGACCGGAGCGTCGCCGTGCCTGCTGCACATACTCTATGTATCTTTGTATATGTACAAACTGCCTTCACTGAATTTTTGTACATTATATATGACTTTTTTTCAATGAATGTCAAATTGCTGAACGACTTGCAGAATCTGCATCATTGTTTATTTTTTTGGAAATATTTACTTTCAAATATATTGATAGAAATCAGACCTCCGTCTTTCTCTCAATGTACTTAACTACACACAATAATGAAGAATCAACCCCTCGTAATATGAGTGAGTCTAAACTCTATAAATGAAGAGTTATGTCTTTGAAGATAACACAATTAAGGTTATTATGCAGTGTATCTAGTGTGTACGTGTATATAAGTTTGTCGCTAGCCTTTTGGCTGTAATGAGGGTGTATTCACGTCGAAATGTAAGATCACTAGCATTCGGAGGACAGAAACCACTGAAAAAGTAAACACATTTTAAAGTCATATGAGTCTGTGCCACGTGTCAGCCAGCCCTCGTTCAGTTCACTGACGAGATCCAGATGTGGTGCTGTGGGAGAACCATCCAACCTTTCTCTGCAGAAAGCCGTATGATTTATTTAGCAAGCAACTAAGAAAAGGCAAAACTGTCTGCTGCTCATAAAGCGGCACAGACCAATGCCGATATTCAATGAGGATGATGAGGAAACATAATGAAAGTATTGTCTATGAAATAGATGTGACACCACAGACAGACTGTAATATACAGTTTACCTCCAAACATTTGGAAAACAAGTCACGCTTCTCTGTTAAACTGCAAGGCTCTTGCGTTTTAAAAGCAACACCAACAGCTGTAAAACATTTGTTCTCTCGGACTAGATTACCTCATTCAACCCAGTGCCGTAAAACTCAACAGCCTGAGTCTGGCCGACGCTCAGAGCTGTGAGGAGCTTTTTTGTTGTTGTGCTGCTGCAACAAAAACGGTTTATTTACGGTGGATGTAAAGTATTTCTCCAAGCACGATGGATGCTCATATGTTGATGCTCCTCCTTCTCCTCCTGACACCCTGCACGTCGCAGCAGAACAGAAATGGAAAGAGAGGTAGGTTATTAACTTGATGTTGGATGTGAAAGTAATACCCATTCATAACCTTTACAGAATAACCTCACTGCAGGAGCCCGTCAGTTATACTAAATGCATTTTTTTTGCCTCTTCAACAGAGTGTACAAACAGCGCTGCCATTGAGGAGCTGAAGAAACAGATTGTGGACATTGTTCAAGAGCTGAATCTGCTGAAAGAGAAGCAGGCTTTACAGACAGGTATTTGTTTTGCAAATCATAAATACCACACAATTACCTTATTTATCTCAGCTCCAAAATCAGAATAGACAAAATACAGGCCAATACTATATAATAGAATTCAACATCTTAGCATTGACACCTGAGCGCCACTGATTTTCTGAATTTTGAAGTTTGTCTGCGAGGCACCAAGGTCCTCGGCAAGTGTTTCCTGGCCGACCCGGTGAAGAAGACCTTCCGCGCAGCCAGCGCCGACTGCCTCGCCAAGGGAGGCAGTCTGAGCACGCCTCTGACAGGGGACGAGAACGACCAGCTCCACAACTACGTGCGTCAGAGCATCGGCCCAGAGGAGCACATCTGGCTGGGCATCGACGACACGGTGACCGATGGCCAGTGGGTGGACCAATCAGGCTCCGGCTTGCGCTTCAAGAACTGGGAGACAGACATCACCCGGCAGCCGGACGGAGGCCGCAGCCAGAACTGTGGCATCCTCTCCACCACGGCCAACGGGAAGTGGTTCGATGAGAGCTGCCGGGCGGAGGAGGCCTCCGTGTGCGAGTTCAACATCGTCTGAGGGCCGGTGTCACTCTGCGCAGATACATAGTTCAATGAAATGAAAAGTGGTTCCACAGAGACACATAAAAGGTAAACATTTAAATGAATACAGGGACGTAAAACATACTTTCTGGGATACGTTATGTCATTGTGTGAGCTGAACACATCATATGCATTCGACAAACTCCTGTTCCCAATTACTCCAGCATGTTATAACATAATTACATATTCATAATATTCATTAAATGTGTTTTGTGTTATCTGCTAATCAATGCAATAAACACTTTTGAGGAAAACTAAACATGACTTTTCCTTTTTGTTCACATATTCAGTTGACTTGATGGGACCCTTTTGCTCATCAGAAAGGTTAAAAGGACGTATGCAGACAAGGTTTTCCTTTCGGAATACAACTTAAAAAACGGAAACTGTGCTTTGAATGAACGGTCCGTACTAAGATGATCAGTTCAACAAAGATCACACAAACCATTTCTGTGGTCGCACTCTTAATGGTTTGCTCATCCAAAGGAGGGTCACATCAGATACACACGTTTGGACGTCTCCATGGAAAATCCCTGATGAAGTCATCACAGGTGTGTCAGCGCATGAGCTCTTTTCTTAGACCTTTGTAGTTCATTTTATGACCTGCAGGAGGCGACATGGCTAAAGACAAACAACACCATTTAAATCTATTTTTTACAAGTTTAATTGAAAAACTTTATTACCACTTTTCTACAAATTCCAACTAGTTCAAATGTACATGTCAATATGCTGGCATCTTCACACTAGGCAGCCATATCGTCAAAATGGATACTTTAAATAAAAGGTTTTAACATGCAGTTATTATTTTCCATGACATTTCATTTGGACTTGACTGAGACCTACTGTGGTTCGGACATTTAGATCCGTGTGTTGTTCCAAACCGAACGAGTTGGTCTTCACAACAACATGCAAGACAGACCTATTTTGTTTAATGATGTGCTGTGCACGTCCCACTATTAAAAACTACCCATTACTAATAACACAATTCAGTCAACCAACAAAAATATTTTTCAGCTCACAGACGGCATTTAGGTTTGTACAAGGATTGTAGTTTAATTTCAGAAGGGATCTGTGGTCTGCAGAACAAGGTGGGAAATACAAGCTGCGACTAGCAAATCTCATTTGCAATGAGCCAAAAGTAGAGCATGAAAAAAAGGTGAATGACCACAGAAACACATTCGCTTTAGGTAGAAGATCAGACTACATCTTTCCAAAAGTATGGGTCCAAAAAAACAAAAATAATTAAAAAAAACAACAAAGATACTAAACTGTATTAGCAGGAGTGCGTTGTGCTCTATTTAAGGCACATTTGTGGTGTAATGCCACAACATCTAAAAACACTCAGGTGCAGGATCAGTGCTAAACATGGGAAACACAATCTCCTCCAATAAAAGTAACGTTGCAATGATGCTGTAAAGGTTCTGTGCATCGCAACAGCAGTGAGGTTATTATTTACTGATGAAAACGATGCATGTAAACAGGACATACGTTTGCTACTGAATATAAAAAAAAACATGATATGTATAAAATATATCAAAGAAAAACATTGATTTATTAAACGTAACAAAGATTTTTCATTGTAGCACACAACTGGTGAAAAGAGGATCGAGCTAAAAGCTACTGCTGGGTTTCAGCAGCGTTATTCAGTGTGGCCTCGGTGCAAAACTAGAGGCTCGAGAGGGAAAAAACAAAAGGCTTTCAGGAGGGCAGGTAATCACAAGATCTCAAAATTCAAGTACACAGGTCAAGAGAAAAGCCGAATCCAATCTTCTCCTTAGCTCCCTCCTTCCGTTCCCAGAGTCGGGGAGTTCTCGCCTTCGCTTTCAGTCTGGTAAATCACGTTGTCCACCAGGCATTGGACGTGGCTGATGGGCCTGACGGGAAGGGGAGGAGCCTGAAACTGCTGGTAAGCCCCAACTGGCATGTCATCTGTATCGGCGTCTTCGCCGACGAGGGGCTTTTGGGAGTCCGTGTGGCCCGCGAAGGGCCGGGATGCGTCGACCTCTCCGTACACACCCATCTTTGCACCTTTCCTCAGCAGGTCGGTGTAGATCAGCGTTTCCTCGATGGAGGCGTACACGTGGGACTCGTCCTCGCGTGTTTTCGGGAAGTTGTTCTGTCCTGGAAGGAAGCTGGTGCCGTTTGGATTGTAGATGGACACTTGATGATTCAGCGCCTTCTTCTTCTTCCTGTTGGGCAGAACAGTGACGATGGAGAGCTTAAGAGTGACATCAGCATTAAACGGATAGTTGACCCATTTAATTAAAAAAAAAAAAAAACTTTTGAGTGACTGCGGAAATCGTTGAGGCGAACATGTAATTTAACAAAAGCACTTCACAATATTTTATAAAAAAAACTTTTAGAATTATTTCCACAAGCGAGCAACCTCAAAAGACATACATTCCATTTTAAAAGTATAAATGAATAGGAATAGAATGTGAAGCCAATCCACTCACCTGATCACCACACAGACAACTACCAGCACGATGACAAAAATGACCACCAGAGAAGCCACCACACTCAAGACGGTGAGGAGAAGGTCTAAATGACAGAAAACAAACTCATGTCATCTTTCATTAACACTTTGCATTGTACAGTACAGTGATCGCTGAAAAATATTATATTGTTCATGAAAATGAAAAACAAACTGTTGTTGAACTTCTTATGACTGCAAAAATGATTATATTGTTTTTTTTAGGAATGTTTGGGCCCAAAAAAAACAAAAGAAAAGAAAAACAAACAAAGACCCGAGTCTAAAGCCATGCTAGTAAGCGGTTAAACACAAGGTAGAGCGGAGGTCGATGGGAATGCCATTGAGTGGTTCAGGGATGATCTATTGTTCAGGAGTTGATCACTAATGTTGGACCAAAAACAAATGACATCAGTGTTGAGTATTCACAACAAGGCTGTAAAGGAGGCCTGGTTTCATTCTGCCACCTGTTAGCGAGCGAGCGAAAGACACATAAAAGCTCCCAAAACCACAAGACGGTTATTTACAGACATATTCTATGTCACAGGCCAAAACCTTTTGGATGAATCACTAAATTAGCATTAACAACAAAGCGGAGCACAGCTGAGGCGAATGAGACTGCCATTGGTTTTGTAATGGACATCTGTACTTTACAAAATCTATACTTTGGACAACAAGGCACATACATGACTGAAAGAATGCGTAATGAATTTAAAGTTATCTAAAAAAGTACCACTAACTTATGAATGCCTCTAAACTACTAATACTAATTACAGTTTACATACAAAGCTGCAATGCAGACGGAATAACCCGACCGCGCGTCCTCTTACTTTTGCTGTTCTCCAAGGTGACCATGGTGATGACGCCAAAGTGTCCCGTTTCGGGCATGCAGTTCGACATGTTGAGGTAGAAGCTCCCCGAGACGGCGATCTTGCTCTCGGCCTCCTCGTCCTCCCTGCGGCTGTACTCCTCCTCCAGGCAGCCAACTCTCTGCACCCAGATGTTGGTGTGACGGTTGCTGCACTTGGGCTGGCTGAGGTTGGTGAACACCAGGTGAGCGTCCCGCTTCGGGGGGACGGAGACGATCCAGGAGACTGTGGAGTAAGACCTCATACCTACTGGCCAACCAGGAGTAGCCAAAAGGATGGGAGTGTCCATCTCTGGAGACACAGTGAATATGTAACTTTCTGAAAATGATTAGAAAGAAAATATTTAATAAATCGCCGAAAAACATTCACTTAATGTATTCATTTAAATAGTAAAAACTGCTCCTTACCAGATATCTCCGCTTTAAAAATGGCATCCAGAACGTGCCCAAAGGGTGTCTTCAGTCCTTCGCCATCCACGCCGGACACAGTGACGGACACGTTGGTGTGGAGTTGGATCTTCTGTATGGCCCCCCGAGGGCAGAAGTTTCCAACAGTGGTGCCGTCGTCCTCGGCCACTCTGATGATGAAGCTGTCGTTGCACTGCTGCCCGGGGAGAGACTGCTTTAGGAGCTCAGTGGGAGACGTCAGCTCCAGCGCGCCGTGCTGAGGAGGCCGCAGAGTCCAGGTCACGCTGCTCAGGGGGGCGGGAAGGCAAGTCGGCAGCGCGGGCACCAACAGACGGGTCGGCCTCATCGGGCAGTCTGCCAGCTGGACGCACTCTGAAAACGCACGCAAATATCCAGCTTAATAGTGACAACGTTTCCGTAGAGCGATGTTGGCCACGGGGACAACTTGTCTCAAAGCTTGGTCAAATAAACTCCACTCCAAAAAAGTGCCACTTTAACTTTTAATGAAATCAAATTAGTTGATATGATCACACGGCGTCTATGGAGAAGTGTGCTAGATTATGAATTTAACTAAAATCAGGGTTCAAACATTCACTTGGACAACAGATCCAAAAAGACTTTCCAGCGACTATCTCGCTAATAAGAACAATTAAAACAAATACACGTTTGGGGTAAAACATGATGTTGGTCAGGCTCTTGGTTATTAGTAACCTTAAAAAAACAACAAAAAACAACAACATGGAGTAATAAAAATGATTCATGGCTTGGCTTACGGGTACAGGTAAAAGGTCATCTGGATTTACCTATGACTCTCCTGGCGGTGATAAGAAGCTCTTCAGGAACGCAGTCCTGGAAAGTCAGGTGACTCCTCCCTGTGATGGTGATCTTCTCCTTGGACACAGCGTTTACGGTCATCTCACAGCCGGAGGCCGGTCTCAGCCTCTCGATGAGAAGAGAAAGCCCCTCCATGTTGCGCATATCCACGTGACACGACACTACAGAATGAAATAGGATGAGGGATTTAACAGTTCACCAACTCCAACAGGCACACGAGTGCAAATGTGCAGCCAGGTTTCAAATCCCAACAACGCCAAACAGGAATTAGACTTTTGATTTGAGCGGTAGAGCGGGACAGGACTCCCCAATAGTTGAAGGAAGTGATTTTTGTCAATGGTGACTCAGTGATGAGGCAATTTCGAAATGCCCCTATTTCCCTTTAGCCCAAGGCTCAGATAAAGCCAATAGGCCCACGTCACAGATTCATTACTCGCTCTCACAGAAGCCTTCCGTATCCGCCGGGACATTTCTATCACACTCTTGACTAATGCAACGGTTTCCTTGTTGTAACAGGAAAAAAAAAAAGAAAAGGTCATCTATATTGAACAGTTGCCTGCTGCAACATGTAGAGACGTCGTCCCTCCGCTTTCATCGTCACAGCAAAACCTGGACCAACGCTGAACCTTTCAACGTGTTGCTTCGGACTGGGAGAACTGCCCTGTCGTACTTCTTAAACGTGACGCATTCACTCGCTATTTGCATCAGGTTACTTTTTCTACCGACCTCAGACGAAACCGGTTTGTAGGACCAATTGTAGTTGGTGACATTAGAGCAGCAATATTGGATTTATTTGATCACCTGGCAACAAAGAAAACAAAATTACTGTTTGAGGTCAAGCTCCTGTCACTTGCTGAATGTCTTTCAGCTGATTTTTGGTCTCTATCAATTCCTGGGGGAAATATACGCCGCTGCTGCTAAATCTTCCACTAATATTGGCCATAGAAGGTCTAGATTTCAGTTGAATCATTTGTATTATTTATGTCATCATTAGAAGGAGCCAATCTGTTAGCTTCTTCAGTATAGAGTGGCTTAAAAATAAAAGAATCTTATAGAGATCAAGATCACCCCTAAACCAAAACCATCAAGGTCTCCCAGCCACTCAACCGTAAAATGATCCCAGAGGTAAAACCTTTACATTTAGTGAAGGTCATATACATCACTATCTTGGCAGAGGTCAAAAGTAGAAAATGGTAAGCAAACCTGATGATATTGCACTTGAAGCGGAGACCTTGAAGCGTAGCATCAGACCAGCGCGTCTTGTGTCCATCTCGCAGTTCCTCAGCATGAAGGTGAATTTTCCCGGAATGTGGGCCGGCTGCGGCTCCGTCAGACTCCGCACCACCGCCGCTCTAGCATAGCTGTGGTACTCCACCGCTGCCTCCTTCTTCAGACAACGTGGCTCTGAGACATTCAGGAACTGGACGGCTGCCTTGTGTTCGGCCGGGACCTGAACGTACCACTCCATCAAGTCGTCGTCGGGAAAACTGTCCGGGTAGTTCGGCGAGAGCAACTCGGAGGACGAGGTCCCTATTGGCAACGTCAGTGTGATTTTAGCAAGAGCTGCGAGAGGGGGAAAAAAAGATTAAAAAAGAGACAAGGGTCAAATAACATGATGAGGGACACACGGAGGATGGGGGGGGATTATTCAGACACAAACTCACATTTGATTTCCTCCCCGACAGACACATCGAACTGGCCATTTTGCAGCTTCTGCCCCGGTGGGACGTCCAGAGAAAAGCTCCCTTGATTCAGTATCTGAGCACTGCTAATAGGTCCCATTGTGCAGTATTTCCCTACGGCCACCTCGCCGGTGGTCTGGAAGGCCCGCAGGGTGTAGCTGTGTCCGTCTGGGCATCCCGTCGACTGATTGATCTGTCTCATGCCAATGTTGTTGAAGTCTATTTTGAACGCTTCCGGCGGAGACGCATTCAGGTTCCAGGTGAACTTGCGGTTAAAATCCAGGAAGGGAAGCGAGTCGGAGTCAGCCTGGATGATGTGGCCATTGCACAACTTTGTTGTACATTCTGAGGAGCGAATACAAGCGAAGAATATTTCAAACCAAAAACAAATCCAACCACATCAGTTCTGCAAGATGACGAGAATTATTTAAGAAGAGAACCATTTTAACAACACCTTTGCTGCAGCACTATATTTACCTATATTTCGCACAATTTCCACACTGAATACATCTTGAGGTCTGGAGCATTCAAACTCTATTGAGACAGGAGTGTCGTCTTTGATCACAAGGGACGGCCCGCATCGCCGCGAGCCTCCGGCCCCCGTGCACACGGCGCAACCTTTGACCTGACTGCTGCTGCTAGTGATGTTGAGGTAGGTGCCTCTGTCAGGGCTGACGGTCAGCTTCTGGACCCCTGGGGAGAAAGAAAAACGACAATGTTTAAAATTGCAATTAAGATTGAAAAAACCCAACAGCGATCAGTTCAGTGCTGAAGAACACGCAACACCATGAAATCAGATCGTAGCGTCTTGCTCAAAGTCCCAATGACTTAAAGTCCAACAGCTGGGCTTCACTCCCAATGACTAACCAGGCCTGTGCTAAGCAAACACAGCCTTGTTAGAACACACAACAGCACCTTGATCGAGTCCCACAGATCCTGCTTTTTTTAATCCACCTATCAATCGATCGGTTTCGGATAGGAAGAAATAGACCCAGCACATTGTATTAGCTCTGTGAGCTAACGTTAATACTCTGACACGACTAATTATTAAGTCATCTGGGTCCCAACCGGTCTCAATCTGACGTGTAAGCAGATCGACCCAGAACACCTTTGAAACACTGCGATTACTGGAGGACACAGGTCTCCGGTGCCCCCCCCCCCCAATTTAAGGAATAATGATCAGTGTTGGTGTTTGACCTCATCCTGCTCGTTAATAATCAAGCTGTAACTTACCTGACTCAGCGGAGGCGATGAATGCGACAAGTAGAAGCTGAAGCGCGACTAACGAGCTCATTCTGCCTCACTAAGTTCTTCTGTTTGACCCGGTGGAAAACCCATCCAGGTTCCTGCGCATATTTCAGCACTTCTCGTCCGGAGCTGTGGCTTTGATGGGCTGTATTTACCTCTCGTCTACGTGACGATCACACACGGCGCCTCCACTTCCTTTACGTGTGTGAGCGGCACGCGCTGCCTTAAAGCGCCAGGTAATTTAAAGGCGTGGCCAGAGTCGCCATTTTGACAGGTACCTTCTTCATGAAAACAGCTAAATATCACTGTTTAGGAGTGTAAAATGCATTTATATAAATGTAATACATATAAAAACAAAGTGTATGGGCGACTAGTATACCCAGTGGTTTCACATTATAGCTACAACTCTTAAGAATATGTTATGTTGTCGTCCACTTCAAGGCTTCTAGTGACGCTTAATGAAAAAACAATGCCGTCTAATCGGTTAGTCCTTTTAGTCTCCATGGTGTGGAAATGAAACCGTTTTAGATAAATGCTGGAGGTTGTGGCTGCATAATATTATAATGAGATGTTTGTTGTTATTTTGTCCACCTGATGACAGGAGGATTTAGTGAAGGGCTGTTGAAATAGATTAATTGGTCAAAACTGAGGGAATTTATTCATCTGACAATGAAGTGCATTTTACATGATAATTTAACAATCAATGGGTTGTATAATACAAATCCACTCTGTCAAGTCTCTTATGAGTCTCAGAAAAACACCTTAAGACTGTTAAAAAGGGAAGGTGTATATAAACCCATGAGTGCGTTAACATCACGGTTCTAAAACAAATATTTGTAACAGATGAGGATTAATAAAGAAACATTAGCTGGATCAGCCACAACACTGAAATGCTGCTAACTGCATCAATAATTGAACACCCTGGAATGTGCCCAGAATCAAATGGAGGGTTTTCATTTTGCTATTGAAATACGGGTAATAATCTGAAGGATAGCGGATGATTGCATTGTATGTGTATATGTATTAAAGCTGTAGCCTGGTATTTCTATAGTTTGTCAGATCATTATAGAATCCTCTATTTGTGCAATTTCCACCTCCCTTTTAAAATATGATTCTGTCATGATAATTTGGAATTCTTTATTGTAGTGTTGTTGAATTGTTTTGTGTTATACTGACAGATGTTTCTATTATTTAGTAAATCCATTTCATAGCAATGAGGTTTCCCGAGAGCAGAAACACAAGGTCGTTTTTAATAGAGGACCGTTGCATTAGACGGCATTGGCTTCCAATTGGTGCACCTAATGCACTGAGTATATTTTCTACAGAGTTTGACAATGATGACTTTTTTTCCTTTGGATCACATGTTGAAGTAAATTGATTCAGGCTACAGAGAACAGTTCAAAAAATAATCTGAGATATAGCCTATAATCAATTTTATTGTAATTGAAACCGCCGAAACATGAATACAAATAAGCACGTCCATTAAGCTTGACGTTATAAATCAATGTAATAATATAATTATTGAAACCCTCTATACGTCAATCTGAAACAACATCTATTTTTTTCACAACGTATATTGGGAAAAAACTAATACATTTACTATAGACTATAGGTTAGATATGTGACAGCACACTTTAAAATTCAGTTTTCAGTGAAAAAATCCTACACATGGGATAAGGCAAAAACTTTCTAGAAATATTAAAAACTATACAAACACTGTTAAAAGATAAAAGTGTGCACAGTTTACGTTGACATAATCTATAGGAAGGCCTACAAGGGTATACAAAAAACATTGGTGTTGGTCCCAGTATAAATTAATATTGGCTATTATAATCCATCATACTTTACCTTGGTTGTCCAAGTATGACGAGGAGCTTTATTAGGGATTAAAGAACACCCAAAACTAAAACATTTGGTCAAAGTGTCTCCAAAGCTCCTCAATCATTCATTCAGGAGAACAGTTGAATGGCTACAATTATAGTATAGGCAGCACAGGCTAATTATAATAAAGAATATTTCAATTATCTCGGTCTCCTCTGCTCCATCCCATTGGGCAGAAATCCTGCAATGATCGGGACTGGCCATATGAGAGCAGCAACACTCCACACAATGATAACCAAAGTCATGAAACAAGCCACAAGTGTCGACTCGATGGGCTTTCGGTTCAGCCTCCAACTTTTGTCCCCCTTCAGCTCGTCGAGGCTGAAATCCACGCAGCAGAAAGTGACCTGATCCCCGGCCTGCTGGCCCCTCGACCTGCCCTGACCGAACCTCCGGTACCGGGACATCCCGCAGCCCACGCACAGCCGCAGCTCCTGCTGACCCCCGGTGACCCCGAGGTGCTCGATGACGACGGGGGAGATCGCCCTGTTCAGAGACGCGGAGAAAAAAGCCCTGCCGTGGTTGTTGGTGGTGTAGATGAGCACGTCACACTGGAAGCCGAAGCTGCTGTCCCAGCGGGCCACCAGCGAGGTGGGCTGCAGCCTCTGGACGCTCACGTTGCACTGGGACAGCGGCTGCAGGGGGGAGCCGTCGGGGGACGCGGCGTCGCCGCTCTCCTCCACGGACCTCTTGGAGAAGCGCACGTCCACCTCCAGGTTGGCCACGAACGTGTCGGAGGAGTTGGTGGGCGGCAGGAGGAGGTCCTCGTCGCTCCAGCCCTGACATCGCTGGAGAATCCCGGCCACCGCGGTGAGGGCCAGCAGGAGAGCCGGGGAGTCGTTCAGCATGGCACAGGGCGCGTCTCTCCTGCTCGCATGGTGCTGTGATCGATCCGCGGGCGACAAAAAAAAAGGGGGGCGGGAGGCTCGCGGTGAGAAAATGACACCGATCCCTGTGTGGAGTGATCAGATCCCCCTTCCCGACTTGGAGGTGATTGGAAAACGTCCAAAAGCCCGTCACATGCGCCTGTCCCCCCACCCCCCGCCGCCCCACCAACACCACCCCCTCCTTTTGCGTGTTTTCCTTCTGACTTGATCTGCCAATGCGCCCTGCAGTCGCGGCGCGGCGGAAGAAGCAGCAGGCTGGGCAGCACCGCGCGTCATCCCAGCTCGGAGCTTCCCTCGGCGTCACTCCCCCCCCCCCCCCCCGTCCCCTCCCTCCCCCCGCTGTCACTTCAGGTGTGAGCGGCGCCGAGCTCGAAAACAACCGAGGAGCGGTGACGGGAGAGCGCCCCCCCCCAGTGCGCAGGGACACAAGTTATACAAACAACCCTCACGCTCAATGCAACTTTCTCAATGACATGAAATGAAATGTGTTGTTCTGCGAATTATTATTTCTTCGCGGATGAGAGTAGAATGAATAACCAATATAAGGGATACTGGATACAGCCCTGAATGTAAGCAATTATCAAGTAAAGTTCAGCACATTTCTAGCTTCTCTATTTTTAATGTAAAAATCACATCACCATGATAGGATTTCAAGCGGTGCCGTGACTTTCACTGCTGTCATCTGCGCCAGAGAGTTGGAAGAGTTGGAAGTTAATCTCCATCCCACACAGGAAAGATTAACAAGCGACCTTTATGTGACCAGATTACGATCACAGCCCGGCACACTAATAGCTGAGCCGTCGGCAGCAGGGGCGTAAGTGCCTTGCTCAGGAGCGCAAGCACTGTGGTAAAGGCAAAGGCTACTCTCTCGCTGTTAGATGGCGGCTAAGAGCTGAATATATTTCCCTACATACAGGGACAATACTACCAAAATTGAAGCATCTGAGGACAGATTTGAACATACTCCATTTGTAAGATTTAAAAATGTCATTCAGCGTTTTTCATTCAAGCATTGAAATCCACTTTGCTGCTGTTCATTTGACTTACCTAAACAGACCGTGTATGCGGGCAACATAAATGCAATAAATAGAAAGCCCAAACAATGACATGACAATAAACCTTTGTTTCGTCCAGCTGGTATCTATGAAAACATCTAAGAGCGGGACATCCAGCAGTCCGTAATCCCTCTGCTTGTTTGTTCATCTGTTCTGTGCGCTGAGAGCTTTGTTTGTTTCTCTCAGCCATATTGTGTACTCAGGGAAAGCCAGATTCATCAATAAACATGTGACTCCACTGTGCTGCAGCAGCAGGGGTTTTGTGCACAGCGTGCATTACCTGGCTGCCATCTCTGATGACACTCTCATCGGCCATCCCTGGCCTCGCCCTCTTTGTATTTGGGATCCAACACTTTATCACAAACAGCAAGAGTGATTACATTAGCCACACAACAGCCGGGGACACAGCTGCGGTTAATCTCAGTTTGGTAGGCTTGTAATAAAAGTTTGAAATAGCAGGACTGGAGGTTGAGCACCTGGTCCATTTTGGCGAGGAGGGTTTCAAGCCGCGGTCAGCGTGCGAATCAGCGCTGGCCTGAACTCAATTCCAGGCCCTTAAAAAAATGACTTTCATGCAATTCAGAGTTGGGGTGGTGATCAAAACGTGCCTGGAGGGTCCTGACTGTCCTTCAGCTCCCCAACAGGACTGAACAAAGGGTCAGTTTTCCAACCAGGTCTTTAAACATATCCAGCGGCGTTTCCTTATTCGATTATTACTGATGATATGTGAGTATGCTTTGTAACATGAACACAATTCCATACAATTGGAGGTTTAATACGTTGCACGCGTTGCTGTCATTCTGTCCACCCTCTTAGACTCTCTTCCTTCCTAAAACAGTTGATGCATCTTGCTTTTGGTAAGAACTTCTAATGAAGAAACAGTCATTCTTTTTTAACAAAATCCTCTTCCTAACAATGTATACATAATGCATCAGCAAAGATGCTGTTCCATGTTGAAGTGTCCTTGAGCAAGACACCTAACCCCTAATTGCTCCCCAGGCAAAAATGTGAAAAAGCCGTGGGTTTAAAGTGTAATGTAAGTCGCTTTGGATAAAAGCGTCTGCTAAATGACCTGTAATGTAAAATGACCTGTAATGTAATAAACTATTAACAGAATCACGTCATTGACCGAAGGCTAAATTGTGATGAATTATTCTCTTTCATCTTTGCAGGCTTGGAAACATGAATGTCACTTGTATGAATGGTTTTCTTCTGTGATGTCTAAATGGTGTCATTTGCTCCAGATGCCCGCCTCTGTCTATTTGATGTGAGGACCATCAGAAGTGAAAGGTGCTTTGGTGTCGATTTGCACCTGAAAGCTTTAGTCCACTCGTCGCTGATTGATTATGAAAGTGAATTCTGCTCAACATTTTTGCTTTAAAACAATTGTGTAATTGTTTGTATGTCTTTCTGCACATTCAGACATCTCTCTGCTGCTCGCAAACACTCCCGCGCACTTCCAAATGCTGGTCCCTCCCCATCAGATATGCTCCAAGTCTAGACAACGTACCGGCGGACGGAGCAAGAAAATGTAAATGACTTTCGTGTTCATTACTTATGCTATAAAAATGTAAATTGCTTTGGTGACAAAAATGCAAATGAGACTAAGATGAAAGTCTCTTGTGCCGAAGGAGGACGTATGAAAGATTCATTTTCTTAAAATGTGACTCTTTATTCAGGAGGAGGACCGGTTAGTGGCTCCTGGCTGACTGAGTCGGATCCGACACCATTAGTCCGACTCGCCGGCTCATGTGCACAACTGGCTTCTTAAAGAAGTTTAGGCCTGAGTAGCCTCGCAGACGCTGCGTTCCAGCCCCTCTGTTTTACATCTGAGCCTGATGAATCCCTCACGTCTCCGGTAGGCCTGTCATACCGCCAATCACTGCAAGGACCCATCACCACGGCAACAACGGGGGTGTCGTGGACACATTCTGTTTTATCGATAGCAATCACAAAACTAATTTCTGTCGTCCTAGTCGTGCTGTCACACACGTGTAGGATGCTGAGAGCATCGATCATCGCCCTCGTATCTCCTCTGAAGAAACAACACAAGCGATCCACTCAGCTGGCAAAGAGATGGAGACAAAGTGTCAGGACAGCGCTGAAGTACATCAGAGATGATATTAAATTCAGGCCTTAATGCCGAACATCCCAAAAAATAAAGCTTCATCAACTCCAGCAAATCAAATCCAATGACAAATGACTAACAAACGGTAGCGGATGAAGTATTCATCCTTTATTTAACCTATTTTAGAAACCAACTTCTCTGCTGGAAGGACGTTTGTCATTATCATTTTAAAGAGAAAGCCTAGGAAATATGAAGTTGGCACATGGAATATGAAATATGTGAGCAATTACCAGGAAACAAGGGGGTAAAAAAGTTGCCACTTTGTTTCATTATAAGAATTGTTGCACAGACCAATTTAGGAGCTTGAGCCACACTGGAGCAGATTTCTTTGCGATTGGCCTCAGCTGCTCCGATGTTGATGTCTCATTTTAATAAGCTTTATGAAACTGCAACGCAAAAATGTTGTAGCACTTTTTGAAGTTGTAAAACTTCTTGATGAAAACCCTGTTACTTTGTTACCCATGTTACTTTGTATTAAAAAGGTTTTTTGTTGTGGATTAATTTTGTGAATTTAAGTAAAATGTATGAAATTGACAGTTTATTGTCTTATATGTATAAACGTTGTCTGGCACAAGCTGAAAACGATCCAATGGTCCCTTCAAACTACTACTTATAACATAATTGTATACTTTTCTTGTCTTCATATTATGAAATATATCCCAATTGTTGCTAGACTATAAAGTTATAGCTTACTGTTAACATTTAGGTGATGGCAATTCAAATTCTCAAGACTATTTCATTTAGAAACCATGTATTCGTGTGTTGCCTTAATTACAGCCGGTACGAGTGCATCTACACTGCAGCGGGATCGGAGGAGTTGTACACTAATTAGCTCCATTAATTGTAGAGGACCTGCTCTGAATTCAGGCCGAGTGGAGAGTCAGAGGGGAGGACGGAACAAATGTTCCTCACCTCGTCTGCTGCAGAATCTGCATTTCGCGTCTCCAGTGAGTGAAAAACTGTGCAGCAGCAAGAGCAGGAAAGACCAGGATAGAGAGTGATGCTGCCTGCCAGACACTTCTGAAGTGATTATTGAAGATCTTACTCCAGATCCAAACCTCCTCATCTCCTTCCATGTTTCTCTTTCGGGCTTCTGTCCTCTGTGAGAACAGATAAGTGGAGGACACAAGGGGCCTGGAGATAAGATCACACTTATCCTGTCTGTTGGAACCGCGGTCAGAGGCGAGCACAGACCCATCAGCTCGCAGGTTCTCTGGGAGCCGAGATGGTGTGAGATTACTTTCCAGTGGCACCAACGGCCTACTTCTCCTCGACGCGATTGGGGATTGTGAATCACACACTCGTCCGTGAAAGGTCATCGTGGAGGGGTGAAGACAAGTCGGGCCTCCCACCGCTCTCCCTTCATCTGCTTTCAACCTAACGCATTGCTGCTCTGGCTGCTCTCCCTGGTCGTTTGTCATCTGGTCCTCTGCTGGCGAAATGCAATCTTCTTCCAAAGCAAGGAGCGACGGGGCGATTACCACGGGCGGTTTGTCGCGATGGAGGGTGGGTGGGGTTGGGGCGGGGGCAGGGGAGGCGGTTGTGGGCTGAGAAGGAGGATGATTGGTTGCTTTCAAGAGTGATTTGTTTGAAAAACAACAGAGGCCGCTGGTACCTGATCTGCAATGAGCAGTCCAGAAATGCTTTAATGCAAAAAAAAGACTTTTCTATTAAAACATGGAATGATCCAATGCAGTCATTTTTTTAATTTTGTCCTGTTGATTATCATGAAATAAAAAAGAGTGGAACAATGAGACAAAGTTGGCAGCTATAGAGATGACTAGACTTTCACAGAACTGATTTCACGTTTTATTTCAGCGAGTTTTTTTCCCCACAGATTTCCAGCAATAAATTGGCTTTGCTCACTCAGACGCTCCCATAGGACACCGGGCCTCCATCTGCTGCCGTTATATCATTTTTCCTCATACATCAAGCTAAAGAGGACCATCATTTTGAAAACAATATTGACCTGGGGGAGACAGATTTCACACAGTGCAGACTTATTTGATAAGGAGATTACTTAGGGTTAGTTTATGTTGTGCACCCGACTATCAAATAAAACAATATTGCAGTGTCAGTGAAGATACTCACAGAAAAGTTCCTGGAGAAACAGATATGCAACAATAGTCTGTGGCTGGAATCAAATGGTTAAAATGGTTCTTATTTACTGATCATCTGTCCAATCAGTACTTGTAATTGGTCATCCATATACATGCTATAAATCACTTCTCTCAGCTGAAAGATGTGGACCATTTCCTCCAAATGTGTCCATTTTGGCATGAATTTCAAATTTGAATATGTAATAAATTATTTAGTATTTGCAGTCCTCTGTTTACTGTGAAAATGATGAAGAGAGAACCAGCCTGCATCTGCAGACACATACACGGCTGCATGTAGAGTGTTGGTGTCTAAACTGTGTCAAAAACTCGTTACCCTCTCTAGTTCCTCCTCTTCAGCCACCTCCTGTCTGTGCATTGAACAGAGGCGCCCACTTAACCCTGATACACGACGGTCGGCCAGAGCAGAGCCCCGGGTTTATCTCTCTGATGTCAGGAACTGAGGAGCTCCATCTCCTGCTAATGACCCCCCACCCCTCTTTTTCTCTCCCCTCATCGGCTCAGACTTCTTCCTTCATCGCTTCTACTCAGATCGAAGGTGAGAGCCACAGGGAGCGCTCTGATGAGACACCGCCCCTCTGCGTTCCTCCTCAGAGCTCCTCGGTTACGTGATGAAGATAAGAGGTAGTAAAGGAGTTCTCTCAGTCAGCAATCACTGACTGAGAGTAAGTCAAAGATATACTGTAGTTATCCTCCAGATACCAAGTATGATATCAGCTAATTTGTTAACTATTTCAGTTATTGTTCATGGAAATTCTCCCTTTGTGGGAATAGAGTTGATTTACAAATTTTCAATTAAAAGAAATCATGAGTTTAAACGATAATATTTTGCTTGGATATAGTTTAATTATATTTTCAGTGGGATCCTTGATGAAAGATGGCTGGAGTCAATACCAGCCAACTTCGGGCGAGATAACATATTGTTGTTCTTAAATAATGAATATATAATTTTTATAATACATTTTTATAATAAATAACAAACGAAAATGAGACTATTGAATGTCAAGTAATTTGCTTGTCAAATTTGCATATTTTGGTTATTTATGCCTGAAAAACAGTTTTCTGTGTATGTGTACAGTGATTTTAGTGGAATTAAATAATAAATAAAATTGTAAAGATAGGAGAAGAGTAAAGGATGATACGGTTACAAGCTGGAGACCTTCCTCACTGGAATAACTGAAAGCATCAATGAAGCTCTGGTAATCAGACATTTATCCAAAGGAGTTTGAAAATGATAAAGTCACAAAGTGGACAGAAATTTGTTGTTGGTCCTCATAAAACGTCTCTTGGGAAATAAATACATCCTGGTACAGGAGATGTTTTGTCCTTGTCGACGCGCGCAGTGTTGATAAAGTTGAGTTGAAATCCAAGATGGCGACGCCTATAGCGAAGACGTGATCCGAAGGAACGAATCGATTAGACTGTATTTAAAAACATAAGTGTGACTTTCATATCATGGACTGTTGGATTAATGTCCCTACGACCACAACACTTAAATAAACCAGGAAACACAACGGTAGGCGGTTTCTTTTAAACGTAACGTTAAATCTTCCATTGTGATCCGACCAGCAGACAGAATGAGAAGTCAACCAGGAAACAAGTCATTTAACGTTTAAACTCCACGACACCGCTACAGCTCTAACTTGCGTTGTATCTTCAACTAGCTGCTCTGCGCCTTATAATGTCATGCTAGCATAAAGATATGCAGCCTGTCGTAGTGTCCTGGACGTGGTCCCTGTGTGTAAACAGCCCAGGCAGCGCCGTGCTGACCAACGGGGACGTGCTCCATTCGTGCTGCACGGTTCAAGGTTAATCACGTGTGTTTTCAATATGTTTGTGCGATCAGATGTAAACCAATCAGAGTACTTAAAGTGCCTGACAACTCCTTTTTTATATGTGACTGCCCAGCCTGCAGAGGTATGCAACATCATTTCAATGTTCAGAATCGTGATTCAGAGGTAAAGAGATTGTCATTGATTGCAGCTCATTGGAGTGTCTTGACTGTGGGCTGTGATACAGGACCAAGCTCCATATTTTTTGCTAAATATTTCAGTATAGATTTTTTCATTTAAGGTGTTATTTATTATAGTGGTGCAACTGTGCATTATTCAATTTACATAAATGAATGAAATTGCACTTCAAAAAACAAAACAGACTAAACAAGCAAATGCTTTTGAAGAATCAGGTAACATTTGGTGTTTTCCCAATTTTCTGGATTATTTTTTTAGTCAATCTGTCAGGATTTATTGCCCAACTACAGGCACAAATATAATACATGAGTTTTTGTACTGATAGAAAAAAAAACTTCTTTTAACAACTATTACAAGCCATGACATTTCAGTTGGTGCCCCATAAAAGCTGAAGCACTACAGCATAATTGGAATTAGATAATACAGATGTTCAGAGAAAGACGTCCTCTAATACAGTGAACCAACTTCCGGTTTGCAGATTTCAGTCACAAGAGAAACCCCAATGGATGAACTAAGTCACCATAGAAACGTCTCCTCCGTCTCTCGGCTCAGCCCACTCACTTGCACCTTTTAGAGATGCACACAACCTTGAGTGCTTGGCTCCGCCAGCCTCTGGTTATACTCCAGAGAATATAGTGAAAAACACATCACCCCCAGCTGGGTGGTGGCAAAGAGGAGGGTGCTCACTCCACAGGTTTTACAGTAATTCTGTCAAGAAAAAAACAAAAGTTATCCCGCTAAAGATCTGTCAGTAAATCCATGTCGGATTCTTGCTAAATAATGTGGAGAGCTGCAGTTTCAGGCTGAGTGAATCCAAGAGTTGAGTTCTCCCCCCAGGTTTAGATGAACAAACAATCCTCCTTTTTATTTACCTTTTATTCCATCTTTTTCTCCGGTACCAGGGCGTGCAGACTATCACTTCCTCCACAGCGTCTTTTGAGCTCTTGCTGTCTGAGATTCAGATGCGTCACTGCTGTGATCATATTCTCTTGACTGGTCAGGTTTACAGCAGTTGACTGTTGCCTTAGAAACTGTCTGTGTGTGTTGGATAGAAGACACATTTAGGTCAAATTGTTTTATTCTTACGTGCAGTTGAATGTTTGACCCACATAAGCCAAAGGGAAGTCCAGCCTCGCTGCCGTGCTCATGTAAAACAGGCTAAATCTTTTTTTGAAGAGCATTTGCTTGTTGCTAATTTTGTGTGCTGCTGTGACACAAACAGAGGAGCAGTTCATTCCCCGAAATCCAAAAAGTATATGAACCCGCGGATTTGGAGCAGAGAAATGAGTGAATGTTCAGTAGATTGAAAATGTCAACCTCACATCTGGGCTGGCAGGCAGTGTAACGGGGGCAGCCTGTCCAGAGCCGAGCATAATCTCATCACGCTGAATAAGCCTCCCATATCCCAGCCGTTGTGTGAGTGACGTGATGCAAAGAACAGCTTTTGGTCTCCGGGCTCTCAGGTGGATTCACGTGAGCTCCGAGCTCATGGACCCTGCTGACTGTTGACGTTGAGTGTCGTCGTTTTCGGGACATGATTACGGTGATAATGCTGAATCAGAGGGGCCCAGATGTTTGACGCAAAGAAGCATAAAACTTACAGCGACTAGTTGTGGATGATTATCGATGTATTACTTTATGAGCCCTTTCAGTCAAGTAAGCGGTAGATTAGCGTTAATTACCCACAAGTCATCACAGCAATGTGACGTTGAATAAAGCGTGGAGATGCAAAGACTGGACAGCACGTGTGTCATATTCAATTTACACAGAAAAAGCAAGGATTGGAGATGGAACTAACAAATATAATTTTTAGCCATGGAAGCCGTTTTGACGAAAAGCAGTAAAAACACAATTTGAAATCACCTCATCTTGTGTGGACAGAGCCTGGAGGACGTACAAATCAGGGACTGAACATAGACCCTCAGTTGTACATCACATTTGTTTGCGTTGTCATGGTGACATGATTACATGCTGTCTCTGAGGGTTCAGGGTTTTAAGTCCTTGTTATGTATAACAGTTCGAGTGCTGCATCAAAATTGTTTTCATTTTTGATTATGTCAATGTGTATGTGATTTTTTTTTTTAACCGTATACAACTGTAATTATTGTTGATTAACTTTTTGATAATCGATTAATGGACTAAATGTTTTCCTAATGTGATGATTTCAAGTAAATTCCCCACGTCTCCGCGTTGTAGGAGCCATGCAGGCGTCAGTGAGAAGGCTGGTTCTGTGCCCGCTGGCTGCTTCCCGGTCCGGCCACATCAGCTACGGCCTCCTGCGCCCAGTCGGCTGCCTCTGGTCCCCCAGAACCCGCAACCTGTTCAGTGAGACGGGAGTGTGGGAGACGGCTTATAAAACGGAGACCCGAGTCAGACTGGAAGAATGGTGGCAACCACGGATTATGACACAGTGCCGGAATGACGCGCTGGAAGAGGTAAGTGGGCCTTTTACTACTAATGCAGTTTCCTGCCGTCTTTAGTCTGGTGACAGAAGGCGAGAAGCCAAATAGAGTCATAGTCTGATACACTAGTTATGTGTGTGTGTGTGTGTGTGTGTGTGTGTGTGTGTGTGTGTGTCATGTAGGGGCTTCAGAAACCTGGATGAATCATAATCTCTGAAAAATGAAATATTCTTGTTTCAGACAGAAAATATACAAATATTAACTACTGTAGACATTCATTAATGTTGAAGATGATCCATTGGCTTTCATTGACCTTTCAGCAAAATATTGGAACATATATACAGAATAGAGAAAGAAAGCAGCAACATGCAAAATGTGAGAGGAACCACCAGATACTTTTTCTTTCTGCCGAAAGAACAACTTTGCACGGTTATGAGATGATCACCATAATTGCAGATATGTTTTAGGTCTTATGATTGTGTAATGAGGCGCGTTACGAATAAACAGGTTTCTCCTCTTCAGAGTAAACCCGTTTTACAATCTAAAACCAGAACCTGTTTAGGTCGGCCCCTTATTCATCATCACTGGTTCGGGTGAGATGAATGCACCCCGGATTCCTTCTCTGTGTACGCATTGGAAACACCTTCAGAAAGAGAAATACAGAATAGGTCATTAAGCGTTCCCGGCTATTACTGGCGCTGGCCCCTTGCAGCTCGAGCTGATTATATATCCTAATGGTTCGACCGTGCGGATGTCTGAGACACACCGACATTGATTAAGTGCATTCGTGACAGCCATGGTCCCTAATGAATTGTATTGGGAAATTCGAGACTTGGGTTTCCTGTAGTCGTGTACGGCTGGGTGTAACCACGCAGCGCTCACTGTGCGCTCACTGTGCGCTCACTGTGGCGCCTCGGTGTAGATTAGGAATAATCAGCTCGTACAGTAACACACCAGAAGTCGGGCAGCGCTCTCGCTCTGCATGCGTCAGGCTAGTGTTCCTGTCCTCGTTGTTGAGGTTTCTCAGATACGCTCAGATTATTATTATTTTTTTTTTTTTTTTACAGAGTTCCAACAAGGAGAAGTTTTACGTCCTCTCCATGTTCCCGTACCCATCAGGGCGACTGCACATGGGACACGTACGAGTGTATACCATCAGTGACACTATCGGCCACTTCCAGAGGATGAGAGGCCGTCAGGTACGTCCGCTCCCTGTAAACGGCTTTTCCTCAAATGAGCAACTTCAAGTACAATAATGAAGTTTCATTTTCAGTGCTTAGAGTTGAAGGTAAACGAGTTTGAAGGCTCTTTTGTTAAGTTATAAAATGACGGCTAGATTCCATTTAGCTGCTTTCGTTTCAGGGTCCTGGTGGCGTTCCATTGAGCCTACTTTAAATGGTTTTCCAGTGTTTGAAAAACACCTCTTTGATGCTACTTTTGATAAGTGGAATGATACTTAGCAAACCCTGTCGTGATGCCATAATGGCCAAAAATATTTCTTCCCAAAATCACAGTGGCTGTGTCTTCCTCAGAGGCACTTTGGGGAGCGTAGTTTATATATATAATAGCTTTCTTGTGCTGGTTCAAAGGTTTGAAAATGTTTGGATATTGGCTGTTCCCATGATGTTACAGATGGAATTTTTTCATGTAGACCTGATGAAGATCGCTATATTAGGTACATAACATCATACAGTATTGACTGATCTGATATTACTTGCTTTTTGCTTTAAAATATTTAGAAGAAATAAATTGTGTAAGTTGATAATTCACTATTTCAATTTTTCATCAAGCTGACCTAATAGAAGTTTTCTGCAAACAAAAAAGATCTATTGCAAATAAATAACAAAATATAGCAATAGACTATCCTAGTTCTTGTAAATTGACAACATGCATCAATAAAGCTTAAATCCACACTGAATGATCTTGCAGTCAATATTCGGCCCTCTGTGTGAGTCCTGTAAACCGCTGCTGTTGATGAAGCTGTAACTAGTGTTCTGTCAGATGGATCACTGCACACACACACACACACACACACACACACCTTTGGACATGATGCCAACAACCTAGGATCAGTTCATTTGTCGGTCCTTGTCCTCACATCATCCATCCCTGTCGTCACTGACAAGGAGCTGATTCTGTGACAAACCGCTCGCTTTTTTATATTTTCCCGCTGGATTTCTTCCCTTCTGCTTCTGTCTGGTCCGTCCCTGAGCAGAAACACTTTGCTTCACATGAGTGACAACTGCTTCTGGCACAGGAGTGTGCTTTTCCTCAACATCTGTCAGAAAGCGAACCTTGTTCCGCTGAATGCACACATGCTGCTCTATTCACTAGTTAATTAAGGAAGGCACATGGTCGATTTAAAGTTATTTTATGGGCTTTAAAGAGATATTGGATGACTGTTAAATAAGAAAAAGGACTACTTTCCATGTGTCCACAGCTCACCTGGTGAAAAGGCCCTGCTGGTTTCTCCTTTTCCATGTTGTGAAAAGGAGAAACTAAATCCCATTTAACTATTTCGGTTGGAGGCAGAAATCTCAGTCATTTTTCTTTTTTCAAAATAAATTGTTGTGTGTTTACAATACGCGTGGCAATATACCACGAAACCCACAGAGACCAAAATCAACTTCTGTGATCCTAATGAAAAATCTCTTCTTCTAGTCCTTTGCTCTCCCCCGTTGCCCTGTTGCTTGTGCACGTGGGCTCCTGTGTACCGCGGCGCAGAGCTGAACATTACAGCAATTTGCCAGCGTCTGGTCAGACTCCATTAAAACAGAGACATGCTGGAGCTGCCGCAGATGGCGCGTTCGCTTCTAGCCAGAGCTGCGTGGGCGTCCACCCGCACGGTGGCCTCACATTCGCGGGTCCAGTCACCAAACGCTCCCTGGCCTCCTCGTAGTCAGCGCAAGGATCTTGGAGCTTGGCGCCCGACGGCGCCCCACATAACGGCGGGCAGATTGTCATGAATGTGCCTAAACTGACTCCCACGTCCATCTTCCACCGCCTCTTGTCACTCAGCCTCTGAAACGTGCGTTCTCTTTGCGTGGACTCGGGGGGATAAAGTGGAGCTGAAGCCATGAGCGGCCTTGTCCATAACAGCCGGTGCCTCATTAGCGCTGTCTTACTTTAGTGTGTGTGAGTATTTGCGCTGAATAAGCACCATAGTAGCGTTGAGGTGAGTGTTTTCCTTCCATGCAGTAGGCTAATATTGGCCTGTGCCTCGCTCTCATTGTGCCTTCTGAGTAGTCACAGTGGTGCTGAGCCTAATACCATTCAGTACTTGTCTTTACAAATGAGGCAGTTACCAAGGATACCGTTTAGTCGGTAACATCAGACCCGCTGGAGTCCGCGCGATGATCTTCTCCAGTCCTCGACGCCTTGTCACTCTGCGTCTCCTACTTCACTCACGTCTTTCCACTCGGGAGCTTTCATCTCGTTACTCTATGCGAGCAGAAACACACAGGAGACGGGGGGAACAAAGCCGAGTGAAAGACTGAGGACTTTGACAAGGATTCATGTTGAGGAGAGTGGGTGCTGGAAGGCGATGTGGACGCAATAACGGAGCGGGAAAGCAAACAAAGGGAGGATGTGCCGGTGGATTGTGACGTTGTTAAGGAACTTGTGTGTAAAACGGCTCACTAAGTGATCGAAGGCTCACATGCAAACTGTCCTGCTCTTCCATTCTTAGCTTAGCCTTTAAATCATGTAGCGGCTGCAATTACATGGGGATGGTAGTTGGATGCATCAGCTACTAAATGTTATGGAGGAGACGTCACAGCAGAGACATTATCAACGTGTGCTGCAGTCAGGGGAATCTGGGGCCATTTTGCAGAATTATGTATCTCCTGTAATGAAACCTTTTTAGATTTTACAGTTACGCTTCTCCTGTCAAAGCGAGTGAATATCTCCTGTGTTCATACACACCCGAGCTCTGTAAGCAGGGAAACAAAGACGGCCAAGCCTCACCAGACTGCTCCCATCCATCGGATACAGGGGGTGTCCGTTGTTCAGAGGACAGTGGGAAGGACATAAATACATAAAGACAAAGGGAACCGGGGGCGAGAGGGAGCGTAAATCGAGCGCACGCTAAGCTAATTGTATCCTAAATTATTTTTGCCAGAATCCTACTTTGATACTCATTTAAATATGTTTAAATAAGAGCCAGATTGTGTGATATCACAACTCCTTCAGCAGCATGCGATCGGCCAATTGACTGCATGAAGCCCCCAGTGTACATGTAGACCTTTCAACAATTTAGGTAGTAAAAGTATTACATTTATAGGTTCTGGACTTTTCGGTTAAGTACCCACCTCGTCTTTAAACATGTGTACAATGTCCAGTCAATTTGTTGCAAACTTCAAACAGAGTTATTAGGGTTAATCTGTTGCACATTGGATATTTTTATCCTATAAAATATCCCAAATAATGAATAACGGGGAATATTTTATTTTCTACGCCCATAAACGAATCAATTATCAACACATTTGAGCAATTTCCCCACTGATACAAAACCACATCTGCAGGTGTTGAATCCAATGGGTTGGGATGCTTTTGGACTTCCAGCTGAAAACGCGGCCATAGAGCGAGGACTCGACCCAGAGGAATGGACCAAAAGGTGAGTGAAACGTCACATGTGTTCTTCAGATTGCTCATTGTTCATACCAACCGTACCCCGTGTGCTGCCCCCTCAGTAATATCCAGTCCATGCGGGAGCAGCTGGACAGCCTCGGCCTTTGCTTCAACTGGGACCGGGTGAGCAGGAACGCAGGCTGGTCTCCTGCCTTTGGTCTTTTGCGTGTGCGTCACGCCTCATGAGGGCTGACATGTCTCTGGCTTTTTTCTCTCTGACAGGAAGTGACCACTTGCCTTCCAGACTACTACAGGTGGACTCAGTATCTTTTTGTCAAGCTCTTTGAAGCAGGACTTGCATATCAGAAAGAGGTAGGAATGGCTTTTGACTAAAGTGCTTATCCTGGTTTTCTTTTGAAGGGAATAATATGATTAGTTTTAGGTTCAAGATCGCTGACTGTTACAGGAATGATTGAAGCGGCTCGCTCGTTACTCCTGGAAGAAGATGTATGAACTTAAAAGCCTTGGTAGAAGCCCTTTGATGGTGTCTAATCAAACGGGACAACCTTGACAGAAGCCCTCGGAGCCACTATTAAATCCAAACTGCTTCCTGAGCGCAGTGTTTGTGAGTGGTTTCGTTTAAATTTGTGCTTTTATCTGACCAGGCAATGGTGAACTGGGACCCTGTGGATCAGACGGTGCTGGCCGATGAGCAGGTGGATGAAAATGGCTGCTCCTGGAGGTCTGGTGCCCTGGTGGAGCAGAAGCTGCTCACACAATGGTTCATCAAGACTACAAACTATGCCAAGGTACGGCTTTTGTGTGTGTGTGTGTGTGTGTGTGTGTGTGTGTGTGTGTGTGTGTGTGTGTGTGTGTGTGTGTGTGTGTGTGTGTGTGTGTGTGTGTGTGTGTGTGTGTGTGTGTGTGTGTGTGTGTGTGACAAATGGCGGGTCTGACTGGCTGGCCAGCAGCTTCGTGAGGGCCAAAACGAGCAGCGGACCCCTCTGATAACAATCATGGCTGATACTTCAGTAGGACCAGCCCGGCATCTCTCGTTCAGCAATCAGACCCCTGGACGTCGTCTTTCTTAAGAGTCTACAAACCAAGTAGAGACCAGCGGAGTCTGAGTGACGGCTCCAGGCGGCCTGGCCCGGCTGATGAGAAGCTCCAGCTCTGCTGCGCCGCACAGCACGCTGCCAGATTGGAGGCTTTTCTCCTTCTGGTAGAATTTTATGAAACATATATTTTATATATATATATTTATTTTGTTCTACAGCTGATTTTCATTATTATTAGAATTTGTTCATAGCAGACTTGGATGAAACAATAAAAAAACAACAATTTCCTGACATTCAGTTTACATTATAATGAAACACGTGATGCTGTGCGTGTCATAATGTTTTGGAAGAACAGAGACCCACGTCTGTTCAGGAGGTGTGAAATCAATCTAAAAGCCTCCTCTGCGCTGTGAGAAGAAGGAGAACAGTGAATGAAATGAGTTAAACCATCCAAAACATCCTTTCTGCGGTCTTTGTTTAAATCAACCTCCCAATGTTTTTTTTATTTTGATGAAAACATCAATTCGTGGACGTCAACCCGTTTTAGCCGCGGTGCTGAAGTCGACCAGGCTTGTCCATGTCGGAGGTGTGAGAGGCGGCGGAATCAGCCTACCCGTCACAATGTGTTCATGCATTTCTAATTTTCTCTTGCCGGAGAGCGAAGTGGGAAGGAAGGAAGGAAGGAAGGAAGAGGAAGGTGTTCGAGAAAAGAAGTGAGAGAGACAGATGGAGCGAAAGGAGGGCCGCGTGAATTGGCGGCGGCTTGTAATTGGATCGATTTCCCCGCGTGTGCGCTCCTCGGCTTGCCCGTACACGTGTTCGAGTCAGTTAGACAACATTAACTTCAGACAGTATTTATTCAGCTGTCAGGTTGTTCCACGCTCCACGGACAGTTTCCTCCCACGTGGGAACCCTGTTGTTGGCTCCAGGACACAGATGACATGCATATTATTACTAAGATGGATTTTATTTATTTTCTGCAAGTGGAGCATGCAGGATGCAAAATGATCACCTTTTCAATTTCATGCACAATCACACTGGTTGCTCTCACGCAAACATGGCGCTTGTCCATTACACTGCTCTTACATCTAAATGAATCACAAACTGAGGAGTTATTGTGTGGTTTCTCAAATATGAGGGTAGCAACGGGTGAATTTGAGGTTGCCGACTCAATACCCTGAACCTTTAGTTACGATGCATTGTGTCATTATTGTCATTTTACTAGGTGTCTCTCTCTCTCACCGTAACACACGCACACCCATCAAAGCCTTGCTTATTGCTTTACCATCCCCTTTTTTCTCTCATGCTTTTCTTGGTTGCCATGGCGACTCCTGTCCTCGCTGTACATCTTTCAGTTACTCCTGCATCTGTGCCAGAGTATATCTTACTGCCTCGCTGTCAGAGCCTCTATTAGTTTGTCATTGCGCTCCGGTTTTTATTGCTGGTAATGTTTTAGTTTTGCTGCGTCGCCTTCGCGCTGACACTGATTCTCTGTTTTAATGCCACTCTGCAGCAAATCCACCACGGAGACGCTCGATGGCCGTGCTATAGAGCAGCGTTTATGTTTGTATTGATATTGCCGGGCCGAGGTGCTGCATGCCGATCGGCACAGTAAGGGGGATTTGGGGGGATAGATTGTGACGGACAGGGAAGGAAATGGAGAGTTTTAACATCTCCAGCCTCAGCCCAGCTGTGGCTTTTTGACCTCAGCCTTGTTGATATGCATAGCTTCCTTTAATCATACAGAATAACTGTTGTTGTGTATGTATGAGTGTGTGCACTTTAAAGACGATTGCCTGGTGGTATCAAAGGAAGCAGGGGATTGGAGGTCAGGATTTTAAAAAATCCCTCTTTGTCTGCATAATGTGACCTGGTCGGCTCTGCTGCTTTGCCAAAATTAATTGGCCAGGACTTGAAAGAGGCGATATTGAGTTGAATGTCAATTGTACTATCCCAGACGACACTCCCACCCTTCAAAACTGGTCTGTTTTCCACAGTCAAGTGGAAAATGTGCCCTTTTCTTAACCCGTACAAAGAAGTAAAGTTGTGAGTTAATTTGTCTCGCTTTCTCCAGCCTCTCCTGGACTCCCTGGCAGACCTTCCAGAATGGTATGGTGTCAAAGCCATGCAGGCAAACTGGATTGGAGATTGCACCGGCTGCTACTTCGATTTCAAGCTCAAGGTGAATCTCGGTCTCCTTCCCCCTTCTCACATTTTATTCATTCATCATCCTCACTTCCCTCCAATCTCTCAACCTCTTCCCACCTCTCCACCTCTGTTCTTCCCGCTTCCCAGCCTCGGTTCCTCATCCTTGTCCCAAAGCATTGATTGCCTGCGTTATTTCGGATTCCTCTGTTTATTTATGTATTCCTCATCAAAATCCTGCACCAAAACATTAAAAGAAAACGTGACTTTGTTGTTCTAATTCAGCGCAGGCATCGATCTGCAGGTGGCCGTTTACCCCATCACAGGATGTGACACATCCAAAAGCCATATTAAGCTCTTCATATGTCTTGTCTTTTTGCAAAAAGCCCAATGAGAGACCCATGAGCACCCTAATTAAAGTACAGTACTCCTTGGAAAAGCCAGAAAAATGGTTGTTCAAGTGAGTCCCTCATTTATAGAGGAAAGTCTGTGAGAAGATGTGAGAGTGTTTTTTGTGTCTTTAGGCGTATGAGAGGGTGTTTCTCTGGCTGAATGCGTAATTAAAGTTAAAACCAGGGGCCATTAAGTTAATTGGATGGCTCCTTGTCTCATATTACATCATCATACGTTGTCACAGGAACTCTGAACTGAATTATCCCTCCGGAGGGCTGAAGATATGTATCAGTATCTCTTCTACAACATGACATATACTCATTACCCAGAACACCCTAGAATGAGTATGCCATCTATAAATAATTATAAGATTAAAGACATTGTAGCCTAATTATGTATCTAAGAGTTAGGCACGTCACATGTTGCATGTAAAGGCTTCAGCCGAAAATGTACCATATCATTTGGTAATCATTTATTCTTTGACAAATACTCTTCACAAGGTGACAATAACCATTACGGCCTATTGATGCCTTGAATCAGCTGTGCTACATCTGATCTACAAAAAAAACAAGACTACAACAAAGCGGCTGTAGCTTCACGGTCCAAGGTTCAGTCGGCATACAAGGAGACCAAGTCACGTTCCTTCCCTGCTACGGCGTACGCAATCAAGCACGAAGCATTGCCTGAATGCAAAGTGTTGTCATCCATAGAAGCATGTCCTTGGCTTTTACTGAAAACTAGAGTGATGTTGGCAACGTTAGTTTAACCAATAACACACTAGCAGTTCTTAGCATATGTTGAAGGGCTCTCTTATCCGCAAAGCCCCGCTGTTCTCTGCCTCTGATGGGCTGGAGTCTTCTTTGCAGAAACAGTTGTATGTATTGCTGATGAACATGATTGATTGATGGATGGTCGCAAGGGTTGAATATTTGAACATTATTTGAAATGGAGAAAAGAGTACTTTTCTGCATTAACTAAATGATCGGATTGTCTTATTACAATTCAGTATTTCAAAACAAACAATGCTTCTTTACCAACAGTTGTAATCCAGTATATATTTGAAGTTACTGACGCCCGCCGTGCAATGTGTTTAATACAAATGCTCCCCCTCATTAAATTGTCTTCTGTGCATCTGGAACGGTACAGGTATCACTATTACACTGCATCTTCTCTTGTCTCCCAGGTGAACGGGGAGGAGTCGGGGGAGAACCTCTCGGCCTACTGCTCCTCCCCGGAGACGGTGTTCGGAGCGGCTTACGTGGCCATCCTGCCCTCCCACAGGCTGCTGCACGGCAGAAGCTCGGTGCGTTCGGCTTTGGAGAAAGCCTTTCAGCCAGGCAAAGGTGAGCACCTCTAATGCCCTTCTGTGTTTACGTCCGGCATTGTACAAAAGAGGGGGGGGGGGGGGCACATTCAGATTTTCCCTATATCGGCGGCATAATTAATTTACTTATGAAGAATGTGTCCCTGAGCAAGACACCTAACCCATAATTGCTCCCCGGGCAAAATGTGGAAAGCCATAGGTTTAAAGTGTAATGTAAGTCGCTTTGGATAAAAGCGTCTGCTAAATGACCTGTAATGTAATGTAATGTAATGAAGAAGGAACTACATTTCTCTCTGGGCCATCGAAGAGGTGACCAGATCTCTATATATGTATACATATGTTGTTTGGGATTTCCTTAAATGTTGTTGTCTTTGTGTGAGTGGTGAATGATTGCAATGAGCTCCCCTCGCTGCCCACCCTCTCATGCCCCCCCCCTGCGATCTGCTCTCCAGACTGCCTCACAGAAGTCACTGCTAAAAACCTGTTTACCGGCCTGGAGGTTCCCCTGGTCATATCCCGCGAGGAGGCGTTTGATGGCCATCTGGAATCTGTGATCGGTGAGTTATTAGTGTGCGTAGGTGTGTAGTTGGGGTTTGAGGGTCACCGAGTGATTTGTATTCGTCGCTGAGCTGCTATTATAGACGGAAGCTGACTGGAACGAACATCAATGAAAGGATGTTCATTGATGAAATGAACAATCCTTGTCCCTTATTGGAGTTAATTAAAGCTCTACCTGACAAAAATGAATAAAGTTGAGAAACAGAAATACTTTTTTGAGGAGGATTTGATTGTACAAACGTTGCTGCGTTAATATTAACATTAAACTTGCACTTTGAACATGTCTTTACCATTCAGCAAATGATGATGATGTGAACACAGTGAGTGTTTGTCTCACTCAGGGGAGGTGGAGCCCGGGGGATCGTTAACAAATAGTCGCATCCCAACATGCTGAGAGTTATTTGTTTTTTTTGTATTCTCTAATGAAATCAATTATGCGTGTGTGCATGTTTTTCCGTTACATATTGGTGCTGCATCTCCTTCTGACAGGTGTCCCAGATTGTAGAGAGGAGGATCTATCTTTGGCCAGAGCTCTGAATCTGAGGTGTACGACTGTGCTGACGAGTGATGAAGATGGGAAACAAACACTGATCAACTCTGATGAGGTCTGTACGGTACCGCTTCTTCCATGACTTCTGCAGGATTTGAGAACTCAACGCCAATGTTTCCTTTGTTCTCCGTAGTTCTCAGGCCTGACCAGAGAGCAGGCATTTGACGCCATTACACAGAAGGCGAGTGAGCAGAAGGTTGGCGGCCACCTTACCAGCTCCAAGCTCAGGGACTGGTTGATATCGAGGCAGAGATACTGGGGAACACCCATCCCCGTAGTGCATTGTGGGTCGTGTGGTCCGGTTGCTGTCCCGGAAGACGAGTTACCAGTTACGCTACCAAAGATGCCGTCCTTTAAAGGAAAGGGTGCATCGCCACTGGAGGCTGCGCATGACTGGGTGAACTGCAGGTGTCCCAGGTAAGAATGTGGAAACACAAACCAGTGTTTGGACCTTTCAAAACATTTTAAATGTGGTGTTGCAATCTGCCAGGAGCGGGTTTGGTTATTTAGGAGCATAAAATAAAATGGGATTATCAACATAGATTTATAAGGCCAGGGCACCACCTTTTGGCCCCATGGTTCCGTCCAATGAGGTTGTTTAAACCAAACCTCACAGATTTGGATTGACGGCTTTACGAGAACACACAGCATGGAGAGCGAGCCTGCGAATTTTGTGATTTAATAATTTGTGATGTAATGAGTGGCATCTGTGACAGCAGCAGCATGAGATAATGATGATGATGATGATGATGATGATGATGGGGGTTACATAAGCCAGCTGCGCCTCGTGGGACACGCAAAAATAATGAACATGCAGGCACACACACTAACCTTTTGTACAGGGTAATTACACTTACACACACACACACACACACACACACACACACACACACACAAAGGAGTCATCTCAGTGAATATTTATGAAAATGTTTGAGGATGCCTACTCAGCCGACGTCTCCAAGTCCCGCGCTGACATGGGAATTCCTCTCTGAATGAGACTAATCATCTTCGTTGCACCATGTTGATTAAAACAAGGGCCCTCTCAGCCGCAGATGGCACAAGTCATCAGATGTGTTCGGTCTCTTCCCTAAAGCTTCCATAAAGCAGCGGTGATTGATGGCTATAATCGTCAGGACGCGGTTAACTCCTTAATCCCCATCTCGCCTCCGTTGTCAAGTTCCTGCAGAAATTTGTTCCCTTCAACCATCAACCATGTCCAATTACTGTTTGAGAGTTGAGCAGGGGGATGGAAGATGGGCGGCAGAAATGGAGTTTTATTTCTCTGCGAGCAAGTCACTTTCTTTATGCTCATCTCGTCCACGACGGTCTGCACCTCAGCAAATTGGCCCGCCGACTGAATCCCTGCCTCGGCTTAGCCCAGACACAGACGGTGTGTATGCAGGTGTGTGTTGTTCCACGAATTCACAGGTTAAGAGAGATTTATCACAGCACACACACACGCACACACATTTGCAAAGCAGGTGGAGGACTATTTTCTATGGGAAGGGTCGTTACAGAGTTGGCAGCCGCCTCTCTGTCTCATCTGTTTGAGAGCCTTTTGGCTCTTTCTGGCTCGTCCTGCAAACACACATTCAGGGTTTGCAGGTGTCTTCATATAAAGTCACTTACTGTTGTTGTTAGGCTCCTTTCATGGCTTAAAGAGGGGCCATCTTTAGAGATAGTACCTCTGTGTGGTGTCTAATTTCATCTGCAGCAGTCAAACTCTAGCCTCTTTCAGCCTGCCTGTCAAATGACCACATCTGGCCTCTGATTGGCCAATCTGGTGTGAGAGAAGTGGGAAAATTGGCACAAACTGTTTTCTTTTTTTCTTCTATTGTTCTGTTCTTTTGTTATATTGCTGGGTTTTTATGGTATGCGATAACACCTGACCTTCAAATATTCACCTTGCTACAACTTAGCCTTGTTGCTAGGCAACCTTCAGCTCATACCTCCTCATCAGTGCCTTATTATAGACTGGTATGGTAGGTGGTCGAGTGGTGTGTGTCTGCGTTAGTGAGTGTGCTATTAACAAAACTGTAAGTGTCAGTGTAACAGATATATCCCATAAGGTCCAGGATACGATACCTGCTCTGTTGCACTCACCAAAGCTCAGAGCTTTGCTTCTGTTTATCTTTCTAAGACACTGATTTCAGCCCCATTGAGACTCATTATAAATTAAAAAGGCGCTTTCTCCCGTTTCATTGCGTACTTTAATACTGAACAAAAAAAAAATCTCTCTTCTCCGTTTTCTTTCCAAATGTCCTCTTCTCCATTGCGAGAGTGATGTTGGCAGATTACGCACCCACGTGCTGATTGGTTTGGACAGAGAGGCACGAAGTGGCATTTCCAACACAAATGCATGATCTCGTGTTCTGCCTGCCAGTTTGCTCCCTGTTAGCACAGCCGGTTAGTCAGGGCACAGGGACGGTGCTCGGGTGCCAGTCTGGCCTCCGCTGGGCTGCTCCGCCGGGAAATGACCCCAAACGTCCAGATGAAGCCAGCTTCATGCACACAAACAGAGATTGTTCATTTGTTCGCATTCAAATTCCTCTGCCTAATATTGATTTTGGTGGCGCCTCTGATGTCTTTCTTTGTCTCAGATGTAAGGGCTCGGCCAGGAGGGAGACGGACACCATGGACACCTTTGTGGACTCTGCCTGGTATTACCTTAGGTACACGGACCCTCATAACACAGACAGGTATTTCAGTTTCTTGTTTTTCAACCGTGTTTTACTCTGCAAAAGAATGTACACACACTTGCAGATGTTTGGCCGCACTCAGACAGGTTTTAGCCCAAATTCCACAGATCTTAATTAGACTCTCTGTTAGAAAGAATAGAAGGCTCTTTCCTCTGCAGTGGGTGGATATTCATATCTATGTTTAGATATTAAAAAAAACTCTCCTATACCAGCAGAAACTTGTCTCTCTCGCTCACACACGTTGGTGTTATTCCTAAATGGTTCTTGAGTGCACAATTATGCCCACCTCCTTGTTTAAGACCTGCATACACTGCCCGTGTACACTCACACAGTCCCACACACAAACGCAGATACTTTCCTGGAACTTGCATTCCCTGCCAATACAGATTATGGAGCCTGAGCTCAACAAAACACTGCACTGACCTTGCTGAAAAGCCGCTTTAAGAGGAGGGTGACCGCTCTCCCCATCAAATTTCTTAGCAGGTCAGATTACGGTACAACAGAAAAGGCAATTACAGTATTTGTGCATTTCAGTCAGCCTGCTGCGCCTCGTGTGCCTAATGCACACAAGGGAAGGCGATGAAAGTAGGAAGCAAGAAGGAGGAAGAAAATGGGTGAATTATTTCAGCCGTGTGAGCTCATAACCTTTGTACGTGCCTCCGTTATCCTTCGACACCATCAGCCGGAGAGGAGAGTAATGACTGGTGTGAAAGGCTGACGCACACAGATAGAAGAGAGCCCTCAAGAAGTATCATGAGGTGAAATCCCAGCCGCCGACGACCATCATGCCCGTCAGGCTCAACACGTCGCTCAAAATCTGAAGGAAAATCCAGTTACGATTCAGATTATTTCCCCCCACAAATACTTTACGAGGAAGCCTTCATCGCCACATCTAAAACCCATATTAATCAACTAGATTATTATTTTTTTTTTATGTAGCCAGTGAGATAAGAGGAGGCTTCAGGATGCTTCTGCTTTTTTCATCGCTGGATCCTGGTGTGTCAGATTCAGCCTGCCCCCTAGAGGAAGTGGCCGTGTGTGTGGATGATGCACAAAAAACTAGAGCTGTGTGACCAAATGTGGGTGAAGAGTATGTTGACATACTTTCTATCAGCAAACTGTAGAGTAAGTTGCTTATGTCATCACCTTTCAAAAGAAATTCATAAACAGCTGTCCAGTCTGTAGTTGGTAAGAGCAGTGTGGATCATTCAAGAGAATGATAACTACATTTTTACATCCAACAAAGGGAATGAAAACGTCAGTGAATGCATTTTTGTCTCTAGGAAGTGCAGTGCAAGGAATAAATATCCTAGTAGTCTCCCACAAACAGAAGCTTTCGTTGTTAGCATATCTCTTGATACTGTAAACTCAGAGGCGGCTTCCCGACACGGCTCCCCACCACCTGCTCTTTCCCTGCAGGCCGTTTGAGCGCCACCTAGCTGATCGCTGGCTGCCGGTGGACGTGTACATCGGAGGGAAGGAGCACGCCGTCATGCACTTGTACTACGCTCGCTTCCTCTGTCACTTCTGCAAGGATCGGGGTCTCGTCGCTCACAGGTACGCCACACTTTGCTTCATCCGCTTTCGCTGGGCTCGATCACGGCTGTGTGTTAATCCTCCCTCCTGTATTTTTAGGGAGCCTTTTTGGAAGCTGCTGGTCCAGGGTCTGATCAAGGGCCAGACTTTTAAACTGGCAGACAGCGGCCAGTACCTAAAGAGAGAGGAAATAGACTTCACAGGTACAAAGCTTCCTGCATCTGTAGGGTGTTTGTTAGTCTGACACATTTGCAAAAAGAAATGAGAACAAATGAGCAGTCAAGACAACATTTTTGTTTTTCATCGTAGTGTGCAGTTAAATCAATGTCCCTACTACCCCTTTTGTGCTGCGAAAAGCGGTCCCCCTGTGTTTTGCCCATTGTTGATTTTCCATGTTTATTGACACGTTCACTAGTTACTTAGTGACTAAATCAAACCACAACAAATCTTGTGAAGGGACAAAAGATATATTCTGCCTCTGTGGATGAAGAGAATAGAAGATGGTGTTGTCATAAACTCCGATTAACTGAACCTCTTAATATTTTTCTTTCTATTGTATTTCACTCATTGAAATCAAACTGGAGCTAGTGGGAAACAAAAAAAAAAAAATTGTCCTTCTATATCTCACCTTTGACTCCTGTTCTCCGTATTCCAGACAAGGAGCCGGTGGTGCATGGCGGCGGTCGCGTTGAGGTGTCATGGGAGAAGATGAGCAAGTCCAAACACAACGGGCTCGACCCCCAGGAGGTGGTGCAGCAGTACGGCGTGGGCACGGTTCGACTCTACACCCTTTACGCCGCACCACCTGAACAGGACATCCTCTGGAATGTCAAGAGTGAGCCGCGACGCCGCCGCACAATCACACCGACACCGCGTGTCATTATTTAGCATCATTGGCTCGTGTCGCGACGCCATATTGGTTTTTGTGCGAAGTTCGTTTGTTTGTTTTCGAAGTCAATTCTTGAGGCATTTTGCCCCCCGTACGTTACACTGTAATATCTTTCCCGTCTGTGTGTGTTCACCACCTCAGCGGATGCTCTCCCTGGTGTCCTGCGATGGCAGTGTCGCCTCTGGAGTCTGGTGACCAAGCTGAGGGGAGCTCGGCAACTCGGAGACGTCCCCAGTCCCTCCCTGCTGAAAAAGAAAGAGCTGGCAGAGACAAAGAAGATCTGGGAGAATAAGAACTACACTATTCAAGAGGTATGCTCTTAGAGCAGTTGGAATAAATGGCTGAAAATATCCAAATATTGCATTTTTTAACATTTAAATATTGCTTTTGCTATTAGTAGTGGTCCGTAATGGGCGCACATTATTTTTTCTGTCTTCCTTCAATTGGATGAGTGAATCACTCCATTGCAGCTTTCCATTTGGTCTATTTTGATTTGAATTTCTTCTACTATTTTTGCACTTTAAAACGTTTATTTCTTATTCTGCGATAGCTTGCAGTGTTGCCATGCATTATAAGATGTGTTATTTTAACAGCTGCAAGGTCTGAGAGCATTCCAGCTAATGTGTCCCCCGTTACACAGCTAGTTAAAAGTTTCAGCCTTTCCATCCAAAGCTGAACATCTATTGCAACCTGAAACCCAGAGAGGAAATAAAGAGGCAATGGAAATTGATTTTAAAGGCTCTCCGTCGCCTCTCACTCCTTAAATAGCCTCTTTTGGCTGCCAGGTTTGATTCTCTCTCTTCCCCCCCTAGAGATGGTCTTTTTGAAAGACCTCTAGCTGTCTGCCATAAGACCCCAAAGCCAAGGCTTTCGTTTGATCTGTGCCTCAGAAAAGCCTCGGTGATCGACCTCCTGCTCCCTTTGGCTTTCCCAAACTAGTTGTTCTTCCCAGAAGGCTAAGCAGGGCAATGTTGACATGCTATGTGTTTCAACCAGCTCACATGGCTATAACAGGAGGTGGGCCTCCTCTATTGTGTCCTTTCTTTGAAACTCTTTTTATTTTATTTTTTTAAAGAGGACCATAAATTCCAATATTTCTAATTTCTTCATAAATAAGAAATATTATAAGTACAGACTTGAAAACAGGACATAACGAAAAATGAATAAAACATATCAATGTTTAACAATGCAATACCTTCATTTATATGAACGATGGAGTGAGACAAAAAAGTTGATTTGTGGGAGGATTAGTGCAGTTTTTAAGGTTTCAAAAAAGGGTTGCCAGATCCGGTAGAACTCGAGAATATCCTGAGAATATTTCATTTTTTGCAAATGCCGATGCTACGTGACATCTGTAACGAAAGCTGAGCGGGTTGGAGCCTGCGCTTTGTCCACATCAGTAACATCAGTCTGCTTTGGGCTTGTGGTACCTTTATTTCCAGGTGACCTCTTACTTCACAGAGGACTTCCTCTTCAACGCGGCAATTTCTCGTCTGATGGGACTCACCAATACACTGACGGTGAGTGAGCCCCGCGGCTCCCTGAAATAAAGATCTCACCTTCATCGTTTGAAGCTCGACAGTTTGGAAGTGGCATTTTTACCCGTTTGTGTTCAGAGTGCGACGGTCAAGGTGGTGCAGCACAGTGAGGAGTTTGAGGAAGCTCTGGCTGCGCTGGTTCTGATGATCGCACCCATGACTCCTCACCTGGCTTCTGAACTCTGGGCAGGTTGGTGACACACAAATAATTCCACTCTGCACTCGTACTATAGAGTTACTTTAGAGTAATAATATCAAGGGAGTCCCCTTGTGGTAAGTTACATGCACATTATGTGCGGTTTGTGGTAAAATGATCATACTTTTACATTACATTACATGTCATTTAGCTGACGCTTTTATCCAAAGCGACGTACAATAAGTGCATTCAACCATAATACTTCTAATGTCTGTAAGAGAATGTTGTATCAGTTGCTCTAAAGCCCAGCAGGTAGCCGATCAACAGCTGTTAAGACAGTGTGACATTTCCATGTGTGGCTGAAAGTGAGAATCAAGTGTCCTCGGTTAGTTCACTGTTGCTGGTTTAAATGAAAGTCCGGACACGGGATGGAGGGCCGTTGTCTGATCCGTCATGATGAAACCTTTTCTCTACATAAAGGAAAACATAAGTTGTCCCGAATCATGTTTTGACTCATTAAGACAGACAACCCATTTACTTTTCTTCTGAGTTGGTGTGATGGCTGTTTGAGAGAGCCTCCGCACAATAAAGCATCTCTTGGGTGTAGAAGCAGATATCTTTGATATATTTCTCACGTCTGTCATCCCGGGTCTCCCAACAGGTCTTTGTCAGGTGAAGAACCCCCTCGGCGGGCTTCTCCGGCAGGGAGGAAATGTCCTGCAACAGTCTTGGCCAACAGTGGACCCTGAATACCTGCAGGTCCCCGACTTTGTGCAGCTGTCTGTACTGGTAGGAGCCAACGCAAACACCCACATCTAACTGTTGCATCTGTTTGCCGCCAAGACCGAAGAAACATGTTTTTCCAGCACGAAAACAAACGAAACTCTTTTGGTTTTGTTTAAACGATTTCACTCGGCTCTGATCATTATTTATACATAACTTCATCAATTGCTGTATTCAGTCACGTTTGATCTCGCATCGACTACGGTTTTCACTCAAACTCTCCACCCTGAAATCTTCAGCCCGTGATTACATTTGTAGTCTATAATTTCCTGGCACAGTCTATGATTACCCTGTGTGTGTGTGTGTGTGTGTGTGTGTGTGTGTGTGTGTGTGTCGGCATGTCCTGTGGTATGTTTTAGGCTAAATAGACAAGTGGGTCGATAAAAGGCAGCAACCGAGCCGCCGGGATCCTTTGACTCGCTGTTGCTGTCTCACTCTCATTTCCTGGGACTTTCGCTCCACTTGTGAGCTCGATCCCTCAAATAGTGAATGCCCTCGGCTTGGCAGCGTCACTCAGAACATCCAGCAGGGAGGGAAACGTTTGGATCAGATCCAGGCAGCACACATGCAAACGCTGGATCCCGAATGAAAACACACACGCACGTGAATGCACACTTCACTTGTGACGTTGATGCTGGTTTTTGATGTTGGTGATGAAAAGCATGCTGTAACATTTTACTTCAGACTCTCTGTTGTGGGGATGCTCGGCCCTGCGGAGGGAGCCTCGATTCCCTCTGTCGTCTAGTCACGTACTTGGGTTTGTACTGGAAGGGAGACCAAGGCTTCTCTGTCACACACACACACACACACACACACACTCGCACGCACGCACACACCATGACTTTATAACCACTCCCAGAGATCACATCCACTGTGTGCACACATGCTTCAGAACATTACAGGACTGGGTGCCCTCCCCATACCTACCACTAACTATGTGTTTTAAGTGTTTCCTATATAAATATGAAGGAGAGGTGGAGCCTGTTATTTTGGGCCTTCTATTTCAGGAAGAGTTCGGGTAAAGTCTGACATGGCACAAGTTCTTTTCAGATGGCAATTTTGTTAAAGGGGACCGATTGAACAGAACAAATAAGAACCGTATCTACTTCTGCACTCATTTCTCACCCTCAGATAAACAACAAGGCCTGCGGCACCGTGACGGTGCCTCAGCAGGTTTCCAAAGACTGTGAGCGGGTGCAGCAGCTCATCATGGAGAGCCCGTTTGGACAGAAGCTTCTTGGAGGCCGCCGCATCAAGAGAGCAGTCCTCTCCCCCAGGACGCCCCTCATCAACCTCCTCATCGACGAGTGATATTTGGGCATTTATATTAACTGTCACAAATACAATGTTCAAAATGATGTTTTATTTATACTTTGTTTGTTTTTAATAAAAGACTTGGGATTCATTGGGATTTGTTGTCTCTTTCCGATCATCCTCCCGTCTAGTCAGACTTTCTTAATGACGCCAAATGAGCGCGAGGACCTTTCTCCCTTAGCACCGCATTCAGCATCGCACCCGGGACCAGCGCTTCACACCTCCCCGTCTCCCACACGCCTAACGTCTCAGCGGAGTCGCACAGTCGTGCGCTGCCTCATCCACGGATGCTCTCTCTGGACCCTGTCGCCACCTCTAGGTGCTCTGTCTCAGCATTGGGTCGACATGAGACAGACTGAAGTGCGTCCATGTGCCCACCCACTAGCCGTTCCTTTAATGGCCTGGTGAGTAAGCGCCGTCTTTGCTATGAAGCCCTTGCAGTGCCCACGTTGCCTGTGTCATATTTTCTCTGGTGTCAGCATGTGAACAAAGAAGAAGGAATGTGATCTCACTGAAATGTGAGATATGTGTGTCAGTTTTGCAAGGTCAGCTTCCGTTGGAGGAAGTGCGGTTATTTTTACAGTCCGCAGCTTGTGACTGATGAAAAGCATGCTGTAACATTATGTAAGGTGATTGATTGTTTCTCTTAAAACAAAGGTATGTGAGGAACAAGCAGAACATTTCTTGCTTAATCCAATAACTTTTTTCTATATTACATCTTTGTCAATCAGGTGCCAGAAAAAGGCTCACGGGAGAGACAGACTAACAGGAAGAGAGACCAGGAATAAGAGAGGACCAAAAGGTCAACGCTTTTTTTTGTGCTGGCAGCAATTGCTATATCAATACTTAGATTAATGGCCATACCTTATTTTTTAGATGTATGCCATGGTAACTGTTTTACTGCACAGAAGATATTTTGTATTATTTTCATGTTTTTTCTGGCTCGTATGCCTTCTAGCCCTGGTTGTGCTGTTTCCATAGAGATGCATAACCTACACGTTAGAGCTGCAAACGAGGCCCCAGAGAGCAAAATCTGACCAGAACGAAAAACGCCCCAAAATGGAGGGTTCAGAGGGTTAACGCTTTTTGTCGGCTCTGCAGTTTCCATGACAACTAGGACCATTGAATAGGCAACATAATTCTACTATGACTCAATTTCTCTTGTGACCACAGCCGCCGTCTCTCTTACACATGGGATGTACAGCATGACGTTGTCTTTGCTGAGTTAAAGGAAATTCCTTCCTGTTGAAAAACTCTGCTGGTGGAATTGAAAAGTGGTGGATTACACAGCAGTGCCTCCAATGCACCGGTTGAGTCCCTGGGCTGTGCTGTCTATTCTCCCAAGGGGAAGTAACACAACTACTGCTCATTATCTCATTACCTCAATGCTAGTAATTTGGTCATCCAATGATTTTTTGTGTCTCTTTGTGAGCTCATTGTATCAGCAGATTTTCTCTAGTGCTCTTGTTGTTCGGGCGATGAAGCTGAACTCTTGTTGTGTGTGAAGGCACCACACTTGCCACAGTTCTGCAAATCTCCATAGTAACAGTCTTTTAGTCATTTTGGTACTGAATGAAACCGTTGTGCACAAGGACTCGCGCAGGTGTGACTTATGTTATATTCAGAGGGATCTATATATATCTATGATTGCACACATCTGTCTTACTGCAGATGACGTTGCATAGAAGTAGCATGTGTGTGCAGTTATTATTTTCTCCTTCACGCTTCTTATCTGCCAGATCTGTTCCATCCATCCATTTCAATCCACCCACAACATCTATTGGTAAAGCATTTAACTCATAGTGGCTGCCTCAAATCTGCAGCTTCAATGTTAAAGCCGTATTAAGTAGATGTCAATCGCTGCTGAACTGATTATATTTCACTGAAAATTTGCAAAGGCTTTTATACAAAACCTTGAATCAGCAGTGAAACTACATATGGTGCTGTACTGTATGTTGTACAAATTGTAAAAAGAACTCTGATAGTATTTCATAAACACATCTGACTAGAATGCGTTTTGCTATTACAGCAACAGATACACCAAAAGAAAATGTGAATAAGGCTTTGTTTCCACCAAGAAATATTACTGTAAAAAATGCAGAAACCATTGTGAATGTTCTTTCCTTTACTGCCCATCCCTAAAGAACTGCTATTAAAAATGACTGTGAGGAGGGTTTGACTACTGGGAAATTATGTTTTTCTCTGTATCATTCTAAAGTATTCCCCTTTGGTCCAATTGGTTAATCAAAATAGATGCAATTAATGCAAATACAAATATATCACATCACAAGATCCTGCTCCATTTGTTCAAATACTGACTTCTCTGTGAATAACATGAATGTACATGTGAAAAACACCCCATGGAATATCACTAAAATATTACCCATGGCTGTTTCACAAGAATATTTGTGAAAATGGTCTAACGCAATTATCCTGTTGTTTGAAGTGCTGCATTGTGGTGATTATTTCCCATTACATACCTGCATGCTCGGACCTTATCAATCTTCAGATTAAATGACAACAGCATTATAAAGGCACCCTAAATTCACTTTCGTTGCATTTTTTTTGGTTTTACATCAGGGCTTTCAGACAATATATGCACATCCGAGCCACATCCTGGACACAAATAACATGTGCCTCTGTCTTTGCCTTTTTATTTCCCCCCCGACGCACAAGTTCCCCCTATTGTACAACAACCCGGCCTTAAATATTCCAGCCAGCGTCTGTGTGTATGTTTCATGAGCAGGAATGTGTATCATTCAAACAAAACGGGGGGAACAAGTACTGTAAATAGCCCCCCTAAATAAAAACCCACCCATACAGTAGCCACTCTAATTCCATAGGAGTACTATACATACATTGTTTATGGGGGAATGGAAACTTGAAAAAAAGGTTGTGTGGGAGTGACACCAGCCTTCCTGAATATTTTCTAAAATATTTAAGACCCAACCCCCATTTGCTTTACTTTACCTGTCTCTTTCCACGACTAAGCCAGAAAGCAGTGTTAGATGAGGTATTTCAATTTCAATTTAAATGAGAAAAAAACTATATTACATTGTAAAAACACTCAAATTGTTGCTTTGATAAAATATAGTTTGGCCTATTATGATAAAATAAACTTGAACTCAATCATTAAACTTAGGTGTTTTTTCAATGCATTGCCAAGTGTTATAACGTTAATAGAATAGTGATGTCTAACAGTTGGTGGAGCCCACTTGCAGCAGCATAAAGGCTTTCGTCTGTTGGGTCGTCTCATATTTTAGTTTTGTCAAACAAACAACCATAAAGAAAAGTAAGAAGTCGCCCAGTATTTCTTTTCATCACGCTGCCTGTTCATCCCTCAAAAAACGTGTTTCTCTGACTCACAGTGCGGCGACTGAGTCAACCAGCGCCGGATATTTTTAACAACAACACCGGATGTGAGGGAGCGGGTGGACATCTTCCCCCAAAAGAGGTTATCTTCATATCACGCGAAGACACGAATACGGTAGCTGGTAGAGAACTAACTGTACATTTGTGGTCCCACAACGAATTTCCACTTTTTATTTATTCTACTCGTGGCTGAATGTGAGCACTGCACCTTTAAAACAAAGCCTCCGTCCGCCGACTTCAGTCCCAACCGCCGAGCGCGCGCGACTTCTACCGGTCGACCGGCGGCGCTTTAGCTTCGTGTTTAGCTAGTTGCACTACTTTGACGTACTTTTTAAAAATGTGTATTTCTTTTAAGAGAGAGCGAAAGAAAGAGATGCGGAGGGCGCGGTGTTGAATGAAGGTTCCCCGCTGGGACTGTAAGCGGGCGGAGGGAGGAGGAGGTGCAGGAGGAGGAGGAGGAGAGGAAGGGGGGGGGAGGCAGTTCTAGGCTTTGCGGGGTCGTCCGGGCTATCGGATCCGGGATCTGCTGCTCGTATTTATAACCAGACAGACGGCGGCTTGTTCGGGGCAGCGGAGCGGAGCTCGGGCGGTTTCTGTGAGGAGGACGCGTTGGAGTCTCGTTAACTTTACTTTTTTTCCACGCCGGTCTTCAACAAGAAGAGGGAAGTTGGGAGTAAGAGGAAAAAGTTTTTATCCTGGACTCTCGTCAACCTGCGGAGACTACGCGAGTTGTGAGCTAACGTTAATGATTCCCTCAGAGTTACAACAATATCCTTCTGTTAGACGACTTTAACCGCGGAATATAACTAACGTCACCTGTTGCTTCGCTTTATTGAAGCGGAAACTTCACAATGGATAAATACGAAGATTTCGGACTCGAGGCGAGTAAGTTTATTGAGGACCTCAACATGTATGAAGCGTCCCGCGACGGCTTGTTTCGAACGAGGAGGGATGCGGGAAATAACCCCGACTTTGAAGAAACCAGGAGAGTTTTCGCTACTAAAATGAATAAAATACACATTCAGAAACAGCAAGAGGAGATGGCCAAAAACAACCAGGCCATGAAAATGAACGGGGCCCACAGCAGCGCGCACTACACCAAAGACAGACCCCCCATCAACAGCTACAGGCAGCCGTGCGAAGCGGCGGCCAAGCCCCCGATGCTCTCCGGCCCGCTGCCCAACCAGCACGCCCTGTCCGACGGCCAGAGACACCACGCGGCCGGCCAGCCCGAACCTCCGGCGGCCAGGGCTTGTGGCTACGGCAACAACTACGACTGCTCGTCGCCGGTGTCTGGCCGCTACCCGGTCAGCCCCTCGGCAGCCTGGGCCCCCTCCAGAGAGAGCCAGCCTCCCCTGTCGCTGGGGTCCAGGCAGCAGCCCCAGCAGATTGAGCCCGCCCCCCAGGCTTTGAACCCGAGTCCGGCCTCGTCTTGTGCCGGTGCGCTCCGCGGATGGGCAGGAGAGCCCTGTGGCTCGGGTGGAGCCGACCTTCTCCCCGCCCTGCCTCTGAGTGCCTTCCCGGCGGGAACGCAGCAGGCCTCCACTCACGCTGGGGCCCATTACGCGCCACCTTCTCCAATCTCGAGACCCTCCGGCAGCCACAGTGGTCCTCTGACAGCGTCCTCGCTCCTACCGGGACCTTCTGAAACAACTCTACCCAAATCCCGGGTGGCATCTGCGGCCTTGGTTTCTGCCAATGTGTCCAAAAGCGTCAGCCAGGGTCAAGGTCAGAGCCAAATGGCGGTCTGTGGACACGCTGTCGGCGCCGAAGCTAAAATCAAGTGCCCTTCGAAGCCCGTCCAGCTATCCTGCCAGTCTCTCCATGCACAGCCGCCCCAACAGGCGCCTTCAGCAGCTGAAATGAAGTTAGAAGCCCTCACCGATCAACTAGAAAAGGAGATGGACGCCCAACCAAAGGCTGACTTCTTCGGTAAGGCAGTTTAAAACAAATTCAACAAAGGGCTTCTTTCTGCCAGGTAGACTGCGGCGGTAAAACCCATTGAAAGACAGAACCGCCCACCCACAGTTGAGAACATAAATCCCTTGACTTTTAATTGAACATTTCCCGGCACACACTGTCGCCCTTCTTCTGTGTTTCCCTTAACACACACATTATATTCTGCGCTGGCTGTGTGTTCCTGTGTTTACATTTTTGGTGCAACCCAATTGTCCTTAAGTCAGCGGCATCTTTGATGGTCTTTGCTGATGGAATAGCTGAACCCATTAGCCTAGCTTCTCTCTTCGGTTCTTTTTTGGAATGCAGACAAAATCATTTCTCTAATTTGTTTCCTGTCCTTTTTTTAAAAACGATTCATTGTCCGCCCACCGCCCACAAACCCTTCAGCAGTAAAAGGTGGGGCCGGGGCCAGACAGAAGAATGTTGCCCTCTATCTCTTCCCAGAGATTTAATGCAGTACGAGACAGCGTTGATGACTGAAGTCATTAGTTAGACGTTGATCACTGCAGTCAGCTCTGTGCTCCATTAAGTCTGTGATGGTTTTAATGGCAGTCCCCCATGAGGAGTTTGTTTCCCTATCAGGGGCTGTTTTCACATTACATCAGGGCGGATCGGTGCTGGCACATTTCTACTAACTCTTTTGTGAGCATGCCGTGCACGCTTGTGCAAGTGATGAACATACGCACACGGGGGAAATTATGTGAATAATAACACCTATGATTACTATTTCTGGTATATAACAAGAAACCATACTGCTGTATAATAATACAGAAGACCACACACGTATTTATCTTTTAGATACTTGGCGTTTTCTGATCTAGCACCCTCGTATATGTTGGAATTATGCACACTTCAAATGTATTGGATTATTACAGATTCATATAAAAGAAGTAAAGTTTTGCAGCTAAATTAAAACCGATAAACAAGGTCACTGGCCGAGCAACAGAGGCTGGGATGGGTTGTATAAGAATGTCCATCATCAGCAGAATACCCTGGTTTCTATTCCTGCTATCACTGCATCGGGACGGTAGGGGCGCTGTCAGGGAATCAATGCGACATCAAAGGAACACATGCAGTAAAATGAGACAGGATATTCTGTACCTGAGTGTGTTGGTCCCGGTGGATCCTGGTGCTCTTATGCTAGCCAGATGTTCACAGTCGAGGCCATTCGTGAAGACGGGATGTCCCCCCAATGGGAAAGCATGACGGCGAGGGACAGAGAGGATGAGATGGGGGGTTTCCCTGCGTTTGAATCGGTGTGCCTCTGTGTGCCAGGCGAGCTGTTATGGCGTAGGTCAGAGTCACCGCCAGGCTCAAGAACAGCACAGCGACGTGGAGGTGGCGGATGTGTGGGAGAGCAGTCCCAGGGTGTGCAATCACCTGAAGTGCAGGTTTAAAGTGATACTGTACTGGCCTTTTTGTTCTCATTCATTCCCACACATGGTTCCTGTTTGGAGTTTTTCACTAAACCATGGCTCATCCTCTGAGTCAGGGTTTCATGCCAGAATAAAACCGTGCGCCGTCGGTGTGCTTCACTTCTTTGCCTTCTCAGCTGCGGGAAAAATGATATTTGTGCAAATTCTTTTGTATATTGTCATATTTGTAGATCCTATTTGTCTTTGAAGTTTTCCAGTTAAAGATACGGTTTCTTTTAGTCTGACGGAAAGAACATGATGTGCTTTTTATAAGTCTCTTCCGGCGCCGTGATGGTGTTTAACATATCCAGTGAGCTGTATCCCCACGCAGGGATTCATCAGCGCTCCCAACTGTACACCAAGTACCGATTGGCTAAATTTCAGCTGGAGGTTCTGGGAAAATGAGTCCTGTGCCAAACGGGTGCACCAAGGGAACTGTGAGGAATGTTTGAAGGAAGAGAGCAAGGAATTTTGTATATGAGGTCTTAAGATACAAACGGGAGGGGAGCCCCAGTTGAGTTTCGAGGTGCCTGCGGTGCAGCCGAGTATACAAACGGAGAGAGATTTAGGAGCAGCTTCCTAGACGCTTCTTTGTCCTTGGTCACAAGAAAGACATGAAAGGATATGGGATTTATAGACACAAACATCCAGGAGGGGAGAAGTGGTGGGACATCCTAGTGAAGTCCCCCCACAGACTCCTCGTCTGACTTTCACTGACCCATACTCACAGAACTTTAACTCTTCCATCTTCTTAGATTCTTGGCTTATACAGTTTTTCTTGTGTATGTGTGTGTGTGTGTGTGTTCGTGTGTGACATCCCCTCATGCATCTCAGTGTGTCTTTTGTCTATCAATAAACAGCTTATAGGCTGCGGTAAATGTACAGATGGAATTAGGCCATTGATATTGAGAAACGTCATCTTTTATTGCTTAGTCTCTTAAAGTTGTTGCCTCGTCCTTTAAATTTGTTCTTAAAAAATAAAAAAAAGAATTCCACCAACCTGAGTCAGCTCTAATAACCAGCGAGCACAGTAGTCAGCTAAAAATAAAGTAAACTAGAAGGAATGGACAAGGTGGAGACGGTTACCTAAATGTCATGGATATCACGGTGTAATAGTTATCTAATGGTGCTTGATTGTAGCGTGGAAGGCAGTCGACATCAGACAAAAAAAAGAGCAGCCGCCATATGAGACACATCACAACTCCACCTGGGATGTTTCTACACGCGTGATGTGCAAGGCTTGCTGCTTTTCATGTTTGAGTCGTTGTGGATGTTTCATGGATGAAACTTTGAAGTAACAAAGCTGAGCAGCTGCTACAACGTATAGCCATGGTCGGTGGTGTCTATGTGCTGGGAGTTTTCACATTTGGGGAAAGGTGAAAGGGGAAGTTTTTGGCCCCCACTTGAAGCAGGCACCCAGTCTGCAAAGCAATCATGCTGCTTTGGAATATGGGACTCCTGCCAAAGACAGATTTGTAGTGCCCAATCTGCAAAGAGTTCACTTTTACTGCTTTTTTTTGTTCACATGGCGCATTCTAATCATAGCTGTAAAGACAGTTAGGAAACATTTCCACGGCCCGGTGGCCCATCTCGCAAAAAGTCCCGAATCAGTCGACTGTGTGTCGGGTCTCTGACATGAAGTGTTTGGAGTCCACATTCACAAAAGACATTTTTCATGCACACAGCTTACATACAATAAAAACATTCTTCTGCTTTCTAATAATATCCCCCTTTTATCTCTAAATCTTTTTTCCAGGCCATGGGGGCCCCTGATGATGTGTCCTTTGTTGTGGCATTAGGAGAGGCTTAACACATATACTATATATAACCCCGTTGTATATTGTATTACAGAAAGTCTAAGAAAAGAACCATTTGAAGGTTATTAAATGCAACAAGTAACTTTTGGGGAGGCGGCCGCGTGATGTGTGTTGGATACAGTGAGAACAGAAGTGTCTTTGTCAGCGCGCTAGCAGGACCTGGGCCGGGCCGCTAGCCGCTCTCCTGCTCAGCTCTATTTCCTTCTCGCCGGGGAGTTTTTCTTTAAAAACAACATGCACACCACACAAATAAGCTCATGCACACACATCGTCACTCTGAAAGAGAAGCTCGAGGTCTTTCCTCAGTGCTCGTATCAAACTGTACCCGATGGATTGAGCTGCTAGCGGTCAGGGATGCCACTTTAACGGCCTCCATGCCGCAGAGTACACACTCCGAGGGAAAGGTGGAGATTGGCAGTGAACTGGTGCAAAAGGGAGGGTGATGTTTCCATGCCAGGTCCCAGAAAAGCCGTGTTTCATGAGCGGTTCCAGAACAAAAAAAAAGCTTGTGTTTGTGTTTTTGATAAACAGTCGAAAGTCAAAGGGGAGATTATACATTAGTGCACGGCGTGCGCTCATGTGACCTGCTTCTGGGTCTTTTATAGTTTTTCACTTTTTACATTCTGCTCGACTCATACCGGCCTTGGATGAGTGGATGGATTATTAATGACATCAAGCCGCATTCACTGTGTGTGTAGTTAGGGAAGGAACATTCTGATTATGATCAAAGTCTTTCTCAACAATCCTTTTACTGTCTGAGCCAAGTCAAATAAGCAAATCAGGATATATTTCCCCTTTCAATGATGCGGCCCTGCTTCCTGTTTCCTGACTTTTTGCAGTGATGTATTTTCTTTGTCTCCATTGTTTTTGTTTGGATTATTCTGGATCTCAACCCCCTCTTCTGTGCCCTTTTATCTTGATACAGTCGACTAGTCTTAGTTTCTACCTCCGATGTAAATGGGTTGATCAAAAAGCATATTAAATTGAAAGGCACAAGTGGCTCCCTTCTCTGACATTGGCTGTGATGTGCTTCAGGTGCCTGTGTTAAATGCAACAAGGCGGTGCATGGGGCCAGCCAGGCCTGCCAAGCTATGGGAAGCCTCTACCACGACAGCTGCTTCACCTGCAGCGCCTGCAGTAAGTAAACGCACACACACCTTCACTCACACTTTCACAGGTTAAGCTCACGTCACCTCCCGACTAATAGGCTGCCACAGAACTTGTGCTCTTGATTAAAAATTGAACCATTCAGTGCCCCCGAGCAGAAACCAACAATAATTTGGGGGTTGGTGTCCCGTGCTTACTGGTGTTTGGTTTCTGGGTGTGTCAGTCACACAAGGACAAACAAAGCAAGACTTTTTTTGGCCAACCTAATTTATCCATCTGTCAAGAAAATAACATCTAGTGTACAGTGAGTTAGTCAGACAGTATCCAAGCCTGGTGGAGACTGAGAACCATTGACTTATGAAACCACAAATCCCACGCAGGAAAGGCGAGGGCACTTTGGGACCCAGTTGTTCAGAAATACTCAACATAATACTCAATACAACATTTCAACAGACAACGTCTGGTCTTTGTTTCAAATCCCAGACCTGGATGCAGTTTTTTACTTTTAAGACACAAGAACTTTAAACATTATACCCGGTTGGTAAGTTCCATTCCCTTTTCACAGTTTCCTCCTTTGGGACCCGTGTATTGTGTGTCATGTTAGATTTGTGCTCCGACCAATTAAAATCTCTGTCCCAATTATGAGAAGGGTATGCGGAGTATGTGCGGCACTGCGGTGACCCTCTACTCCGGCCTGTTATTCCACAGCACCTTCGACCTTGCTGTTTACACCCCCAAATATATGATGGACACTGTTTTTTTTCCCCCTTCTGTATTGTGTGTTTATACATGTGTGTGGAGGAGACACAACACATGCCTCTCAGGCCTTTCTCCATGTGGGAGCATGACGGTTGTGCTGGCTGTAAGTGGGCCTGGAGAGAGGCCTCTTAGCGTCGATGAGGGGGTCGGGGGGGTTGCAGGCATAGGGGCAGTCAGTAGGTCTGGCTCCTGGAGGACACTGGGAGCTGTTATGTCAGCTCAGCGCAGCGAGCTGGGAGGGCAGTGTGGGGGACAGGAAGACCATTGAGTGAGAGCCCACCGCACGCAGCACTGCAGGCGGGGGCGCGCTGATACGCACGTGCACTCATGCTGTGCCCACACGGTAAACGGCACGATGCCGTTGAATATACAGAGCCTGTTCACGAGGCCTCCCTCCTCATCCTCCCCCAGGGTCAATTTGTCAAGAGATCCGTCGTTGTTGTGTAACAGGTTTCATGACTGCGAGCTCACTCTCCTGCCTTCGCCCCACTTGTTCCTCTAAGGGGCCTGAGAGCCAGGAGGACATTCAGGCTGCAGGGCCTCAGAGGGGCCCCCCTGCCGGCCAGTCGTCAGTAAGCCTGACGGGCACAAAGAGTTAACGGAACAACCCAATTCCAGTTGGAGATTAAGCTCAAGTTGGTAATCGGGGGAACTTGTTTACACATTTGCAGACTTAAAAGAAAGAAATCACTTCTCCTTATGTGAGATATTCTTATATATAGTATATTTATGTTGTTTTTAAGGAACACTGGTGCAAAAACTCTCCCTCAGATTCATCTTTTCTTAATATAAAGTCAGACTACCCAAAACACAGCTTCTAAATGCAGGGAAGAAAGATTTCTTTGATATTTAAACATACCTAAATATCTTTTGCAAGGCCGGAAGTGACTTGCAATGTGACTTGGAATGTGGAATCGGCGTATGAGATGCTTTTTTATTTTACGCACAGGAAGGAAGGGGGTTGAGTCCCAATTAGGAGGACATGGCACAGTCATTGTGAACTTCATATTCTCTAAATGGGATAACATAATGGAATTCATAGAATGTTTTAATTATAAAATGGCCTTGTGTTTTGTTCTGTCCCTCAGGTATTTTACATTTTTATGAAAGAGCAATAGTCACAGTTCTTTTCAAATAGCCGGTCCCGACTGCTGACTTTAATTAAGCTCTTATCTCTCCGGAAAGCTTAGCGCTTTCTCTCTCTGACTCACTGGGGAAAAAAAAGACGGGACTGCGAAGAGGAGGGATGGCCCATATCTGACTTCCATTCCCTGTCCTCCTGCCCATTTTCCTTTAGGGACACACTGCCAAGACTGTCTTCAGTAATGGCCGAAGGCCAGCTAAACAAGTAATGTGTAACTAAGCTAGTAATTGTGTTCGCCTTGGTAAGAGCTTGATTGAATGACCCTTATTATCATAATAAAGTAAGGTCATGTAGCAGTGAATAGGTGGTTCAGAGAATGTCACCTGTCATTCATATTAAAAAAGGAATGTTTTAGTTTTTTTTAGTTTTCAGTTTCCTACTTTGTTTTTGCCCTCAGATTTGCTTTGAAAAAATCTAATTGGTATTGTGGTATATAAATGAATCTTAAACTGTTCATGGACAAGATAACCATAATATTACGGTCTGCTTTAGCCAATTGCAGAAAATCACAGTGCCTCATCACATGGATGCAAATATCAGTGATAAAAAAATAAAAGAAAGCTCTTGATGTCCTAATACTGATATACTGTATTCAGTGTGGCAAAATGTTGGTCAATATTCAGTATAATCTCACAGACATTACTGTACCATTGCCCAACACCACAATATCCAACTATGGGATGAGCCAAGATATGGTTCTAATGCTGACTTATTCTGAAGAAAGCCCTATATTCCAAATGTGCTTTACCTACATGCCTTCAACTGCATGTGAAACTCCTCATGGCTGAGTTACTGTGTGAGACTATCTGGATACAAACATTCAGGTTGACTGAGCACGGGCGATAAAGAAGGCTCCTGTTGACCAGGGTGAACCCCCCCTCTCTCCTCCCCCGCTGCTCCCGCCTTCACCTCCCCACTGCAGAAATGTCAGGAATGTTTTCTCTTCCTGTGGGACCTGGGCAAGAATAGCTATGCAGAGTGGTTTTATTTGTGTGTGTGGACTTGATATAAGAAGCCAGCTCCAGACCATAGAATTATTAAAGCAGACAGAGAGACAGGAAGCATACGAAGCCTGTGGAGACACCAGGAAGGAACAGTGAAGAAGGATAGCAGGTGGTTGGAGGTCTTGGCCGGGGGTCGCCGCGAAATCCAATATAGAAAAGTGTTTAATCTGTTACACCTGTCTAGTAATTGAATTTAATCAGCAGTTTTAGCCACACGTCTTTGATCCAGATGTGTTCCTGGTCCTACCGCAACCCGCTGTGTGCCCCAGCAATATTATATTAAGACACCAGCACAAGAGCCATTCGTTTGATTGATCTGCCCGGAATTCAGCAAGATATACTGAATATTGCAAGAGGGTCCATTACTTTCGAATGGGTGTAATTAATCACCGCCGCCTTTATGCATTAGTGCTCTAACTATTGTCTGAGACTAGTCTCATTGCTTTGCAGGATTTTCCAGTAAGACGATTCTTCTGCTGTTGACTTCCCTTTTCTCGTCTGCTTTAATCTGCTTGTTGTAATTCAATAATAGAACAGGTTATAATAGGTGTAATGATACAAGCAGACGTTTCTCTGTGTGTTTCTACAGGTCGAAGGCTGAGAGGGAAGGCGTTCTACTATGTCGGAGGGAGGGTTTTCTGTGAAGAGGACTTCCTGGTGAGCAGTCAATACACAATCAATATGTCGTAAACCTCAACTCCGCTATTTGGCCTTTCCATGCGTTAGGTTGAGATAACATATTTTTGCCCAGGCAACGTCTCTATTGCCTCATGGTTTACAAACCTTATAAAACGAGAGGTTAACAGTTTATCCTTAAATCCCCTTTCAATCTTCAACTTAAACACTATATATTGGTAAGCGACTTTGACCTTATCAACACTTGTTTTTTATCTGATGCCACTGATTCATATCAATTCCCTCCCTTTGGGGGGAATGGAAGGTCCCTTAACTAGAGAGGCTGCTTAGCAATGGTTCATGGGGTGGAGGGCGGTCAGGCCATTCACACCAGTGCAGAAGGACTGTGTGTACTCAGAAATAATAGAAATGGAGAATGTTAATTGAACACGATTAAAATCCCTGTGGAGGCATTTGTTGTAATTTCCAACACATATTTTCCGTTTTGCACGTGGCATTTTCATTGGAAATCCATCCTCCTTTTCTTTGTATTTTCCCAACAAATCCTTCACGCTGTCAGTAGCTCTGTGTGCGTGTTTTCTCCATGAGCCTCCCCCCAAAAGCTTGTTCCTCAAATAAAATCCTATTTTTTACTGAATTAAATATGCTCTCTATCTCCCCCTATGTGCTCCTCTTCTACTTACTGACACTGCTCATACAAGTAAACACATGAGCAAGTCGACCCGACTGACAAACACCGTATTAATTGAGCACCTTTTGAAGGAACCACACCGACTTTGTTTCAGGGACTCGCTCATGTTTGAACTGCAAACTGCATATTTTTTTGCTCTCAAAGAGGGAAAGTGTAAGCACTTTTAAAGAGCATGTTTGAGTGAAACTACACATGTCACTTCACCATTTAGGCTTCTTTGGATTGTGCCCTGGAGACGTAGTGGAGCTGTTTAGTGCTCAGTCTGAAAAAGAGCAGAGATTTCAGTCATCCGTTAAATAACCAAATTCCAATCACATCACCGCTGTCTGTTCTCTGCCTGTTGAAGTTCTCTGGTTTCCAGCAGTCGGCAGACAAGTGCAACGCATGTGGACATCTGATCATGGACATGGTGAGTGTCTGTTCCTTCCCTCCAGTCGTGTACTGCTGAGTGATTTGCGTGTCTGTGTGTTTGTGCGAATGGGTCCGAGCCAAACGATCCTAGCAGACTTCACATAAAATAAGCTTTCTGTGGGCACATCTGGATAAAGACTCAAGAGGAAGCATGTGCATGTCTCCTTCTGTCTGACACACACACACACACAGACTCATGGGTAAAAAAAAAGAACATACAAAGCATGTGATCAAGTAAAGGGAGCAGCATCTAAAGGATAATTTTTAGGGATGATTCTAAACATCATACAGCATGTTGTATGTGTATGTGTATGATTCTTTGTTTTCAGTACAGTTATTTACATGTGAATATCTGAGTCCTCTTGCCTGCCTGCTCCAATGATCCAATAGACTCACATGCAAAGTTCATCTTATCTTAAAATCAAAAATTTTAATCAGAACAATGACTATTGTTGATGTGATTGACGAGACAAATTGTGTGGAATTCTTTGATTCATTAATTCAAGCCTCGACGTCCAGATGTTGGTAAGCCATTCCTCTGTTGATAGATCCTGCAGGCCCTCGGGAAGTCCTACCACCCGGGCTGTTTCCGCTGTGTCATCTGTAACGAGAGCCTTGACGGAGTGCCCTTCACCGTGGACACCGAGAACAAGATCTACTGTCTCAAAGACTACCACAGGTGAGCGTCATTTGTTCCAAGTAGGTGATCACATGATCACATGACCTGGCTTTAGCTGTGCTGAATTAGTTTAGCATCACACGCGGAAAGGTCCAGGTGTCTTCTTGCAGTTGACAGCACGGCCCCCCTAACGTCTCCCTGCTACTGCTGGATGTGGCCTCAAAGGGTCGACTGAGTCTATTTGCCGCGTGTGGCAGACACATGAGAAGTGTACCCAGGAATGAAAAGAGAGGGGGGGGGGGGGGGTAAAGATCACTGTCCAGTCAGAGACGCGAGGAGTGGCGTGCAGCCGTGACTCCTCTGGGCCAAACCCAACAGCAACATGCTCTGTTAACGACAGAGGGGGAAATCCATGTGTTGTGAGTGCGAGAACGCTTTGAAGCTGTGCCTGTAGCACTTGAACCTTTTCCTCTTCCTACTGGGACAACGTGAACAACGCAGCCGGCCACGAGGACAATCCCCGTCTGGAAGCTCTGTACGCTGATTCAATCAGACCAACCTTATGGTGTATTCAGTACGTGTAACTTAAGCCACAGTCATGACCGTCCTCACTGAGAGGCTCTTTGTTATCCCCTCAGACGTCCAGGTGTCAGCCATGTGTGCAGAAGTAATGGCTTGATTTAACTCTACCACTCTCGTTTTCTACTCCCATTTGAATTTGAGGAATTTAAATGCAGTTCCAACTGATGTATGACCGCCTGTCTCCTCACACTCTCCCAGGGTCCTGGCACCTAAATGTGCAGCCTGTAACCAGCCCATCCTGCCCTCAGAGGTGAGCTCACTTTCACCTGCATTAAGGACATCATCTATTGACTTAATTCTTCTATCATGTTTGTGGTTAACTTCTCTAAGTCAATAAGTTTAACATCCCTACTCGGGACCCTTTGTGTTAAATCTGCAGCATCTGGGTTTTGTATCCGCCACTGAGATGATGGTTTTTAACAACGTGAATGATCAGCTTTATACCTTTGCTACATCTAAAAGTTGTTGGCTCTCACCTGTGGACCCTCAACCAACAGCGCGTCAGCAGACTGTAAATCATCACCTGCTCTTGTTTACTCAGTTATTACCCAAACATGGAACTAAACAATAAGGCCAAATGTCCCTCTGGACTACAGGGCAAACAATGGGAGGCGAATACTGTATGTGTGTGCTTTGATTGGATGTTGTGTCACGGAGGAGCAGATTAATAGTACAGTTCACACGCAGGCAGGACATGCTGGCAAAAGCAAAGAAATATCCAAAATTAGAGTTGACTTTGCTGGAATGCCCCCAGCCCTCCCCTTTGAGTAAGCAGTGAGGCCGGTATTTAGAGGAGAGGTAGTGTGTGTGTGTGTGTGTGTGTGTGTGTGTGTGTGTGTGTGTGTGTGTGTGTGTGTGTGTGTGTGTGTGTGTGTGTGTGTGTGTGTGTGTTTTTGGGGGGGTCTTTGTCTGTGCATTTATGTAAGCTGTTTTTACGGATGTTCAGGGGAGTTCCCTCTCAGGCTGACATTGTAATCAGAGAAAGATGACTCAAAAAGAAAAAAAAAAAGCTCCTGTCTTGAGGACAAAAAGCACACAAATACTAAATGTACAGATGGAGAATTTTCTGCGACAGTTTTGGCTTCTTGTGGCTTTATTTTGTGTCTACATTCTCGTGTGCCAGTGCAATTCATAATTTAAAAGTACTGAAAATTCAGCTCTTTGCTTACAGCAGTGGGTTGTTTTTTTTGGACTAAACAGAAAAGACTGCGATTGGCTTCATTTGTTTGTCGGAATTTCATTCCAGGGGTCCGATGAAACCATCCGAGTTGTCTCCATGGACAAAGACTATCATGTGGAATGCTATCACTGTGAGGTGGGTTAAAGAAAAGCAAATGCCATATTGCTCTGAAGCCTCGCATTTGACAATGTGCCTGTTTAGTGGCTCTGAGCCAGGGACCTTCTGAATGGTTCATTAAGAGATATCATTATGAGTAGATCCCTGATCTTAATTACAGTCTTGGCGGTAATGACATGCTGCTGTGGAGAGCAGGTACGCGACACCTCATCATCCCTATCTCATCATTTTACTCAAGTGCCTCTTCTTATTTTGTGCCAAAGGCTGATTGACAGCCGCTGTTCTTCCATACATGACAATAACAATCGGAGGACTGCGAGGAGCAGAACGTGGCTTTTTGCTCACCGTCCAAGCTGTTCACAGAGGAACGTCTGAACATTAGAATTCTTCATCTGTAAACATTTCTTTCTTGAAACGGCAGATCAAATTAGATTAAAATCATGCTACTGATTCAAAATCATTTTCATGTTCTATTTATGGTAAGTGTGATTGTTTTACATAATGTGCTAGTATTTTATTACGTTTTTATACTGTTATCACAAAACGTTTATTCATTCATTCATATTCATTGATTAGCTATGTATCGTATTTATGATGTGCATATGTATCATTTGATGTATTTATTTATAAATATCTCGGAACGCCTAAATGACTTCTTAATCGAAATGTGACTTTCTGATATAACAAGTACACATTACCAGTCAAAGGTTGAGACATTTTCTCAACCTTTGACTGGTAATGTATGAAGGGAATTCTTTATTGTCCACGACTGCTTTTTCTTTGTAGAAACAAATTGGTACTTCTAAAAGCTCGAATTAAAGATATCGCGGCAATTATTTCTGTCTATTTCTGCTTGCAAGTGAGGTCAATGCAGAGCAGATACCAGTTATGTGAGTCTAACCGCCGTCCGTCCCCTGCGTCCATCAGGCCTGCGCCATGGAGCTGAACGACGAGGAGGGTCACCGCTGCTACCCGCTGAACGGACACCTCCTCTGCCACTCCTGCCACCTGAAGCACACGGAGCCGGGCTGCCCCTCTCTGGTGGCCGCCGCGGCCTCCTACTGACGCTGAAGCGGGCGGACGGCGCCCCCTGGTGGCTTCGTGGAGGAACTGCCCAAGCGTGACCGCGCAGTGTGTGCAATTCTTGTTGTAAAGGATTGATTAATGCAACGCATCCGATCGTTCAACGGTTTGATGCGTGTTTTCGCAGGGATGCTGATGAAGTTTCCATTATGCCTCAGGAGGTTTTCTCACAATAATGAAGGATGTAACAGCAGATTGCAAACCAGCTTTGCAATTGGAAAATAAGGATACAATCATGGTAAAGTTTAGACATGCAGTAATAACAGCTGGTGTGTATTCGTTGAAGATATATATACAAAACAGTAACAAATTGGCATTGAGCTTCCTAATAAAAAGTAACTAATATAACAACAATTTTCCTATTTTAAACAGAATGAGGGGGACACTTGTTGGTTGACCTGCACACATGAGCAGTCATTGTGACTCGTTTTCCATCTGCAAAGTCCTGTATGATCACATCAAATGATAACGCTTCAGCGAGACCATTCCATAGAAATAAACAACGCCCCACTGCATTCCCACAGCTCCAGGCCTCTGTAGCGTCCATCATTTCACAATGTCAAATAAAACCATGAGTTACTTTTTCTTCTCTTTTGTTTAGTCTAGCCAGGTGAAATGATGACACAGCAAACCTCAGGCGGTATTTGTCAGATGCAGTCTGTCCTAAGCACTTATGATAGTGAGTTTTTTATTTAACCATGAAGAAGTCTGTATTAGTGTTGTAGATCAATATATTGTTGCGTTTGCAAAGTTATATTTAAAAAGACATGTATTGTTTTCCTGTATTAATTCACCTACCTTTCATTTTGAATTCCTCCCTGAAATACTCATTTGGAGTGGGAAGTACAGGTTTTGATAGACTTCATTTGCCATCTAGATTTTATTCATGTCTTCAGGTTTACTAAATAAAAGCTTGCCAGTCATTTGAGTTTCTTTTTCATAGCCATGTGTAGTTTATGATAAAGCACAACATAACAGAATACGTACACATCTGATCTTCATTTAAGCTGATTTTTCTCTTATAGCAAATGTTAAACTAGATGAAGAAAACAAATAGAAGATAAATTAATTTGAAACTGGCATACAGATAGTCTTTGTTGATATCTGCTGTTACAAGGGCAACACTATTGTCTCTCACTTATAGGGGGGAGCGTTATTTATATTTAGAACAGTAATGAGAACAAAAACAACCATGATGATCATAATAATACATTAAAAAATGACTTTATGCATGAATACAATGCCAGTAAAAAGCAATAAAATACATGTATGGCTTTTAATATCTGTACTAATGTGCTACAACCATTCAAAAGACAAATATTGTATTTGTTACTTCACTTCATTGTTTGTCAGCTCTAGTTAGTTTGAAAGTATAGATTAATAATACTAAATATAATCAATTTACAACATGTTTCTTAACATTCTATGCCATTTTCGTTGTTGGCATAGGGATTCATACACAAATCACAGTAACGCAAAGGATTTCATACCACCAGATAGCGGGTATTTGTCTTTGTAATGATGAGCGCATGACTATTCTTTCTTTCTAATCCAACTTCTTCTGAGAAAACCAAGAGTACAAAACGTAAAAAGTTCGAGCCAGCCAGGAGTCGAACCTGGAATCTTCTGATCCGTAGTCAGACGCGTTATCCATTGCGCCACTGGCCCGCATGCTAGAGCGCTGTGTCACGTAAGGTATCTATAGCAAGGTGCATATGTATGGATATATATATATTCTATGTATTCTACTTCCAGCTATATGTTCCAGCAACTAAATCAACTCTCAAAATAGAAAAGATAAAAAACATCGTCGTCCGTAATGCCCTCATTAGCCAGCAGATGTCGCGGTTGGACGACGTTCCCCACCCGAGACGGACCAGTGTGTCAACAAGTACGTTAAATTAATCAATGTGCCTGTATGTTTATACAGTTCCTGACTGCGATACAAGGAGTAATGCTGCAATTAAAGAATTAAGTTAAGTCACAGTAGCCAAATATTATATGAAGGATGATTAGACATAGTGTTAGGACCATCCAATTTATTATTATTATTATTATGAATTACTATTCAATATAATCTTTATATATCTATATATGTTTATATAATAGGCAGGTGCTTTGTGTCCTCTGATGTTTTATAAAGCCAGAATGGAAAACAGATTGCGTCGTTAGCATGAGCGCATCAGGTTAGCCAAACCTCCATGGTGTAACAGTATCTAGGAGCTTCAGGTTGATCTTCAGCTCTTTTACCTGTAGTTTCTCTAGTTTCGCCATCACCTCGTCGTTAAGATGAGGCTTATATATTCAAACCATGACGATGTCATCCGCGCGCTGATTGGCTAAATTGTATGTTAACATTTATATATTTCATACATTTAGTCAGCAATTGGCCAACCTGCTTCTTAGACCCGCCTCCTGAGGGCAATTTCTCCGTGGCCCCAGGGCCGTGCAGGAAGAGCATATATTTTGCGCAGATGTAATATTTTACAAATATTACTGGGTACATTCTATATGTCAAAAAACACTAAACAAATCGTCACAATTGTAAACATGAATTTATTGATCTATGCCCATATTACAGACATTATGGACAAACTAATAAAAAACATGTGGCGGGGCTTTAGCTGGTAAGAAGCTAGTTATCAATAAGTTTGCTACAAGTCCGCTGGGAAATATCAATTTAACAATAAGACAATACTTAAGGTACGCAGATCAGTTAGTGAGGGTGAGGCAGAGACGTGTTTGTAGCAAATTATGTCAATTAATAAAATGTAGAAAACTGATAAATTGGCAGGGACAAAGAAAATCCCCAAAAACAGGGACTATAAATAATTATTTACCTTAACCATCAGGTTTAATCCCAAACAAACCATAGTAAAAACTAATGATACTCATAATAATAATAATAATACAAATAGTTAATAGTAAAAAGGCTCTTGTAGCTCTTTATTGCTTTATTATGTAAGTTACATACTATTAAACACAAGATAATTCACAAACTTTTCAGAACGCACACACATTGCGTGCACATTTACCAGTGTAGCCAATCAGCAGCCAGATGACTTTATCGGCGCTGAGAAGGAAGCGTTCGTTTATGTTCACCTCAGATACGGATCATGCGGATACAGAAACATCACATGTAACCTAATTCATTAATACCGGTGACCCAATTCCAATGGCTTGAAGATTAAAAGCATCTTATGTGTATGCTTCTATTTTTTGAAGCAAAAAATGTCCAATTAATTTGAATCAAGAGGAAGGAAACAAGAAGGACAAATAAAATATATATATAGTATATATATAAACTGTAAAGGACTTTGTACCGTTTATTTCCATCTCATTTAATTATTGGGTATTAAACTAGAGAAAACCTTACCATTTTGGAAGGAGAAAACTTTCAGGTAAGGACCTTGCTGAACACAACCAGCTGATCCTCCAGAAAATGGTGGTTCACTATTCAGAATTCAGCTTTCTGGCACACTGAAAATGCCCCTTTCCACATTTTGAGCTGTTTTGCCAAATAAATCAGAACCAAACGTCCAAATTAATAAAGTTGAACTGGAAAGAGAAAACCCGAGGACGAGTTTAAGTGTTTTCTATACTTCACTGGTTGCATGTTACACAGCAATGGTCCTTCTCTTACATTAAAACGCATGCAAACCAAAACTACATCCAATGCCCCACCCCTGCCACACCTAGCCAGGGTGTTTAAATCGAGCGCACCGGCTGTAACCCCGCCCCTCGGTCAACTCCCCCAATGACGACAGCACAGTCCTCCCAATGCGGAGGCTCTGTGGATGGGTGCTGGCGACGCCGTGGAGCAAAACGTGCCCACCTCCCGTGTTGTGTGTCACACTGACAAACACGCAGAGAGAAAAGCGCTGTGCTGATTTCAGAAGCTTTGCACCGAAACGGCAGCAGACAGGAATGAAAAGTGGACTAGCGGAGCTGCTGGCTCACTGAGGGCTGGGCTCTGACTGGCTGCATTGTTGCATGTTTCCTGGGATGGGATAATTTCCCTCATTCATCAAAGGATTTATTAACTATTCTTTCTCCGTCTCGATGGTGCTTGAAGGGTGAGTTGGCAGCGCATTGCTGTTTTCATCACCACCGCGCGGAAGCCTTGTTGTTTTTCAGTATTCGTTTCCCGCTATTCGTGTGTGTGTGTCAGCTACAAATACACTGGTACACACTTCGCTGCGCACGTTTTTACAAGTCATTGATACACGTGTGTGTTTGTGTTGGGCGTGAAATGTCAGCAGAGAGATGGACGGCATCGGGTACACCATGCAGAAGAAGGCTGCGGAGCTGGAGCGGCTGGCCGAGGTGCTCGTCACCGGAGAACAGCTGAGGTAGGTCGGTCCGTCGGTTGACCCCCCCCCCCCCCCACACACACACACACACGCGCACACATGCAAACATGTGTCTGAATGCAGGTCACACAGAAGCTGTGTGCATTTCACTCAGGGGCGTCTGCAAACTGATCCCCAACTCAATGACTAAATCCTGTAAATTAAATCATTATAATTATTGTGTAACTAGTGTGTGTGTCACCCAGATCAGGAGGAACAATGATAGGTCATAATGCACTAACTGAGACCAGTGTATCTCTCCATCTCCACAGCCAAACAAAGGCCTCCACACATGCACAACCTGCCTTGTGCACACTGCTGCTCCTCACCTAGCAGTGTGAGAGACGGTCTACTTCTGTAGGAGGCTGTTTTTTAATTTGTTGTTATCGTTGCTCCAGTAATTCAGTGCACTTTAAGCTGAACAGCCAATGATCAACCTCCCAGTCCCTGTCCCTGTCCCGCCCATTTATATCCCATCTGTGTGTGCACCGCTTTCCCCGGCGGTGTTGTTGACGTGCTGCACCTTTTTGACCCTGCGCCCGTAAAGAAGGGCCCCAAAACCCCGGTGGCGTTGCCTGGCTCATGCTCTTAGCAATGAATAGACGCTCAGTAGGTAAAGCATGGCACCAATGCCAGGAATTTCAGCCCCCCCGCAACTGAACTACGAGGGGAAAGTGCACCCCCACACAGAATTTTCCAGCTGGGCGGGATACACCGAGTTAAAGCTTTTTGCTGTTTTTGAAGGGGTCCGCGCTGTGACAGTGTTCCCTTCTTCAGAACGCCGAATATCAACACTTCCCATCACCTCAGGAGAGATTAATAGTTTGTCCGAATGTGCTCTTTAAGTGTTCCACTGCTTGCTGCCCGTTCCAGTTCTGCATTGTATACTGAGTGTGTTTGTGTGTCTGTGCAGTGTCTCTGGCACAGCTGTATGCTGGAGCTGCCAGCTGGCAGTGTGGCGAGTGTCAGCGAACGATGGCTTGGCTTTCGCAGTCTTCTTCCTCTGAGGCGCTGGCGTTGTGGGGGAAAGGCTCCTGTTATGAGACATTCTAGTCTGTCTCTCTGCATATTGTACAGTCTCAAAGTTGAGAGGGTTTTTAGTTGCGTCAGCAGCTAAAGCAGCGGCTCCGGGGACGGTTGTATCGTTGGTTCAAACCGAAATATCTAAAATATCTTGGATTGGATTACCGTGACATTTTGTACTCCCGTTCATGGTCCCAAGAGGATGAATGCGACTGACTTGCTGATCTGCTGTCGTTTCCTGTAGCGCAAAGCTGAGGTTGACGTTTCTGGTTTAGAGGGAACTTAACAACTATTGGATGGATTAACATTAACATAAACTTCGTACGGAAGCTCATGTCCTCTCCAGATAAATCAGTTAAAAATATTTGTCCAATGCTTAAATCCATGTAAAACAATTTCACAACCACTTCAGCTTTTTTTTGTGTGTATTGCTAATTAGAAGCTGTTAAATATCCATAATCTCATATTTGGCTGGAGCTCTTCCCTGGGGTTTTGCCCCCTCTCCCCTAATACACTTTGTCCTTTGGTTTGAATTGATATTTCAGACAAAATGGGGACACGAGTCGCTGAGAAAGAACAAAATGTGAAAGCGTTTCCTGTATAGAAGCAAGGGGTTTACCATACCTGTAGCTTTCTTGGATCATTTTATCTCAAGCTGGTGGGACATTTGTGGTTTAGTTCCTCGCACTGACAACGTTACGCTGGCTGTTTTGGAATATCTTACGCTGATTTGTGTCCCGTCACGCTGCCCGCTCCGCCCGTAGAACGCATCCGTCTCAGACGAAGGGCTGCAAAACAGACAAAAAGAAAAAACCTGGACAACATGATGCAGCTGCTGGAGTGAGTCTGGTGACCAGTTCATAGCTGTGAATAGACCGTTTGTTGCACATGTCAGACTGCGACAGACAGGGAGGCTTTGTGAGACTCTGCATCATGCCGGGAGCCAGAAGCTCATTCAGAAACGCTCTTTCCTGCCGTCGGCGTAATCCACCACAGCTTTAGGAAATGCACTGCAGGGAGCAACCGGCGCAGCATCAAGAACAGCCAGCGCAACATTTAGTTGTCCACCCGAACCGGCAGGATGGATCAATTACAGCGTAGGAGGAGATTATTACGATGCCAGACATCGGGGACGGGAAGTTCTACTGGACAGGCTCGGAACAAGCTGCCGCTGCTCATCCAGGGCGAAGCTGGCCAGCTGCACACAGTCGGCCACACAGGCCATGAGCTTGTCCACATGCGACACACTCACTCTATAAATCCCTGCAGAGGTTTTTTTTTAATGAAGTTTGTTTAAAATATGTGCTAGGTTGGCAACTGTTGGTTGCCGAAATGTAAAATATCGTTAGTATTTAATTTAATTTTAGTATGCAAGATACAAGGCAGTTGTCTTAGTTGTGATAATAAACGAGCCAGTTTCGGGCTGCTTGTTCTTCTGATTTCTCCCATTCAAATTTTTGTATCTGGCCCCACTGGAGAGAAATATCCCCTTGGCCATTAGTTTAATGGGGTTGGTGGGATGATTTCTCTGAATAAATTACGCCAGTTAATAAAATAAATTCATGGTTTGTGATACCTGGGCAGGCTGCTCTGGAAATCAGACATTTGACACCAATCAGCCCAAAAACAAAGAATTAACTAAGAGTTTTGGTTGAAAATTGTCAGTAATGCATTAAACATTTGTCTTTGGCTTCATATTCTGCCTGTTCAAAAATATTGTTTTATCTTACAGACGAAAATATAAAATTCACTAAACATAGATGACTGAAAAAGCTACTCTCCCCTCTGAGAAGATAAAACGTTTGTTTCTACAGTCGTTACTATTATTTGCTTCTTGTCATTGCTTTCAAATGAAAAAAGTCTAAATCAAAAGTTTAGCATCTCAAAGAACTCTAAATCATTTTCCCCCCCTCACTCTGTGTTTTGTTCGGTTCCCACCAGGCTGAGGCTCCACGAGGGGAAGTTGATCAAGGACCGGCGGCATCACTTGCGCACGTACCCAAACTGCTTCTTGGCCAAGGAGCTCATCGATTGGCTCATCGAACACAAGGAGGCCTCCGATCGAGACACGGCCATTAAGATCATGCAGAAGCTCTTAGACCAGAGCATCATCCACCACGGTAAAGCGCAGCTGTGTGTCTGTGCGTGCGTGGGTTTTAGTCTTAATGTAATGTACAGCATCTACTTTTGTTGTGTTTCTCATGTTCAGTAATAGCAACGACCCCACGTCTCACATCTGTGTGTCTTAATTGACTGTCTGCTTAATACAACAACAGCAGCATGTTCCGATTTAAACGATGCTATTTCTGTCTTCATCATGAACTACACCAACGCTCATTGGTCATATTTTCAACACTCATCCCTCTGTGCGTGTGTGTGTGTGTGTGTGTGTGTTTTCAGTGTGTGACGAGCACCGGGATTTCAAAGACCTTAAGCTGTTTTACCGCTTCCGGAAAGACGACGGCACGTTCCCATTGGACAGTGAAGCCAAAGTCTTCATGCGGGGTCAGAGGATCTATGAGAAGTATGAACGCACTCACACACAAGCACTCGGCCGTAGAGCAGCTCTGAGAGGGATTTGGGGGAAAATGGCAATTCCTGCATGTTTGTAATGGAATCAGAAAGTCCCCCACTCATTTGCGCTTGGTTCCTTTTCTCCGTTTTTGGCCCGTCGCTTTGAACAAACGTCTCGTATTCATGAGTTGTCACAGTTAGAAGATCAGCGCCTCTGTTTTACTTGTGCTATACGAATGCCATAATAGTCAGCAGCGGTTTACAGTAACGTATTTTAGCATTAAGACTGGAACAGGTGCTCAGAACATTTCTCGGCTTGGACTATTTTTCAGGCGTATTCTGTTTCTTTTTGACGAAGCAAAATCATTTAACTGGGATGCACTGATACAAACATGGATTGTAGATATGTTGTTCTCAACGGCATGATTTAGTGTGTCCGATTGGTTGCCTCCATTCATGTTAAGAAAATCCGTTTGGCTGATTTCATTAGATCAGCGTGTATCGTATGAACTGGTTTTTGACCTCAATAAGAGTTATTGGAAATATCTTAACTCAAAGCATTGGCTGGATTTAAAGGCCAGTGGAAACCACTAAGGATGCTGTTGTTGTTGTTATCAGCTTTCTACCCGTGATGCAAGTGTTCCAATACTGATGAGACTAATGGTTTCTATAGTAACCTCAAAGTCCCCCTGTGTGCGTCCTTCCCTCCGTGGCATCTCTACCGGTTCGGATTCACTCAAATACTGACACTGACATACTCTAAACGCACCTAAACATTGTTTTTTTTTTCATAACATACACACACACACACCAATGCGCACACACACCATTTGACTCCCCTTCCTTGTCCCACGCATACTGCCCACCCTTTGCCACAGGATTAAACAATATTTCAATGCCTCTCTAAACACATACACAACACTGTTATTAACACAGACCTATTAAAAAAAAATATTTTTTGACCAAATGCACATAGATATATACACACACACACACACACACACACACACACACACACAAAGCGGTTGCATAAGAGGAAGAAATAGTCTAAAGGGGGACATCTGTCGTTTCAACTCTCAAAGCTATGTGTTTATGTAATCACTATGGTGCTGGAGAGACACACACACACACACACACACACCACAAGCTGGCTGTGGCGGTTGCTCGCGTCCAAACTAGACTTCACGATTACATTTATTGCACGCTTTGAGGCGAACCTTGTGTGTAATATTGGTATATTTTTTTAACAGTAACATATAAAGCAATGTTTACACATAATTGCACTCACGGTGTTCCCCTTTTTGTTTTTCCCGAGTTATTACACTTTTTATTATGGGTGGGCCCATTTTCAGAGCAGAGGCCAAAACAGAGGTCAGTCTCCAATAGGTCGGTTTTCCACTTTGAAATGTGGGGCATTCATGCCTCTCTCAAGATGAACAAAAGAATTTTGGCATTACTGCTACTTTTCTTCTGCCACCATCATCAGGTAGGATTGTTTTTATTATTTTGTTGTGAGGAAATACCTGCTAAAGCATTTTCTTCAACTGTACTTTTAGGGATAATTAACATATGCTAACAGGCGTGTAAACAGTGTTCCCCATGTTCAAATAGGCCTTGCCTAAACCAATCACTTCTATCTTTTCCATCGGAAAGATAAACAGCACTCTGCAAACACACATGGATAAATGGTTCTGTCAAATGTTAAATCAGCATGCACAAACCAATAAACTAAAAGAACACAGGAACACATTTCAAACCGTTGGCCTGACAGCATTTCCTATGTTACGGGCTCAGTCCGAGGGGACAATGGTTAACTGAACCTTCTAAAACCTCTTTTTCCTTGTTTTAAAATCTCCCACCTTGTCAGAAGCCAACTTCTATGTTCCCTTTCTGATTAATTTAAAATGGAATATTATTGTAAAGGAATCGAGCAATAGGAAAACGGGTCCACCAAAGTAACTTTAGGCACAGAGAGCTTCACTATATCATCACAAGTTCAGATGCAATCTCTGCAGGTACTCCCCTCTCGTTGTGTGCACACGTTTCTACTTTATGTCTGTGCTTCAGCATTAGCTGCATTTCTAATGTCACACAACACTGCTTACCTGCCCCATGCGTCTTTTTCAAAACGCCTCAGTTTAGACTCTCATTGCCGAAAGCACCACAGTCCCATTTATTCTGAAAATTGGTCAGCCTTTACCACTGGTTTATTTTGAGTTCAACAATATAAAGTAAGAAGATGTCTGTCTCGCTGATCAGCTTCTAAGTTATAAGTAACACAAAGCAATTATTAATTAGCAGTTAATTACATCAGCTGCTCTTTGCTTGAGAGGAGATCCTTGTGTTCCCACATGACTGATAACTGGTAGAATGTCTTAGACTATTACAGTAAATCAAGGTTAACAGCAACGGAAGTTTTACCGTCAAGACATTTGAACATTTAGCGTTTCAACTATGTTAGATTAGTAATATTAACCTCTACTGAAAGTCCCTAAAAGTACATATAGCGATGTTATCTTTTATTTGTTGTTCCACACGGCCGCTGCGGCGAGCCTTTGGAAACTGCCACCACGATTAAGTACAAATAAAACAGCTTTGACATAATTGCATTAAAACTGATTGTATGAGGATGTGTTTACCACAACAATCTGCTAAATTTGTTATGTGGGACACATGCGTCCCCTTATTTTCTGAATAAGGATTTTGGGGGGAGGTAAAGCATTGTTTCGCCAAAATACTGCAAAATTATTATATTGCAGTAGTTTGGCAAACGGCCAAAAATGGCAACAGAATTCTAAAAACACATCAGGCATATTTTTAAAACGTTGGCCTGCTTTTGACCTGACCTTATACAGTATATTACCTCGACATATCATTTAAATTACAGTTTTAAAATTTTCTGTATTTCTGTTTTTTGAAGTTCTTAAAGATTCATCTTGGCCCCTCTATCATAAAATATGAGAGCAGGTAAAAGCCTGCTGGTTCGACAGAAGCCTCTCAGTCAGCATCACTCCAGCTGAGTCCGGTATGCTCATCAGGAGCATACACATCTGGGTCCCGGCAGCTCGCCTCGTCCCCCTTTAGGTTCTCATCAACATTTGTATAACTGTATGTGCAGTCTGACAGCGTCTTGCATACCTTTCAACAGAGAATCGGCTGTCGTTCAAAGCGATGTGCTAACTTTGAGTACAGTACTTTGAGGCTAACGTTACACGATCCGTCGACATGTTTCAATGGATTAAATGGCGCTGTATGCACAGCCACGGCTCTCCAATTATTTCAACCTTTGTGTTATGAAGTTGGTTTCTAATGTGGGCAGTTGCCTCACAAAAGCTCCTATTCTATCAGCATGTAAAAAAACAAATGTGTTCTTTTGTGTTTTGACTTTACATGAGTGAAGGGCTGTAACAGTAATTTTCTCAAATGGATTTTAAACTGCAACCCAGGGTTGAACTTTGACGTGCACAGTATCCCGCTGGGACCAAGTTAAGTGGCAATCTAATTCACCCCCCCGAATCATCAGTCTGAGGCATGAGCCTCAGTGGGACGATGGTCCCATACAAGCAGAAACAACTTCAATGTTTCTGTACTGAAGGGAGGCTTTCCACAAGCCGGCCCTAATTTAGATTTCATTATGTTTAATTATACATTTAGCTTCATTAAAGGGGAAGCTGTTTATCCTGGGTGTTGGAGTTTTTTGGACTAATAATGTTCAACCCAGACCCAGCAGCTTGTTGGCTTAGCTTAGCATAATGAGTAGAAACAACCAGCTAGCTAGAAACTGGGCTCCGTGTATCAGCCCCCTTTTTAAGCTAACTTAAAGTTTTTTCAAGCTATGAACTTCCCCCCCCATTACGAGGGGACGACGGGTTCTTCTCTCCAGTCTGGGCCTTTCTAAATAGCTCAGTGGTTGTTAAAGTTTCCTTTTGTTGAGTCGCAGGCCTTTGACTATAAAGTGCTGCAGAGCGGACGTATTTTTGCAGGCCGTTCAGTACAATACTGGTCTCTTTTCTGCTACTCCCCACAAATGAACACCATTCTTTGGGGTTTTAAAAGGTGAAGGCAACAGGAGCAAAAAGCTAACATCAGGTTGTAAATTAACTACACCACATGGACTTGTTCAAACATGTGGGAATAACAAATGAATAACAAAGATGTGGCAAGTTTAGTATCTCTGTCATTGATGGTTAACTTTGTTACAAGCACTTGTCTTGACATGTACAGGTGTGTCACAGAAAGCATATTGTTCCTTATAACCACCACTGGCTCATTTATATTGTGTGAAAGTATGTGGGCGTGAATGTAGGTTTGATTTAGTGAGAGTCTGGAATGCTTCTCTGTGTACCGTGAAACTTTTTGTTTCTTACCCCCAATAATCCCTATTTTTACTTAATATTGAACACATCTCTTGAATACAAATGTTCTAATTGGGTGAAACTATGTCCCAATGGTTATAAATGTTGGAGCATTTTGTTCCATTAGATTAGTTTGTGCTGTGTGTCACACTGCTACAGTACATGAGCCCTGCCGGCTGTTGCTATGGAGACATCCACCAAAGCAGCAGAATAAATACTGTAGCATATTCATATTTATTTTCCTGATGCAGTCAAGAGTACTTTCATTTATACGGATGCATACCTTTACTAGTTGACATACCTGAGCTTTGGATACCAATGTTTAATTGAAAAGCTGATGTCTCAATATGTGAAAGTGTATATTTAATCATTGTTTCATGCAGGCGTGACTTAAACATTGCCGACATTGTAAAACGTAATGTATCAAATGAATGCATAGACATAAATGTACTAAATTGCTATATTTATTAAAGGCATCCGATACCCGATCCAGCTCCAGAGTCTTTATCTGACCAATATCAGTATCAATGCATCTCTGTTGCTTTAATTGCTAATTTGATTCAAATTCCGAAACCAGTTGTTTCAAGTCGCTGAATTTTAAACAGAACTTTGCCCCCCTCCCCCACAGGTTGATGAACGCAGAAAACAACTTGTTACAAACCAGAGAGGAGGACAACGGGTCATTTGAGCGCGCGCTGGTGGGCGCTGAGTTCATCGACTGGCTGCTGCAGGAGGGCGAGATCGCAGACCGCGAGGAGGCGGAGCGGCTGGGACGGAGGCTTCTAGAACATGGCATCATCCAGCACGGTGAGGAAGAAGAGGGAACTATTTCAATGGCTCCCACTTTGAAGCAACACCTGTATCATCACTTTGAGTGTCACACAGTCTCAGTGAAGGTCCCCAAATCGACAGCTTAATGATCTGTCAATGACACTTGGTGACAGTAAAGGCAGGAGCTCCTGGATGGAGTTCCTTCTCTCTGCATGATCTCTATGCAAGACCTCAGCTATTTAGTTTTTTGGTGACTCATTCTTCTGTCCTGGCTCTTGTACTTAAAGGAACTCACAGTATGATTACTTCACTATCTGCACACTTAGACACAATGTTTTTACTCTTAAAGTAAATGCAAAACACTCTATTAGATCACAACTCTTTGCTATGAAATGATGGAACGAGCTCTCTGAAGACACCACTTTGGATAAAAGCGTCAGCTAAATGACATGTAATGTAAAGGTCCTTGGAAAATACTAAAGGGCAGTTCAATTTGGACGCTTGGCAGTTTAACACAGAGGAGAATCATCTGCCCGTTTTGCCATCACAGATATCTAGAACCTGGATTACAGTTGTGCTTTTCTATTGGAAAACACGCAGGAAAAGACTTCTATTGGCTGGTATTGTATTGAATAGCCACCGATCAAGCTGTGGTGAGCTGATGCGACACTGCTGAGGAAACCACGTCTAATTTCTCTCAAAATGTTTTATCTCGATTTCCCTGCGTCTTCACGTGGGAGCGACTGAGACGCAGGTAAAAACCTCAAGTGAGGAAAATGCAGATGCAATTAAAAGACTCGAGATGAACCTATCCGGCTCAGGCTCTACGTTCAAGTAGGTTGAGTTACTTTGTTTGTGTTTGATAAACACAAAATGAAATTTGACTTAAACCACCCAGTCAGCGAGAGCTCAGCCGGTTGGACCAGTCTTATCTACCAATATGAGGATCGAAGTTTTATGTGAGTTTTTTTTTTTTTTTTTTTTTTCAGTTCATAGTCTGAGGCTTAGACAATGATCAGTGGTGGAAATCTGGGCCATAATCAGGAATCAGGAATCAGGAATCAGGAAACATTTATTGGCCAAAATATGTCAAACATACAAGGAATTTGTCTTGGCGGTTAGTGCGCGACAGTAGACAGACAAGACAACAGTGCACAGGTAATAAAATAAGGTGGAATGAAATGCTAATGCAATGGGTTAGTAAGAATAAGGCTAAGGCTATGGGTTAGTAAAAAAACAAGGGAATAAAGTTAAACAAATTTTAAATATTAAAAAGTTAAAAAGAAAAGTATTAAGCATAAAGTGCACTAACAAACAAGTAACAGACAAGAGACAAAGTGACAAGTGACAAAGTGATGAATTGCAGTTAAAGTGGCATGTGCAGTGTGAGGGGGAGTGACCGGTGGAATGTTATAGTCAGTCAGTGGGGGACCGGGCTCTGTTGATGAGCCCGACTGCCGACGGGAAGAAACTGTTCGTGTGGCGGGAGGTCGTAGTCCTGATGGACCTCAGCCTCCTGCCAGATGGAAGGGGCACAAACAGTTTATGTCCGGGGTGGGAGGGGTCGGCCGCGATCTTTTTAGCTCGCTTCAGAGACCTGGAAGCGAACAAGTCCTCCAGGGACGGCAGATTGCAGCCGATCACCCTCTCTGCAGAGCGGATGACACGCTGCAGCCTGCCCTTGTCCTTGGCTGTGGCTGCAGCGTACCAGACGGTGATGGAGGAGCAGAGGATGG